ATCAATTCTATCAATCATATTCGAGCTGATACAATGCACAAAAAACTTTTCAAATGGTTTTTTGGTATAGATTTGCCTTCGGAGTTTAGTGGCGGCGGTTTTGCTTATCACAATGGCACATGGAAGCACAATTCATTCTCTTTTAACACTAATGGAGACTTGTACCATGACACCCAAAAAGGAATGCATCAGATCGAACAGCAGCTTGTCAATGGAGCTTTGACCCGTCTCTATATGAATCACGAATGGGCGTGTGATCAAAATTTATCAGTGAAAGAGATTTTGTCGACAGGTAACAGATCAACAGTCTTTGATATCCCCGCATATGATGGGCCCTGTTAGCTATTGACGAACATACGAAAATATTGCTTCCATCAATTTGCAAAAACAGGTTAAAAATGTACTTCGAGTTAAATTTATAATAATTTGAGAAAATATATGATTAATGAAAAATAAAAACAGCAAGAATAATCATATTTCTGCTTTGATACATTCATTTTCGAACCTTGGTCTACTTTTGTTTGTATAAATAATCAGAAAAGGCTACATTTCAATACGAGATCTCTCTGTTCGCAAACTGTTTCATTTGCAACCACGATCGATATGAATTTTAAAAATAAAAGGGAAATAGTTTTATGTTTGAATGCGTTGTAGCTGTTCATCTTATGGACCTAAGACACGAAACTTTCTCATGGGTTTCATAGGATCGCTAAAATTATATTCAAAAAAAATTCAAAACAATGGCACTGCAATTTTAGGAAGAATAAATGAAGCACCAAGTCATAAATCATTTATTGTATTCAATTGAAAAATCATGAGAACAGTATTTCGTATTTACATTTCGAAACATCTAATAACTGATGGTGTTGTATACACCTTCTTGAATCGTCCTTCAATCAAAATAAAACATCATTCATGATCATAGACTGTTGAAATTTTGTAAAAATCATTATGATTGCTTACTGATAACACGTATGCACATAGTGTTAACAGCGTGTAATAAAAAAACATTTTCTACATTCATATGACAACCTTACCGTTACCATCATTGATATGCATATCTTTGTAATGTATATGAAAATTCGAAAACAACAAGCATCGACTGATATGAAATCTAGTAGACAGGTACCTAGTTGACTCTTAGAATTGAGCTCTAATATTATCGTGTACGTTTCTCGGCGTGATCCTAACGACATCTTTAAATAAACAGGTTCAAATAATGACCTGCATTCTGAACCTTGAATAACAATGTTAAGGATTGTATTAATTAAATGTTCGACCGTTAGTTAATATTTATTTTTGATATTATTATAAATGGGCAATCGTGAAAGAGATCATATATTTTGACAGAATACACTTGGTGAAAACAGAAAGGAACACGTTTCACTTAGAGCGAGTCACATTTCCTACTAGAAGATTTATTTTAGTTGATTAATTCTTAAAAATATACCATGGCCTGAACCAACGGTACTTGAATCGAGAAATACTAATGAAATAATTAACTTTGTCTCAACGCTTACAATTCTACAATTATGAAATATACCTCATAAACTATCTACAGACGTTTAAAGAGATGATGCAGTCGAGGTTTTCAATTGGTAAAAACGAATGACTGTTCAATTCCTATTTGGCTGCTAATAAATTATCCAATGTTATGTCTGTTAGAGAAAGATGTTCGATCAATTTTCCACGAAAAAATGGTATGGAATTTCGAATGATTGATTTCACTCGCACCCTCAAGCTGATGAAGAATATTTTTTTGATGAAAAAGACCAAATTCATTATTTTCAAGTGACCTGCAAATCAAGGGCCTCCTCTTTTTTCTTTCCTTTCCTTTGAATGAAGACAGAACTTTTCTACTGTGATGTTGCCATGTTACAAAGTACTCGTGAATTTACTCACGTCTTTTCTGCAGACTATTTATTTAAGTCTTTTTTCTTTTGCTTACCTCATATTGTAAGAAACGAAAGAAAAAAGGAAGAACGAATAACCGATCACACATTGTTCTGCTATTCTGTGAACAAAATTTTTAGTGCGCCGTTATTAACTTTTTCTGTGGAAAGAAAATGGCATCATCTTTACAAACCACTGATAAATTAATAAAGCAATGTGAACAATTATCTCAATTGGTCTCAAACTTTAACAAAAAAATTGAAGAAACCATTGCAACAGCATCCGATGATATGAATCACCTTCTCGCATCAATTAAACAAAATATTCAAGACACAACGAGCACCGTAGTAACTGATTTAAACGAATGGGAGCAGTTGAAGAGGAATTTATCTAAAACACAACTTAAGGGTAAAGTACAGCTCGATGTTGGTGGACGTTATTTCTCAACCACAGTAGACACTTTNAAACTTTAACAAAAAAATTGAAGAAACCATTGCAACAGCATCGAATGACATGAATCACCTTCTCGCATCAATTAAACAAAATATTCAAGACACAACGAGCGCCGTAGTAACTGATTTAAACGAATGGGAGCAGTTGAAGAGGAATTTATCTAAAACACAACTTAAGGGTAAAGTACAGCTCGATGTTGGTGGACGTTATTTCTCAACCACAGTAGACACTTTGACGAATGAGAAGGATACATTCTTTACGGCGTTGTTCTCAAAAAATTGGCAACTAGAGAAAGACAACGAAGGACGAATATTCATTGATCGAAACGGCGATTTATTTGCGGACATTTTGGAATTCATGAGAAGTCCAGATGAATTTATATTACCAGAAGACCGATTACGTAGACGTTTGGTAAATGAAGCTAAGTTCTATAAATTGAAGTCTTTTTTGGAGGTTTTAACAGAACCGGAAAGGAAAATAGAAGAAGCAGCAGAACGAGAAAGACAAATGAAAGCAGCATTATTTCCTGATGATACACTTTTAACGATAGAACAAATGCAAAAACTGAATGAATTTTATGGCAAAGCCAATCAAATGTGGGCACTAATATATAAAGCAACGAGGGATGGTTTCGAAGCTGCTACTTTTCATCGACTTTGTGACGATCAAGATCCAACCATAGTAATTATCCGCTCATCGGATGGCTATTTGTTTGGTGGTTATGCAGCACAGAGTTGGAACTCAGCTGGAAACTACATTAATGCCATAAACTCATTTCTTTTTCTGTTAACGAATGCAAATGGAAGTCAGCCAACAAAGTTTCCATATAATAATAATGGTGATGGCCTTTATGGCCATGGGGGATACGGTCCAACATTTGGTGGTGGTCATGATTTACACGTATGTGATAATAGCAATACCGTCAACAATAGTTATTGCAATATACCTAGTAGTTACACAAGTTCTCTTGGGCTTGGTCAAGCGACTTTCACAGGTGCACACAACTTTCAAACGACAGAAGTTGAAGTTTTCAAGTTATCACAATGATTTATTTATTCAAATGATTACTTGACTGTTATTCTTCGTAAAGATGTGAACCAGGATACTTCATGTATATGCGAAAATGTACGCAAGAAAAGTTCAAACACCAATAAATAAATAATTCCTAAGTTCCTGAAGCATAGAGATATAAATTAGTTTTCTTTCGCAAAGGTTTATTTTAAGACATTTCTCCATGCCATACAAATATTTTTAATCTTTGCACGTTCATCTGTAAATGTATATTGACTTCAATAACGGGAAACGATCGGAGCTACCAGATCAACGTTGGTGGGATGTCATGGCAATTTTGTTTTAGAAGCAACGTGACAAATAAGATAGTCCTAGAAGTTTAGATTTTTATTATTATTCTTTTAAATTTCTCGCATTTTTTTAGACATTTTCGTCAAGCTCTTGTTTGTTTTTCTTATCACGTGTTGACTTTTTAGATTATGCTTAATTGTTTCCTGTTTAGAAGCAACAGTATTGATATCAACATAAAATTTGCTTATATCTACCTTTTTTGTTTTTGCTATTTTATGAAATAAAGCAGCTTATTTCGTTTCTAGAGCTTCAGTCTAATGGATCTCTTGAATTCTAAAGAATCTGTTTAGTAAAACACGATCTAAAACAATTGTTGATATGTAAAATGATAGACTTCGAATCCGCTGTATCATGATAAGCGTTTTTCATACAGACTTAAAGTCCCTAGAATATCTTTAATAGTTCATTACAATATTCATAACAAATGCTTTATAATTTCAGCTGATTAGAATTCAATCAAGGTTGATAAGTGTGAAAAAATTGGTATTTTAACTATGAGGGTGTAGCTGCAGCGTTTCACTATTATTTCTGCTCCCTCACACCCTCACCCCAATTACTGGATATTCATATCTTTGTAATATATATGAAAATTCGAAAACAAGTAGCATCCATTGATAGGTAATATATTAGCAAGTTTTGATGAATTATTTGCATCGAGCTATTATATTATTATGTGCGCTTGTGAGCGTGATCTGAATAAAATTTTTAAAAAGGAGAGCTTCAAAAAATGGTCCACACTAGGAGCCTTGTATAGAAATGTTAAGTATTTTATTAAGTGTTCGATGTGTAGTTGATATTTATTCGTTAAACTATTTTTAATGGGTAATCGACTGAGAAATCTTACCTCAATTCATTCTGCAAGATTCATGACCGATCTTGTTATACATTCAGATCTTAGTGTAAGATTATAGTAAATCGTATGGGCGATAAAATCCCCCAAGAATCTTTCAGTATGACTTGCTTCCCGACACGACGATGCTTTTGTAGGATCATATCTGATGCTGGAGATGTTAGGTCTCCTTCCTTTAACACAGACACACTCTCAAATCGCGCACACTTAATATACGATTTCTTTGAGTTGATAAGTTTGTCAAAGTGTATCATGATCTGATAAAGATATAATGAATGCTTACATAGTTACAAGCTGAAGAAGTAATAACAATTAAAACAATTCAAATTGACTATGCTTAAAAGTTTATAATTTGCCTCCACGAACCTAACCACGATATGGTATGTAATTGTTGAAATTCGACAATACAAAATATCGGCAAACAACAAGGAGAAAACAAATGTCATCAGCAATATTCTCATGATTGCCATTAATGAAAGTTCTAGAGACCACAATTAAAATGATATGAAAATATACCACTTACTATTTAGTGACCATTGCGCATAGAAAATCAGGAAACTAATACATATCAATCTAGCAGCACAATCAAATAAGAGATCTCTTCGCTTTGTTCGGCAACGTTAATCAAGCGCTCAAAATTTCCATTCGGAATTTTTACATTTAGACCTAAAGTACCACATTCTTATAAATTCCAAAAAAGATTACTTCATTACATTTATTTGATAATCTTCAGATGCAAATAATTCTTGGCCTTTTTGCTTACTTGAACTTATCTTCGCATGTTTTATCGGATTTTTTGTTTGTGTTTCAAATAGTGCTAGCTAATAAACAATTGAAGATAATTTCATAACGTCATATACGTATACGCATAATAATCAATGTAAGAACCATAAAGCGACAGCCACGAATTTGACAGTAATAAAAAGATGAGAGATCAACAATAGTCACTGATATTTCAGCTTATAAACGCATGATAACAGAGATGTGTTTTATTGATGTCGACATTTTCACCGCTTCAGTTTGTCTTGTTCAAAGAACAACTAATTTTGTTTATTTACTTGGAAAATAAAAGTGAGGTACAAACAGCTAAATAACATGACAACGGTCTCTCGACTTCACGCATTTCTCATCAACATCCATTTTTTTACCACCTCCGCGAGAGCATTTAATTGATTTCTCGTGACTCTAATTGGACATATCCATCATCAAAATAGGAATGAATCATACAGAGAGACATATAAAAGCAAGTACTCTTCCTTCGTTATTGACTGACAAGAAAAATTACTCTGTTGCATAAAAACTAAATAGCACTTAGTTTAAACATTCAACTAAAATGACTTCACCTCGGCCAACGGAGAAAGATGGCAAGGTGCCAGATCTTATCAAAGATAAATCTCATTCGACAGGTAAAGTTGTAAAATCTTGCTCTTGCATCTAATAAAAAGTCAGAAGTTACTATTATGTTCATCAAAAAGAAAAGAATTATTTCCTTGAATTCTTCGAATTAGGATTTATATGCTCATTGAGATACCATCATCTTTTGACTTTATCTTATTAGGACGTTCTCCTATGGCAAAATCGCAAATGGCAAATCCAACAGTTAGTCGAGATAGAAATTCTGTAGCCTTCGTTCCAATAACTACAGCACTTCCCTCTCTCAATATGAATACAATTCACATTTCATGTTCGTCTGATCGATTCGATCCATCTGGAAATTTCGTCGGTATGATTGTTTACGGTTGCAATGGTCAAAGTGATTTTTATCTGAACGGTCGACATTGTAATGCAGGCTACATGCTAATCAAGGATGTCAATTCTATCAATCATATTCGAGCTGATACAATGCACAAAAAACTTTTCAAATGGTTTTTTGGTATAGATTTGCCTTCGGAGTTTAGTGGCGGCGGTTTTGCTTATCAAAATGGCAAATGGAAGCACAATTCATTCTCTTTTAACATTAATGCAGATTTGTATCATGACACCCAAAAAGGAATGCATCAGATCGAACAGCAGCTTGTCAATGGAGCTTTGAATCGTCTCTACATAACTGATCAGTGGTTTTATAGTCCAAATCTGCCGGTAAGAGAGATTTTCTCGCAAAATAACAGACCGATATACAGCGACCAATCATCTCAATTCACGAATATCGCCCAATATCATTGGTAGTGTGAAAAGTTGATGAGCTTACGAAAGTTTTCTTCCATAAATTCTGTAAACAGTTAAACTGTACGTTGAATTAAATTTACAATATTGTGAAAAAATATATGATTAATGAAAAATAAAAAAAGCAAAAATAAACTCATTTCTGCTTTGATACATTCGTTTTCGAACCTTGGTCAGCTTTTGTTAGTTTAGACAATCAGAAAAGGGTATATTTCAACACGAGATTTTTCTCTTCTCAAAACATTTCATTTGCAACCACGGCCGATGTGAATTTTAAAAATAAAAGGGAAATAGCTTTATGTTTGAATGTGCTGCATCTAAAACACGAAACTTTCTCATGGGTTTCATAGGATCGCTAAAATTATATTCAAAAATATACAAAACAATGCTACTGCAATTTTAGAAAGAAAAGATGAAAGAGAAGATCCCAAAATCATATACTGTATTCAATTGAAAAATCATGAGAGCAATATTTCGTATTTACATTTCGAAACATCTACCAGCTGATGGTTTTGTATACACCTTCTTAAATCATTCTTCAATCAAAATAAAACATCATTCATGATCATAGACTGTTGAAATTTTGTAAAAATCATTATGATTGCTTACTGATAACACATATGCACATAGTGTTGAAATTGTAATAAAAAAAAACATTTGTCTATGTAGCATCTAACAAACTTACCCTTACCATCACTGATATGCATATATTTGTAATGTATATGAAAATTCGAAAACAACAAGCCTCGATTGATATGAAATATAGTAGACAGGTACATAGTTGACTCTTAGAATCGAGCTCTAATATTATGATGTACGTTTCTCGGCGTGATCTCAACGAAATATTTAAATAAACAGGTTCAAATAATGACCTGCACTCTGAATCTTGAATACCAATGTTAAGGATTGTATTAATTAAGTGTTCGATCTCTAGTTAATATTTATTTGTTAAACTATCATTGATGAATACTCATCGAAGAGATCATACCTTTCGACAAAATGCAGTTGTTGAAAACAGAATCCAGCATGTTTCTCGTGGATTGAGTCACATTTCTTACCGTAAGATTTATTTTAGTTGATTAATTCTTAAAAATATATCTTGGTCTTAAGTAACGGTACTTAAATCCAGAGATAAAAATAAAATAATTAACCTTGACTCAATGGTTCCAATTCTACAATCATAGTGTACGATGAGCGGGAGGAACGAGGGATTTTACCCCGCTCAGATGTTTTTGCGTTGTAGCTTTCTCCCTGGAAATTTTCTTTGCGGCTTTGTACACGATTTTAGTTTATTTGTAGACTGAATAAAGCCTACCAAAGGCAATCATCTATTTTCTCTTTAAGTCCGAAATATTTTTTACATTGATTTATTTTCATTTAGATGATACTGTTCAAAACTTTTTCATGCATCCAGCAAAAGTAAAAGCTCACGATATCAATATATACATTCAAAACAATTATGACGATAGCGATGATGAGTGATCGGGAAACCACGAAATAATTTTCCCAAGAACATTAGCTTTGAAATTAGAAGATATTGATGGGAAAAGTTACGACTAGAAAAACGAATGTTTTTTCTCGTTCATCTTTTTTTCACATACTTATTTACAAGAAAGCAGCAAAAAACATTTTCTTCATTGAATAAGAAAGCCTTGCAAATTTTAGCTAATCATTTTTTTTTTCTGAAAAACAAATAATGCAAAACTGCTTCTTTCTAGTTTTGGAAGACTTTCTCTTTCAAATTTTCCCTGCGCTAACCAAAAACAAACGAAAACTATTTCTACAATTACATAATATACCTCATAAACTACCTATAGGCCTTTTAAAGAGATAATGCTGTCGAAGTTTTCAATTGGTAAAAGGAAAAGATTGTTCAATTTCTATTTTGTTGGTAATAAATTATCCAATCTTATTGTGGTTAGACATAGATGTTCGATCATTTTTTAAACAAAAAATAGTATGGAATTTTGAAGGATTGATTTCACCCACACCCTCGAGATTTTGCTGACATCAGTATATTTATTTTACTCTTAGATTTAGTTGTTTTTGCAGCTGAATAATGTCTTCAGAAAATCTTCACACAGAGCGATGTCGTTTGCCATGAAACCAAATTATTTTTTAATACCATGTACAAAAACTTTGTCTTTGATATTCAAACATTGGATTTATTCCTATGGAGACGTGAAAAGAGCAAACTTTTGAAAAGTTTGTTTGTGAACTTTTTCAAATACAGTTGCAATATTTACGTGTTTTAAAACTGACATGATGCTATTTTAATAGTATTCTGGTACAGGTGAAGACAGCACAGACAGCCTGAATGTTAATATATTCAGTGTTTCACTATCATGTACAGAATTATGAAGTTTCCCAACAACAAAAAAACTGTTCGATTTTGTGAAACCCATATTGAAGTATATAGAGTGAAAATTTCAGATGCTCATCTAACCACCACAGGCTGCACCGAAATATCTCTGAAAATCAGTTTCATCATGTTTTGCATTTTCATCATAGACGGATTATGTGAGACAGCCTTTTCTGTCATAATTAGAAGTCTTGACTTTCACCAGAGAGTGTTATTTCCCTGCTGCTTCGTATGCTTCAACAGAAATAGAAATGAGTTCGTCAAAGAAAATCCAATGAAAAACAACTTCTTACTACAGGAACTCTACAAAGTTGATGACGAATATGTTCTTGAGGGAAAAAACCAAATTCATTATTTTAGAGTGACCTGCAAATCAAGTGCCTGTTCCTTTTTCTTTTCTTTGTTTTCCATCACAAAATGAAATTTTTCTGTTTTTCTGTTGCATGTTACGAAGAGCAGTCATGAAATTACTCACGTCTTTTCTACAGAATATTTGCTGAAGTCTTATCTGTTTTTGTTGCATATGATAAGACGCAAAAAAACAAGAAGATATATAAACGAACTATGATTTCTTCTGTTACTTTGTGAACAGCATTTTTAGTGTGCATTAATTCATTGTTCGGTGGAAAGAAAATGGCATCATCTTCTCAAAAGACAGATACATTAATAAAGCAATGTGAACAATTATCTCAATTGGTCTCAAACTTTAACAAAAAAATTGAAGAAACCATTGCAACAGCATCGAATGACATGAATCACCTTCTCGCATCAATTAAACAAAATATTCAAGACACAACGAGCGCCGTAGTAACTGATTTAAACGAATGGGAGCAGTTGAAGAGGAATTTATCTAAAACACAACTTAAGGGTAAAGTACAGCTCGATGTTGGTGGACGTTATTTCTCAACCACAGTAGACACTTTGACGAATGAGAAGGATACATTCTTTACGGCGTTGTTCTCAAAAAATTGGCAACTAGAGAAAGACAACGAAGGACGAATATTCATTGATCGAAACGGCGATTTATTTGCGGACATTTTGGAATTCATGAGAAGTCCAGATGAATTTATATTACCAGAAGACCGATTACGTAGACGTTTGGTAAATGAAGCTAAGTTCTATAAATTGAAGTCTTTTTTGGAGGTTTTAACAGAACCGGAAAGGAAAATAGAAGAAGCAGCAGAACGAGAAAGACAAATGAAAGCAGCATTATTTCCTGATGATACACTTTTAACGATAGAACAAATGCAAAAACTGAATGAATTTTATGGCAAAGCCAATCAAATGTGGGCACTAATATATAAAGCAACTAGAGATGGTTTCGATGGTCCTACTTTTCATCGACTTTGTGACAATCAAGGTGCAACTATAGTGATCATTCGTTCATCAGGTGGCTATTTGTTTGGTGGTTATGCAGCACAAAGTTGGAACTCAGCTGGAAGCTACATTAATGCCATAAACTCATTTCTTTTTCTGTTAACGAATGCAAATGGAAGTCAGCCAACAAAGTTTCCCTATAATAATAATGGTCATGCTCTTCACGGCAACAATGCATACGGCCCAACATTTGGTGGTGGTCATGATTTGCACATATGCAATAACAGCAATACCATCAATGGTAGTTATTGTAATATTTCTCATAGTTATACAAATCCTCTTGGGCTTGGTTCAGCGACTTTCACAGGCGCACGCAACTTTCAAACGACAGAAATTGAAGTTTTCAAATTATCCGAATGATTTATTTAAATCATTACTTGGCTGTTGATCTTATTAAAAATTTAGACAAGAATGCTTCGCCTATGCATGATTATGTGCGCAGGAAAGTTCGAAAACTAATAAATAAAGAATTCTTAAGTTGTTGAAGTATATAATTATAAATTAGTTTTCGTACGCAAAAATTCATTTTAACAAATTTCCCTAAGGGTGTGGGTACGAGAGTAAGCATGTGGTAAAAATAAAGGACCAACACGCACACCCTAACATAAGTAATCCGTAAGTGCCCATGGGCAATTTTCGCCAATTGGCAAAAAGTACTATAGTTGGCAGAGCGTCAGAGGGCGATTCTGCCAATTGTCAGAACGTCACTGAGAGAAAGGGGAATTGGCATAGATCCAAATAAAGTAGGCTTTTGGCAACTCGGACTAGAGTTGAATTTTTCACCGTGATAAACATAGCTTTCGCTACCACATGGATTTTTACCCAGGTCGAACATACACGGTCGTATACGACGGTAAATCGCCGTATTACGATCGTAAATCTCCGTGCCGTATACGGCAAAATACGGCGCTTTACGGTCGTTTTTGATCGTATTTCACCGTATTACGACACGGAGATTTACGATCGTTTTTGATCGTATTTCACCGTATTACGACACGGAAATTTACGATCGTAATACGGAGCCATGTAATACGGCCAAATACGGCGATTTACCGTCGTATACGGCAGAAAACGGCCGTATACGGCCCGTATTTCACCGTATACGGACGTCGTAAAGCTCGTCCTGGGTAATATTGTTTATTGCTATTTTATCTTGACAACATAAAAAGTATCAGAATACAAATAGCAAATTCGTCACACGAAGTATCGTGATATGACTCGAATAAGATTTGGCGGGTTAAAATGCACTTTTTTACTTTTCCGTAGCTTATTTCATTTCTAGAGCTTCAATCTAAAAGAACTCTTGAATTCTAAAGAATGTGTTTAGTAAAACACGATATCAAGGAAGTGTCAGCAGTGTCAGAATTCTGTATTCCTTATGATTAGTTGACAAGCAAAGTTTTAGTAAAATTCTGCTGTGAATACAGAATTCTTACATTCTGTTTGTGAGAATTCTGCCACCCCACATCGAGACAGGAGTTCTAATAGATATTGAACAAAATAATTTTCATATCATTAAAACCAGCTGTTCTTGACGATCAACTGTATAATTCTGAGCTATGTAAAGAATCAAGACAAACTAAGACTTCTTCATTAGTTAAAATGGATGCTGTATGATATTATCGTGCAAAACGCACGGCGCCCACAGTCAACTCTCCTAGAAAGATGTATTTAAAAAATTTTATACTGACAGTTCACCTATGGAACGATTTTCGTTATAGACGACTGCTTAATGCTTGAAATATTTGTGCATACATGAATCATTACAAGAAAAAACAGCACCTAGCGCCCGAGACAGGGGATTAATGCAAAATCGCTAATTATCTAATCTTCCGTATTTCTTAAAGTGGCTACTTTTATAAGTTTGTTTAGAATACTTATATCCAGAATATGTCATTATCCTCGTTCATCAAAGGCGATTGTAAGTTCAATAATCATTTCATTCTTGATTGAGAGGGCACCTATATTGTATTGAAAAATTCTTTTTAATTTGATTCCATTGTTCATTACCAGTCAACACATGTGAGAGTGTCGGGAGATACTTTAGTAGAATTCATACTGTCTACTATATAAAATGAAGGCGTATAATTAGAGAATGGCTCATCAATTTCTCTAACTTGGTAATAATTCAAGCAAGAAAACATTCTATTCGATTTCAACAGACTACATGAACACGTTTAAAAGCATAATCGTCGCAACGAAGTTGGGAATCCTGGTAAAGAATATACATACAACCATGATCCCCGACCGTTTGCCTTACAATTCACTGCAACTCTATTATGTCATGGTAAATGATCACTGGAGAACCACGTTGTTTGTACTTGTTGACAAAAAGTGAACGAAATATGATAAAGATTGAAGATTTTCGTTGAACAGTAAAGAGATAACACATTTCAAATACGAGTGTCGATGTGATGGGAACTTAGTTCTGATTCACATTCATCCATATTTTTTTATCAAGATTTCCCTTATGACTGAATTGTAAATATTTCGATTATAAATGTTCTTCTGTATAAAGAAGAAAGCCTTTTTTATCACCTAATATTACTATAATGATTATTGTCGGTAATCAACGATAACTATTAATAATGTACTATATGATACTCAATCAAGGATCATGGTAACTGAAGTTTACTCCATGCGACCTATCGTAATCTCCATCAATGTGCTCCAGCAGAACTCAGAAGAGTAAAATGAGTAATATCGTTCTCTTATGATTGGTTGAATTCGTCTAGCAAATAGGAATCTATTTTCAAAGAAATAAACAAAAAAAAAGAAATGTACATCTCTTATACAATCGTTTTAAACCTTCTTACAAGTTTGTTTTCCTCAATATTAATATGAGTGCCCGGCGGGGAATATTTTTTAATTCAAAAGCGCGTACTAATGAGAAAATAAATCAATTAACAACAACGACAGCAACATCAAATGAAGATCCAATCAGTAAAACAAATCAAACGGGAACAGTAAAGAAAAAGATTATCCTAAATCACGCAAAAAGAGCGATGAATAAAACAATTTATTCTGGACCAAGAAAAATTTTCAGTACAAATTATAAAGTAATTTAGCCAATTAAAACAATATGTATATTTATTGCACCATTTTTTTATTCAGGCGAATCGAACACAGTTAAACCATAAAGCTTTTTTCGGTGGCGATACTGACGAATACGATATAGATAATAATCAAAAGACGACAATGAATACTCTTCATTCGAAAACCATAATTCACAATAGTACAACAAGAACCAATTCACAACAGGTTGATGAGTTCATTTAAAATCTTAATTAATTTTTTGTTTTGTTTATTTTTAAAAGATACCTACAGTAGTATCAAATTTTCGACAGCCAACAACATGTGCAGAACTTGACGAAACGCAAAGTTATATTGACGATATGGAATATTTATTAGCAGGATTTCAACCGGGAAAAGTACTCGGAGATCGTTGTCTCAGGTAAATTAGGAGTCGAGAAAATTTTTCTTTTCCATTTATTAAAGTGAATTTTAGAATTTCCTTCCTAATGTTACCTTAGAGAATGATTTCGATAAACTGAAATTAAATTTCTCCCTTGTGATGCTCGATTCATAAACTCATTATATATTGTAAAGCACATATTTAATATACACGAATTTTTATTTATAGTGCAATTAAATTCGCTGAATTGTGTACTAAAGAATCATTTCGTATGCATATAAGAACAGAAAATGCACTGGAACGAATATTTAATTTACTGAAAGATGCACCAGATATACCGGTAATGACGATTGATTTGTCGTTTAATATTGTTCAACTTGTTTTCTATTTAGAGTTTGAATATATGCACAGCATTTGTTTTATATATACTTTCATCAGATACGTTAGCATCAGAAATGAATCCCGATATTATACATTTAATGTTGGATTTAATCAAAAAAAGTGCATCAATAAATATCGATGATCATGAATATAAGAAAACGAAAAAACGAATACTAGAAATAAACAGCAACTCATTGTCAAAGGATATATTTTATGAGCAAAAATTTAATGTAGATAAAGTTTTTTTTTTCTTTTTCGAAAATTATACTTTTTCTTCTATGCTTTATTAGGCACGTGACATTATTCTTGAAACATTTGTTAATATTGCTCGTAATAATTTAAAAGAATCACTAGTTGACGTAATACGTACATCACGTGGTTTTGATTTGATGATCGACGAAGGTGAAATATTCCATTGGCTTTTTTCTTCTGCCTAATCATTCATTTTTACTACATTTAGTGTATAATAAAGTGCAAGATCTATCGAATTATAATATTGAAAGTCCTCCATTATCACATGGCTATAGAAAAGTGTGTCGATATATTAATATGTTAGAAGAATTTTCCAATGAAAACTCCGAACAATTATCTAGATCACATTCTGATGTTAATCGAATGTACATCGCTCAATATAAGCAATATTCTATGTTTCATTCCTTATCAAAGTAACATTTTATACAAGAAAAAAAAAGATTTTTTTAATAGAATATTTTCCCAGATTACTCGACCTTTCAATTGTTTGGCTGCAAAAAGATTTACCGGTCAATGAAAGTAGTACTACAGAAAAGAATTCAAATATACATCATGTATTTCGAGATGGATGCAAGACCATTATGTCTATACTTGTTATTGTTACGAGCGATTGCGGTAAGTTTGTGTCGAATAGAATTCGTCGTTTAAATTAAAAAATCTATCTTGAAATATAGTAGAGGTTACGATCGATATTTTTTCAGTTTGAAATTAGAGTCGAGATAATATTTTAAGTTTAGTTTTTCATTTATATTCATTTTTTGGCAGTTGAGAGGTCCGGAAGACTTCAGGGTGTAGATAAGTGACCTTATCATGTAATGGGCAGATTTTTATTACCATACAGGTGATTCAGGATAAGGATGATGAAATTCATTCGTTCGAAATGAAAAACTAATCGACAGTCATTAAAACCAGAGATTTTCTGATGTTCAATTTTTTTTCTTTTGTAGAAATTATTTGTGATCGTTTAACAACCGATGATCGATTTTTTTCAAATTTATTTCGTCTTCTTGTTACCATTGAAAAAAGTTCATTCAGCAATGAAGATAAATTCGATACACTCGCATTGGTTTGTTATTTTGTTAAAGTTATAAATTTATTTCATAAAGTTTTTTTCTATTTAGACGCTTAATTTATTAATTAATCTCGTGCAAAATACAAAAGACGTCTATAAACATTTAATGCAGCAAAATATGCCTGGTGGAAGTTCACTGAAAATCTACGAATATCTTGGCAAAGTATGAATTCTAATTTACTGATAGAGTTTGTATAAAGCTTGAAGGAAACAGCGGTGGTAAAAATCCGAGTTTCTCCAGGCTCTCGCGAGGTCAAATATCATTCGGCACATTGCCTGTAGCAACTAGGAAAAAAACACGAAAAAGCACATACCGGTTTCATGTCTGCCGTTCTGAGTTGAGATATTCATACAATGCCATGGCTTCTAACGCTTTTCAAATAGTGCGATGCGATGAGTCTATTAGACATCTTTTTTACGCGACGCCACTTTGCATTAGTATTACTTGAGTAGGATAAGACTCGAACTTAGAATTATTTTTTCTGTGTAGCTATTTTGCGAACAAGAATCATCAGCGGCCCGAGCTGAATCTCACGAAGAAAATGATTGGATGATGGAAGATGTGGATGATAAAGAGTTCGATGAACAATCCGATACGGTCCCAACAAATGAAAGTGGAGCAACTTTTAATCGAGCCTTGCAAAAAGCGGCTGGTCACATGGAAAATACGTTTGTTGCAGCATTTTCTGGTGTGATCCTAGCTGTTATTTTACTACGAGATCAAGCAACATATGTATCACAAATACGAGAATTAATGCCACAGAAAAAGTTCGATACGATGGCATTTATACTAAAGAAATTTTTTGTATTTATGCAGATGTCGGTACGTTATTATTTGATTTGATTAAAGGTTCGATTTTTGAATTCGGATTTTTCTTTAGCATGCGTTTACCCCATCGGGTGTAAAAATTCTCGAAGAAATCATTTCAATGGTCTTGTCATTATGTGGATAATGAAATGGAAGCAGATATAATTCATTTTGTACATAAGTAGACTTCACACTTTCTTTTTGTGTTCCTTTTTTCTTGTGTCAATGTATTTATAATATTCATGATGAACATGAATATGCTGACCAATATGCTCATAAAGAATTTCAACTAATATAGATCACGTCATAGTGTTTAACAGTTGTTGAAATAAATTATAGCAATTTTAATAGCTAATGTAGTTTCTTAGAAAATGATTAACTCAAATTCATGTGTGATAGATCATTGCACACATAAAAAATACGGTTTTTAAAGTGGTCGTGCTGTTCTTTTTTTTGTCATACATTTGGTAATAAAGTTTTGGTTCACGTCAACATGGCCGAATAATGTCAATTTTGTGTTGAAATAAGAAGCGAAATACAAATTTCAATTAATTGAAATTTTAAATTACAATAAATAATAGTTCTTATTCACATTCGTTTTCTACGGCACGATTCTAGAATATATTATGATGAAATGCTATATCACAAGGTTTAGATGCAAGGAAATGAGAAGCGGATTTCGTCTATCCGGAATCGGCTTTCGCCTCTTGCATTCTATTGCCTCTGATTCTATTTCATATTCAGTAGTCGGTTATCGGTTTTCACAGCCCGCATGAATATTTTCCCAAAAATATATCAGTGAAACGTTTGCATCAAGAAGTTCATGTGATTTTATGTATTCTGACTGATTGGTAGCTCACTTTATCAACAAGAATCTATATTAAATATTGTTTTTGTCAGCTGAAAAATAATGGTGTGTTTTAATAAAATAAGTTAATTTCTCACCGATCCAATGTATTTATCAAAGAAAATTTTACGAATAACTAGGAATTTTCTCAAAAATATTGATTTATCAATTTTTTTTTGTTTAACTGATGCAGTATTTTAGAACGAGAAGGTGGCTTCTCTACCATAGTGTTTGATGCACAAATAGGAAAACAGTCACGTGCAATAGTAGAAATAATAGGAACGCATTGATCATGATTAAGCCTAGGTTTGGCCGGCGGGACTTACAGTCACGCTGATGTCTAGCCACCTCATCCACACCCAGACGTTTCCTCACACAGATTCCGTGACACCTACACTTAATAGATGAATAGTTGAGTTCAAGTTTCAGGCTTCGTCTGTACGGTAATTTTTGGGTGAAAACATTAAAAGAGTCACGTTTCATCATATTTCTCGAACTAAAAATAAAACAAAACTATGGCTACTCACGTCAGTATAGTACTGACCAAATGGGTTTAAGAATCGATCATATAACATTAAAACCACGCTATTCTATCACAAATGATGAAATTCTAAATTTCGTGATGTTTTATGTCAAGATGAAATCAATACAAGCAAAGATTCATAATGGAGATTTTTTGAAACTATTCCCAAGTGTAATATTCGGCGTAATGATCCTTCCATTTGGTCTAGTTTTTGGTCAGTAAAGAAAAATAAAATATATTTTATGATAATTTTTATTTCTGAGGCCAGTGCCTTCGACATCAGGCGTTGTAAATAACTGTGGTATAGGTCAATCAGATTTTATGTGGAATATTCGTTCAAATCGAAACGTAAAATGAGTCTATTCTCAAATGTGGAATATGAATCAATTATTAATTTCATTCTGATGGTTGTGGCGTTATTCGTAATTGGCATTATAATCCAAAATGGAAACCAAACGGTGGATGGTATCCTGTTGATCAAAATCCAATTAAAACATCTCAACAATTTTGTGTACAAGGATTTATTTCATTAACTAATAAAAACATCTATGGTACTAATTCGATGATGAATAATTGAATCGTTTAATTCAAAAATTTCGAAAATAAGATCTTTGATCTTTTTAAAAGAAAAGAAATCGATGTTTTCAAGATGTGGGAGGGACTAAAAATTCGGCAGAAAACACCTCATCTAACTTTATCACAGCAACTGAACAAATAGTGCTGAATTCATTCATTTTCTGCGAGATTTTGTTGAAAGAAATTGCTTTTATTCGACTTTTCTGTTATATCTCTTATTTTTCGAATGACGACAGAACGGAGCAAAAGATATCCCCCTTCGCATGGAATTGAACCATGCACCTCCTGCTTATCGGGCAGACGTATTAACCATTTTACCAGAAAGGGTATCTCTCTCCGTCTTACGATTGTATGGGAACAATACGATCGTAACACCTCCCCCTCTACACAAGAGAATCGTTATCGATGTAAATCAGGAGGGGAACACTCCAGGTCTTTCGTACTCTCGAATAACGAAACACATGTGTAAGGCGAGCAGCCGTACGTCATTTCCCGGCTAGTGCACCAAATTGTTAGGTCCGTCGCCTTCGTTTATTTCTTTCAATCCTTCCTTTATACAAAAAACGAAAAACACAACTGAATTCAAAAACAAAAAGCAACAAAATATGTGCTTTTTCTTTCTCTCTCTCTTCCACCAGTCGGCTCCATCTCATAACTATGATAGAGGGATAAAGATGGCCGTCTTATGTCAGGAGATGTCTCTACTGACATAACATTTTCTGCCAAAAAATAGGGTTTCCGATCAAATTTAACAGGAAATTTTATAAAAATTTGCCAATAAGTCGGGCATGTTTTTGGTGGGAGATAAACCCTCGTCTTAACCGGCAAGCCTGATAAGAGTGTGCCCTTAACTGAAAAATATAAAATCCTACTACTGTGAAATAAAATTGGTAGGGCTCATCCAGCTCTATCTGAAACCACCGTGTTTTACTTGGAATTCATTCTTGACCGAATTGGGACAGGAAATACTTTTATCTAAAACATCTGAACATATAAATCCTTGCCTAAAAATAAAATAGAAAAATATATCTCAATTAAAAAGCTGTTCTTTATCCAGGTGAAAATTGTTCTTAAATTAAAAGAAACAACAGTTTATTTGAATTGGATAAGAGAAAAATGTTAGTGTAATAGAATTGTATCACAGCAAAATATGGCAATTTTCTTACAACAAACATGCCCCCTTGTAGAAGCTGATTTTATCAATTAACAACCAATGAAATTCGAAATGAACGACCAACATGACATATAATTCAAAAATATTAAATAATCTATTCTGCGAAAAGTCAAATTAACTTGTCTGATCAAAAATGAATTGAATCTATTAAAACTTGCTTGCAGTTAAAAAGTACGTCTCAATATCGCCCGTTTTATTTTTATTATTCGTTTTCAATAAGAAACTCACACAAAAGTACTTCCTCACCTTTAAATTTACTAGCATTCTCGATAACACTCAATGATCGATCATCATTGAAAAAGTACTCGACTAATTCAGTCTCTTTAGTAACTGTGTTGCGAAAAATTTCGATTCTTATGATGACAAATAAAATTCAAGGCTATAAGAAGTTTCATATGCTTCATTTAAATGCATAATTTAATAGACCAGCAAAACGCCACGCAGGTACGATTGACTAAGCTGTCAAAAATAAGTATTCTAATTATTATTTCAATCTTGTTCATCTTTGTTTTGCACTAGTTTAAAATAAACGGCGTTACTGGTTAGATCATTAAAGAATTTAATTTAATTTTTACGATAGAAATTCGATCTTTCTATGTTAAGACATCAAATATGACGTGTCACACATCTTATAGACGACTGGCAACATATGATATTTTACAATGAAAGAAACCAAAAAACGTTTTTTTGTTTGCTTAGGCACGACAAACATGTTGTGTATGATTTTTTCAACGTATCGCCTTGTAAATTGGCATGTCAATACCTGGAGTCATTAGAAAGTCGATCATCTATGTAACGTCTGGAATGAAATAGACGTATCGTGCACGATTTATTAAAATATTTTAGAATAATCAGTAAAAGCACGATGACAAGTAAATAATTTATATGGTAATCGCGATGTAGTTTTGATGCAAGAAAAGGAATTATGAGAATTTCGTTGACATTTCGAAATATACAAATAATGAAGCTTTGAACTGTCAATATCAAAGATATTATAAAGACTATACTACAATGACTGCCTTTAAATCCTATTTGTTTATTATCTAATTCTATTCAACTGTTTCTCATTGTGAAAGTAACTTTTTCATAGTTATAACTAAAATAGTAGAGATTGAAATAGGAAATATTAAAATAACGATTGAAGATATTGACTTAATCTCTATTTATTTGATAAGGCCACTCTAAGTTATGTGAAGAATTAGAATAATAATTTCTCTTCTTTCTTTTTCCTAGAAAAGCGGTCTACCTGAATTTTTTTCTCTTCTTATCTATAAAATTACAGAAGTAAAATGACAAATATATCAATGCTGAAATCAGTTTGAATGTAACATGTTTTTTTTAAAGCAATAAATATTATAGAATTTATTGTCTAGTTTTTGTTAAAATATAAACAAAAAATTTCAGCTATCACGGTTAAAGAACATCACGAAAATGTTTCTTTCTAATGCACATATTGGTAGTATTGGCATTGATTGAAAGTCCTATTAATCAGTTTGAGTTGTCTTCTAATTTTGAGCATCACCATTGGTTGTCGTGTACACCAGACCAGCTGTACTGTTACTTCCAGAAGTAATTTCTACATAGATTGCTGCTGCTATTTCTGCAATAGAAATAAAAGTTATTCGGTCATATCAATCGAAAATAATATTTACGATCGTCAACTGCTGGATCGAACATTATGCGACTTGGAATTTTGATTGTAGATACATTTTTTGTTTTACATTCTGTCTTTTATACTGTCATGTTTCCTGATTTTGGGATTTTGAAATAACGATTGAATGGACTATAATGTACACTGACGTCATTAGCATACTTTAGATGGCGAAATTCCAAGTGGAAGAACGGAAGACAACCACCTGCCAACATACTGTTCGCGTTCTTAAAAAAAAGGATATCGATTATTTTTTATCATGATTTCATATATTATCATGATCTATGTAATTATGAGTCTCGGCTATTGATGAAAGTTATAATCAAATAAATACTATATTTTTTACTTTTATTAAGCCGATAAAATATAAGACGCAATGGAATGTTAGTATCGAGTTGACTTATTGCTTTTTCGGCTTAGTTTTAAACAGATTTGTAAAGTAATTAGGATTTTATTCGATTATTTTCCAATGATTACAACGTCTGACTTTTTTCTTTTATGACAAACTTGGTTCTTTCTTGCTGTGAATATCAGTTCCTGAGTAAAAAATGATGGAACTTCCAGTTCCGAATCATGACTTCATCTATATTTGAATTGAACGAAAGATCTTGATAATCGATGAATTGAACTGATTGGCCAACGTACTCCCGTCCGATTGCATTAAAATAGATTGTAAGTAGACATACAAACAGAATAATTGAGACAATCTTTCTATTAATTTGAAAAAATTTCGTTGGAATTTTTTATTGCCAATTTGCCGACCTCCGCACTAATAGGTATGACAAGTACTTGTAAGTCACTCGAGTGACTCATATAATCTTCTTAAAATAGCTTAAATTTTCACATCGGACTGCAAAGCCAAGAATTGTATAGAATTCGAAGTGATGTGTTTTTATATCAGGACAGATTTTAATGAAAATCAGTTTTCCGGTGTGTCTGCAGTGCCTATTTAATGTGCGTAGTTCTACTTGAAATAGTCAATAATCAGTTGCGTTCATTACAAAGCACGAAATATTGCTGTTAAAAACTGATCGATAAACTGTTTTTTCTACCCTATAGCAAAAAAAACCAGACAATGAAATTCTTCTAATTTTCACTAAACAAACAATTAAATGCCACTTCGAAACTACTGATCGATGATGACATTTTTTCAAATTCTTATCATCGCCTCGAGCAATTCAACTTAAGTTCAATGTTAATAAACAATACCTTTCAATTGTCTACCAGTTTGTTTTTCTTCTTTTTATTCAAATAATAAAATATCCTTAAGCTATAAAACTCGAATAAAATGAAATTTCCTCAATGAAAATAAAAGTATTGATAAAATCAACAAAGAAAAACAGGAAGTATCTAATGTCACTATACAAACATTGATTGAGCGATGGCAAACACACCGGAAACTTTTACTTACACAATGAGATTTATATTTGTATTATCGGAACGAGAATCATGCCGACAAATACGTTTCAAAAGCAATGCGCGATCGCCTGCTACTAAATTCCTCGCTACCATAAACTTACACATTAATGTCAACTGTAGTTATCGGTAGTTAAACTCTGTGAAAATTTTTCTCCTTTACCGATGATCAATTACACACATCATAGCACTTCATGTAAATTGCGTCCACGGCCGATTTTTTCTCTATTCAACATCAATGTCAATACATAAATAAGCACTGTGCTTTAGGGCACTCGTAAATCAGTGAGGATTGTTTTTGTGTTTATGCGTATGTTAGCCCATGAGACGAAAAACGTCATTTGTCATTAATTGAATAGTAGTTGCCCATCATTTTTTTCTTTCACTTTTCTTTTCGATGGATGGGCAACTCGTGTTATTTTTTACTATTATACTACACTATTTTGTGATCTAGTCTTGCTAAAAAAGAAAGAATATAATGGCTGCCTTTTTACGATCTTGGTTAGGATATAACTTTCTTCGCGGGACTTAATGTCACATTTAAATGGTTCATTGCTATCGAATAATTATTGTCACCTGCGGTTTTTGATGATCTTGTAGAATCTATTTGAGTACAGTAGAAGACATATGTCAATATATTATCTTATCATTTTTTTAATGTTTATGTACAAAGACAGTTTTCATTATAGAGATTGTCAAATTTTTCCTTGTCATTAATATCTAATCAATACAACATGTTAATTTATGTTCCGTTAGACAGATAATATTCATATTCCATCTGTGTTGATAATGTTTTTATGTTATAATCGTGTTCTTGAAAGTAAACTCTCATTTATCATCTATTCTTTTAGATCCTAATTCAACAGCTGTATAATAAGCTGAAGAACTACAAACGAGAAGAAAAAGCAATAAAGGAAAGAAGAAGAAAGAAAAACCACACACATCTAACAGATTCGAATAGAAATTCTTGTGTTTTTTTCTTCTTCTTTTTCTTCTTCTTCTTCTTCTTCTTCTTCTTTTTCTCGTCTTGTTGAGCGGCTAGTCACGTTTACTACACATTCTCCGTTTTCTAGTCGCCAAATACACACACACACACACACGCACACACATATACTGTTGGCTTTATTGATGACATTTTCTAAATGAGAAAAGGTAAAGTTAAGAGCACAAAAAAAAGACATTTTTATGTACATCATAATTGAGTTGAGAAGTATCAAAAGAGTTTCTACGACAACTGTGATTACTACTGTAGACCTCGTGGAAGGTCGAAATTTTATTAACAATAAAATAAAAAGAAAACGAAGATGAACAAGGCTGAAGCAATTCTCTTTTGACGTTACTAATTAACTTGCGTGATATTCAGTAAAAACAAGATTGTTCTGTATGCCATTGATAAGAAAGAGTAGCATCGAAGATTTCATCTATTTTTCCCGTTTTGTTTTGCACTTGTATTTACATTTAGTATTATATAGAAATGTAAAATGACAGATCTGTCGGACCTTTATATCAAAATATGGCCTATTGTTCTACTATATTATTTTCTCGCATCATTATTATCATGTATGGAATAATAATAATAAATAGAATCTTAGTTGATGCACTGAAAATATTTCTATGTGCTGACAGGCGAATGCGCGTGTTTTCTCTGATATTTATATGATAAGTTCTTTCATCTGTATTTGGGCAGGCGCACAGAATACGACATATATTTTGACTGCAAATAAAGAGAAATATTTTGTCCTTCACATAGTTCTTTGATTATGTCTATTATGGATAGATACCCTTGAAGATCACACAAATTATATAGAGAAAGAAATCGATCTGATTTGTATCTTTATATCCTATATGTATTTATTCAATTCCAAACAATTATTCGTTGCAAGGCTATTGATGAAATAACGCCTCTATTGAAAAAGGAAAGAAAGGTGCATATGTATATATATATGTACAAATCCATAGAAACACTGAAACTTGTGTCACAACACGTCTTACAAAAAAACAACAGCAGTAGAAAACAGATGAATCCAAAAAAACAAGTAATTAAGACGCGAAAAAAACGAAAGAATAGAATTGCATTTTTCTTGTTTTTCTCTATATATATATATATATATATATTAATATTGATCGTCAATCTATAACACACTTGTCTACAAGGTAAACTATCGTGCATACGTGATTTCACATATATTAAGCATATTTTATTTGCGCACGATTTAAAATTCTATTACATATTAGGATTTCAGCTTTTGTTTTTTGTCCATATTATTAATAGATCATTCCTAGATCTTGCGTTCATTTTCTAGACCGACGTGAAATAAAATATTCTACCGAATCTTGTCAACAAAGAGTATTACACTATTTCTGTTCAACTTCCCTGCGTACAAAGCTTAAAACGAGGAAATTAATCGAAGATTGGATTAATCACTATAAACAAAACTGAGCTATGAAAAAAAAAGAAAAAAAAAGAAAAGGAAAAGAACACTTGAGAGACCGAGAGAAAGACAAGCATGAATGAAGGTCGTTATATAGGAAAGAGAACGAGGCATGTACAGACGTGTAAAATAATTTTGTATAAAAAAAAACAATTTATCCGTTGATTAGTTTGATTTCCTTTTTTCCTTCTTCTCATTTATTTTATGGGCTTTTTCTCTCATTAATACAGGTTTTTCAAAGTGAAATGATCTATCAATGACCTAAATCGCACTTCGATTAGACCAAACTTTGGCGATTGTTTTGTTCGAAATATGATTATTAACTATTCTCTATGGAAGATTTTCATACTAGTACTTTGTTTCATAAATTTCACTTATGTTGCTGGTAATTATCGCGAAAATCTTGCGTTACGTCATCCATGCAATACAATCAACAAGCGTCTCGAGCCGTACATTGCATGGACAGAAAAACTTGCAAGTAGCCAATACAAAGGTGAGCACTTTCAATTATACTTTCACACGTTACTTTTCTCCTATCGATATTATCAATGGTAATAGAAAACAACAGGGTATATCACATATATAATTGCCCATAAAGCAAACAATAATGTATCTTCGTAGTACGAGTGAAGATTTTAAGTGTAAAATCCCGATGGACTATGTGATACGCCAGCCACCAAAGCGAACTTATTCAGACGCAACATATAGAATGTTATCTATGGAGAAATAAATAGAAAAGAATAGGCGAACATCGTTTTACAAGTTTCTTCCCTCATAGAATCATTCTGTGTAATATAAGGATTCAAGTATCCTAATTAATCTTGCTTGAAAAATCTATATATTATCTCTTCAGGATTTATAATAATAAATATTCTATATTTTCTCATGTAAAATTAATTAAATTAAAATTAGATGGAGCATAGAAATGTATGCTGAAAAATCTACAGGAACCAAAATCGCAATATTTTTCTCTAGTTCAACATGATGCATGCGGTCAAATTGGTGTCGGACCTGCATGTTGTACAGAAGACATTGTAAATTCTTATGCGACACCACTTGGTGCTGAATTACAAAGTATAATCGATGGTCAGTTAGATAATTTAACAAGTTTACTAACAATATCAAAACAGCATATCGCTAGTGAGTGAATATTATTCTTAATTGATCTTATGAATCATCATCATACATCTATTAATATTAGTTTGGTCAAATGAATATATTATTGAAACGCATCGTTTAACAATATCTTCACTTGAAACATTATTCGGTACGAAAGAATATCATTCAAATATCGATCATTCTGTATCGAATTTATTCAATACTCTAAGTAATACTCAGTCATCAGTTGAAGATGTATCAAAATCAACTATAGATTTATTTAATCATCTAATTATTTCTATCTACCGTCGATTTATAATTAATGATGATTCAATTCAACTGGATGATGCTTTTCAGAAATGTCTTCTAAATAAAGCATTTAATATGGAAGTATTGCCTAAACAACGTGAATTACTCTATATATTAACTAGTGCTTCATCATTGATTCAAATATTTCTTGCAATGCTTGTTTATATACAAGCTGATATTCAACGATTGCAAAGAACGACAACTATAGATTCAAATCAATGTATACAACGTTATGCAAGAGAAACATTGTGTCCTATCTGTGTTAGTAGTACATCATCACCATCGTCGTTTTCTAATCAAATAAATAATGATAATGATATTAGCGAAGCTTTATGTGAAAACGATTGCCGATATATAATTAGAACATGTTTCAATGAAACAAATGACCCTTATTTAGTATTTGCTTCGATGGCGAAAAATTATTCTGACATTCTAGAAGAAATGGAACAAATTGTCATTGAACTCAAAGTGAGCGTATATAATAAATATTAAAGATATTTTCATAGAAAATCTTTTCGTTTTTGTTTTCAAAGCTTGTAGAGCGTCTTGCAAAATTACATATCTATTTATATGACATGGTCGTTAATACTACTAACAGTCGACAAATCTATATGGAGCTTCACATGGCTTGTCCAAATCAATATGTTAAATCGTTCAGTCCCATTATTTCATTGCCACCTGCAATAACTGAACGCCGTGAACTTGTTTTCCAATGGAACAAATCATTGCATGTGCTACTGAAAAGAACTCATTCATCTATTCATAATCTCGAAGCAAAATTTACGAAAAAACTAATGACAGGCATTTGCTCCAATGCAAAGTATGTTTCGAAATCAGATGGATGTACACAAATCGATAAGCAAATTATTAAGTAAGTTGACATTGATCGGGAAACGACTCATATGTTATGTAAATTAGTCTTTATATAGAATTACATGAGCAAAACAGTAAATAGTATTAGTATATTTCTAGGATTTTCATATCTAATATGCAACTAGAGCTCGGTGAAAATAAAACTAAGCTTTATTTCACAATCTTAGCGTAGATTGTAAATATGTGCAAGTGATACTTATGTTCGCATGAAATTGTTTCGTAGTTGTGATTAGAACTGTCGAGAGGGCATACTTGAACACCCGAAGAAACAAGTGCATCAGCAATTCAAAGGCTCGTTGTGCTCCTTGCTTTATTGAGAAAATCTCACTGGATTCACGAACTATATTTTCTAAGTACCAATCAAAAATACAGCATTATTTCTTCATCTACAGCTTTAATTAAAATTTCCATCATCAACTTGTAGATATTCGATACGTGAATATCAAAACCACAAATGCAACGTCTTTCCACGAATGTACCCTGAAGACTAATCTGTGTTAATATTTTTGTGTATGCATTGATCTTACACAACTTTATGAATCACTTACACAAGTAGAAATCGAGCCATCATTTTTTCTTATGCCCATAGATAGATCGAATTTAAAATATCTATATTCTAGTCTCATTCAATGGCCACTTCCATCCATCTCAAAGCCGATATTAAATGTAAATAATGCAGAATTGACACGAAATCAACTAGATGAATTAAAGAAAAAGATGATACCTATACAACAAATGACAACATCACTTCAACCGAAGAAGAAAATTGCCCTAATAGAATACATACCCGATTTTGAATCATATAATGATGACATTAGTATTACGGATTATGATACAGATTTTTCGACTTCACTTGAAAGTGATGATGCTGATATTCAAGGATCACTCAGTGAACGACTTTATAGTGAAATCGACGGGCTAACTACACGTATGTATTTCTATTCAATGGAATATCTCTATTGATTTTAATTCAGGTCGATCGAAAGTGACAACAACAAAGAAAAATTCTCAACAAAAAACTTCGAGCAAAGCTGTATCGATAGCATACAGTTTGCCGATATATCTCACTATTTTCATCATAAAACAACTTTAATTGGTTTTTATCAATCAATACAAAACGATAGGCTTGTGAAATTATGTTTTTCAAACAGAAAATGTCTTTTTTTGTATAGTGATACCTTACAATTCTCCATCCAATACTCCATATTTATGGGTTTTGTTGTTGTTGTTGTTGTTGTTCTAAATATCCGGTGTTATGTCTTTTCTATAGTAGCATAGATATTTTTAATATAAATTATTTATGACTTACTTAAGCATTAAATCATAATAATTATAAAAATTTTACTCTGACATAATTAAATCTAGTGGAAAGATTATCGCACGATATCATTTATTTCAATAAAAACGAACGTCTTTTGAAAGATTTACATTCTGTTGAAGTCTAACCTAATTGATGGATTCTTTTCTTCTTTTTTTCTGTCCTGTGACATCAATCTAAATTAAATGCATCAGAACTTTTTTTTCCGACGTTTACCGGATATTCATATTATTTATTCAGAGTGCATTATAACTGTAACGGTTTTCCTGTTCTCTAAACACTGAAAACAGGATGAACTTTCGATACGTTTGTATGGGCATCGGATGTATAATCCGCGTTGAAATAAAATACATCATATTAATTGACAGAATGAAGGTTTTCAAAAAGAAAAAAAAAACCTACCGAAGACGTGTTATATTGCATTTATAGCTCATCAATAGCAGGTCATATAAACAATGGTTTAATTGAATATCAATGTCAATCTTACTCAAAATCGGAAGTGTCCATGAAAATCAATATATTAAGATAAATGCGTATTACATATCAGCACAACTAGTGAACTTATCGATTCGATAGGAATAACTTCTTCCATCTGTTACATGGCAATGGCATGTAAAACACATTCTGTTTTGTTTCTTTCTGAGTTTACTATAATAGAAAAACGATTTATTACTATCGATACTACTTTAGCAAGGCTCCATTACCTACTGAAGACTAATAAATCTCTAATTAGTTAAATAGTAGGCAGAGAAAAATAATAATAATAATAATAATAATAATAATAGTCTATACGATTGGTTAACAACACAGCTCTTCATCATATAGAAAACATTTATTACGTCCCCTTAGGATGCAATATATATATATATATCAGGTCGATACGAATGACATCGATCCGTCTACTCACAACTAATTATTTTTTCTTTTTCTTTCCGAAGGATTTTCTCGAAAAACTATATTGTTGAAAAGAATCTGATTAAAATAATCAAGAAAATCTATTTATATAGCAGAAAAATTAGAATAATGCATTTCTATTGGGGGTCTGTTGTGGATGATCTTAGAGGATAATACACAGTTAATTAATATAGAAACACGATATGCAAAAACGCTATTATCGCAAGTATTCAGTTATTTATATTTATTCGCATACGCGTTATATCGACCCTCCATACCGGCAAATTGCTTGTCACAGCTGTAAACAAAGAAAGAATCATTATTTTTAAGATATAAACTTAACACATTAAGAATTAATACATAAAAGATTTGTTTTATAAGAAAGAAACTGAATAGACAAATAAATGGAATATGATTTATTCGAGATTTTGTTTTGTGTGTGTGTGTGTGTGTGTTTTGTTTTTTTAATCATTGAAATAGTTTGAAGATTATGGTGATTTTATTCGTAATCTTTTAACAGTATCGACATGACATGATTTACGTTTCGACGATGGCTTCTTTAAAGTGACTCGTGTTTGTTCGAACGGTAAAAATTTGTCTCTATTCTCGTTTTGACTATGATGAAGCGGTAGATCTGTACTTGTTGATGATGATATTTTAACAAATGAATGAAGTAGATCACATAAATGTTTACGTGATTGTAGAAAAGTCGAACGAATTAATGATGTATGATATAGAGATTCGTAATAGCGTGGCGATTGCAATTTTTCAGTCGAGATTTGCATAACGCGTATACAATAATATAAATTGTCCATTTGATTTTTCTAATCTAAAAAAAGAAATAATTTCTTTATTCCTGTCAAAGTGCTAACGTGAAGCATTTCTTTTCTTTTTATAGATATGAATGAAAAAATAATAAAAGAGTCGTGTGCTTTGGCACACATAACACAAAAAAGCATAGTCTGTCGATAGTTATAGTAGATATGCGTCATTATTCTTCTTTTCATTCGGTCTTTCCGAAAAGATTTTGTAATAAAAATAGGAAGCAAAAGGAAGCCGTTCCTTTTTTCCTCTGTTCTCGTTCTTTTTTCTTCCTATTCTACATCGATAAATTCTGAATCAGACTATATCAATAATTATAGAAGAAAAACAAAGCTTTTTCGTTCGAAAAAGAAACAAGAAAGAATTCAGTCAATATTAAATGTACACACTTTGTTTGGCATGTTTTGAAAATTAATAATGTATGTGAAACAAATATGTTTTTCGTATTAGTAAAAGTTACCGTTAATTTGTATTTTTTTTTGGCTAGGGAATAATATAGAAAACAAAGTAATAAAATGATTAGATTCATACTAATTATCTAGGCATTGTATTATTTAATTGAAGATATATTTAAGCAAAAACCTCTTACTTTCGAATATCCTATTCTCTTCTGCATCTTCTGGCTGTTTCCGTTCATCTATCTCATTATGATTCTGTTGTTGAATTTGTATCATTGTCAATGGTACTTAAATTAAATCACTATTTTCCTTCTTCTTTTCAAAATTTTTAGAACAAGTAAACATATAACTAAATAGAAACTATCAAATGAGTACTTGCACTGTTTTATTGCTACACTTGTGAATAAATATAAATATATATGTTTTCTGTTTGTCTCGACTTCTGATTCAAATGAATTAGTAGACGTTGACAATAATAACAAAAAGAACGAGAGAAGATAAATTTATGCTGTAGTCAGCATATGTATGCGTGCACTCACTTCATTGATTATGCACATACCGTCTTTGTCTGCACAATCAACTACTTTTCATCTCTCTTTCTACACGCACATTATGCATTTTTGTTTTGTCTCCTGAAAACTTGTAACACGCAAACTCAACAAAACAGAAAAGTCTTACATTTCTCACCAAATATAAAACTGATATTTAAATAAGATTCGCGAACGAGACAAACCGTTTGCTTTTCATTAATAATGGAGAAAAAAATAAAAATCATTTATTCATCTGAAAAAGCTCAATATGTACAACGATGCAGTACGATGAGACAAGTATATACAAAAAAAAGAAGAAGAATAACAGCAGCAAAACTAGAATGGATGAATACTTCAATTTACTTGGTAAATGTCATCATTCAATATTATCAGTCCATAGGGAGAAAGAGAAAGAAGACATCAAAACGATGACTATGCTCATTGCATTTGGATTATTAAGGCTGTGTGTTGTTTGACGACATTAGAAAGTTTATACTACAGATTATATGAATCAATCAATATATATATATATATATATAGAGAGAGAGAGAGAGAGATTCCGATCGAACAAATATGTACACGTGTATATTAAACAAAGTTTTGAGGATTTTTATTCTTAAAAGGACATTATTCAGCTTCATTTATTCTGTCAATTACAATTTTATATTTATGTATAGAAAAAACTGGGGTGCTTTTTGTAAATATCTATTATAAATTACGAAGTTTTCCTGGTTCGTTGATAATATAAGTAGTTGGTCGAATATATAAGTTCGAATAACAAAAGAACTATTTTGCATTAGTATGAATATTTTACTAATGACATGAATATCTAAAAATCAATTAGGATATTTAATATAATAGACGAGCAACATTAGGATGAAAATCGAGTTTCTTTTTTTTTTCTATATTTATAAATATGGTTAGTTTCAATCGCCATACGCATAGCTGAGCAGTTGTTAGCACAATTCCTAAGGGATTAAAATGTAGCTGCATTGTTGCTAATCTTAGAAAGATTGTTTTATTCTATTCTATTCTCAGTCATAATGTACTTAGCCCTCCGCCGGCAATACAATAAGGAACATTAGTTATCAACAAATTCTATTTTCCATAATCCTTTTCGTTCGTATTTCAGATATTTTACCAACGGAACGTTAATGTTAGTTCTAAGAATTTCCTTGAATTTAAAAATTCTTCTTACTATGAAATAGTTTTGATTAATATGACACGTTCAAATGTTGACTTTGACCATTAAACATGATACACAAACATTAAATTTGTGTATACGATCGATAGCTTTGATAAAAATGAATTATTACTATGATCAAGTGAGCCTCCAACAGACGATTCATCATTTTCATACGAACCAATAACGGAGTAATCTATGTGACATCTAGATTATGTGCAAACATGTCTAACAACATATCAATTTAGTTTAAAGGCTCAACCATCTAGCGAAAATTTACACGACATACTTATAAGCAAATCCGACTTGCACGATTAAACTGCTTTAAAATATCTTTCATATCAAAACAATTGAATTTCTCCGATTGTGATTATCAGTAATCAACTCAAAGGAATATTCTGCGAAACAATATCGAATCAATATTTATTGATTGTTTCAAAGATAAAAAAAACCATGTTTTCTATAATCCGTGGAAAATTAATGCATCGATATTGTTTTTTTTTACATAATTCGTCGCATAAAATCATAATATGGTTTGGATTGATTTCATTGATGATTTAGATTTAAATGTAAATTTCATTAACTAGTAATATAATATTGATAGCGAAAAAAGTATCATCGTAAAGAAAAGAGAATCGTTATTGACTAAGACACAACATGCCGCATGTTGGAGTCGAGGGAAAAAATTGCACTGTCGAGGTTCTTCCGTTCTCCAACCAACATAAGTTATTTCATCCTCACGCTTGCATGCATGACGTCAGTAAACCTCATAATCATTAAATCGACTTCACTTGAGCACTTCTGCGAAATCATGCATATCTGTACTATAAAAGTAGACACGTTAAAACGAACAAAAAGTCATTTAACTAAAAAAAATTCTAACTCGAAAAATGTTCGAACCATCAGTTTACGATCGTACGTTTAATTTGCTATGAATTCGTTTTATTAATTCATTTTTATATTGATTATTTAGCTGTAGTAACTGAACTTTTGAACTCAAGCAGTTCCGACAGCCAAGGCACAATCGGCCTTTATTACCAGCCGAATGCCGATTCATCCAAAACGAATTAATAAACTCTCGAATTAGACCAATTTAAGCAATATAAATATTTATACTGTACATTTCGAGCAAGCCTTTCGATATGATTGCATCTAAAATAAAACTCATGTGTGAATGTGAAATATGGATGCTTTTTTTATAATCAAAATATTTGCTTATACATATGAGTAACATTTTTTTTATACAATCAAGATTTTTTCATTTAATCTCGAATAAAATATATTGAAACGGATCAATAAATCGATTAGTATGTTTTCAGAAGACGTCTGAAGTTATGACTGATATATTTGTCGTTCTTCGTCGATCTGTTGACGATAAGAAACAGATGCAAGAGAACGGTTTATCTCGTTGATCAAATTCTTTACAGATGACTCAGCGAGTTAGAGCACTCCGTGGAATAAATAGAAAATGGCGCATTTGCTCCAACACTTCCTCTATGCAAGTTGAAATAGATTCAATCGTTTTATTATTGTAAAATGAAATTTCTGTGTGACAAATGACCCAACATAGTTTTTGATTATAATAACGCGCAGACAATCTACATCTCTAATCTTCCGCGATGACTGATTGCTTTATTGAATGTACTAATGTGTTGATGGTTCATATTTTTATGAAGCTGACGGCGTCTAGCCTAATGACGTTTGAAATAAATGAACGTAGAACCGATCGTGGGAGTTTGATGTGGGTTTTAATAAAAATATCATTTTCTGTCAATTTATGATTTAACAGGCGTTTGAAAGTCACTGAAATTCGATCTTAGCCTTTGCTTGAACAAATAGAATGAAAATCAACAAAACAGACTGACTTTTAACTAGAACAAATCCCAGACTTTGATACCACCTGAAATTCGAGATGTTCGTAATTATATAATTAGAAGAGTCTTATTTTTCATTTCACTGTTTTTTTTCAATGACTTCGTTACTGCTGAGTATAGTTTGATTTTTATGATGTATGCCGTGATTATTTTAAGTACATCCGACATTGTTTGAGTTGGCAAATATTGATAGTGACGATTTTGTTTGTTTGGAAAAGTCATGTATGAAAGTCAAAACATATGAACAATAGATTCTACGAATGTAGGTATCGAGGAGTTTATTCGGCGAAAATTTTGAAGAAAAAAAAAATATTGACTTTTAAACAAAATCATACAATACTTGCGCGTCATTGAATAAAGAAACAGAAAAAGAAAGTCTTCTGTTCTTTGATTTCACGAAAGTCATAGCTATATTACAATCGCTATAGTATATAAAGCACGAACTTCGATGGTAAATCGAAATCTAACGAAACAAAAAAGAATCATCTCATACAATGCTTGATCTAGACACTGTCGATAGTAAGATTCATTTAGACTTATATTTCTTTAATAATGTTAAGTTATTTTAGAGGCCGCAGCTGATATGTATCTAAATAGCACAGATCAAGTAAGCATTCAATTTAAATTTCGCTATATAAAATAAAAATTTGTTATGTGCAGAATGGTACAGTCGGTGTTGAATATACTTCGAATGGATATGGCTCAGCTGAATCTGTTGGCGGATAGGCTCATGATGAAACTTCGTCGAAAACATTTCCGACTTGTACTCATCAGCAATAGTATAATTTGTACCAAAATCATTCAAGGTTTTTACTTTTAATGTGGAGTGTTCAATGGCAATGGGATCTTTTTTTTATACGTATATATGTTTGTGTTGTTTTTATTTAAAATATAATTAAAATTTTCATGGTGCAAATCTAGACTATTTCAAATTTTGAAAGCATATATTTGTGTACGGTGCATAGTGCTAACGCCACTGTATGACGACAAGAAGCAACATCGAAGCATATGAATTTAGAATTATATCTTTTTAAACCAGTTGAGATCATATGATAGAATGAGCTGGTTACTTGGCAGAATTCGTGCTGCCATTTCATCGATATTATCCAACGCGAAGATCAATTCTAAATGAAGAAGTACATGAGATTTTTTTATAGCAGATTTTAATTTATGACAAATGAAAAAGGATGTGACTGCGAATGAAGTCATGTCTTCCGATGAATTGAAGTACGCAGGAAGTAATAATCTTTATCAGCCAACGATAGAATTTTCCAACGTATGACTTTCGAATAGAAGTGCTTTTCTTCCTAATAAGATTAGAAGTAATATGTAAGTTTTCCTTCGAATTCATGGTCCTTCTCAAATTGCTACAGTCATATTTCGAGATTTCATCATTTATATAATTATCCAATAATTTCCTTGGAGGAAAATAGTTACTTTTAAGAACTTCCGATTATCACGAGGTTATCAGTTGCATTCGCTAGAAATTCACGCTGAATCATAATTCTCTTTCAAGCACTTTCGCATGTATTTTCAAGGTTACTTTCACTGAAAACAATTCTTTTACTTATACCATCTATGAAAAAAGTTGTCCTTGAAGAGTGCATGTAAAAAAACATTTTGTTATGGTTACGAATTTTTTTTTTCAATTTGAATAGATTTTTACCTCCCTGTGTCCATGAATTATCGTTATTATTTGTATATGCGTCGGCAAGTTCCACCATTTTTTTGAGGATTTCGTCTGGATTCGGTACTTGTAAGAGTCGAAGTAAATGAAGAACTCTATGCAAAAAAAAGGAAGTCATTTAAGAAATAAATAACTCAACGAAATTTTTACTGTTCCGGAATAATTATTCGTTGTTCTTTGTCATCGAAAACGTCAAACCATCGTTCTATATCTTCTTTTACAAAATTTCCACCGATAACAAATGGTAAACACAGATCTCGAAATTCAACCCAATTAATAAAAACATCTAAATAGAAAAATATTTTCTCATACGAAAAATTCTTTTGCAGACAAACAAATAAAAACCAACCGGAGTTTCTTTTCCTATTTAAATATAATTCAATAAACGCTTCAAGATCATCGCTTGATATGTGTACGTTATTATGTATAAATTCATTTGTTAATTTCATTGATAACGCTGGTTTATTACTGTCGAGTTGTTTTGTCTCGATATCAGCGCCTACTCTTTTGAATATTCGTCCGAGTACTAAGAAAAATACAAAATGAACAGTCGAACAAAAATGAAAACGGTATTCTTACACATGATTCCATTGTTAATCATTTCTAGAACTTTATCATTGATTTTAATTGGAAAAATAAAATTCGGCACTTCAAATGAAATCGATTTACTATCATGATTTTCTTCGTCGACAACAGGACGCATATACCAAGGTTTACTTTCAATTTCTTCTGAAAGAATATTTGTTTTTCCATCATCAGATTCTTTGATTGCTTCAATTAATTCTGTAGATTTAACAAAAAGTTCATATACTGCGTTTTTTTTTGAATATTTTCTCACCATCAGAATTGGTTTTGTCATTTTCATTTTTATTTAATTTATTCATCATATTACTTGTAAATTCATCGGTATTATTAATTTGAAGCAGTTCAAGTAATTCTAAAAAAATTAGATTTTATTTTTAGAAATAAATAAATAAATAAACAAAGGCAAGTTTTTACCAACAATTTGAACCAATGATAAATATCCATCTTTTTTTAAATCGAATAAATCGAATAATTTTCGAATATGTTTTTCCGTATAACGACCCGTTAGAATAGGAAATAGTATATCACGAAATTCGATCCAATCGAGTGTTTTTGAACGAACTTTTTTTATTTAGAAAAACAATGAATAATTAAATTTTACCGAAAAAATTATCTTACTTTCTTCTTTTGCTGGTTGTACAAGATATTTTCTAAGAAGACCATCGAATAATATTCGTATGAGATTATCACCAAATTCAAGACGATCAATTAACTTCTCGGGAAAAGCGTCATTGATTTCAAGTAAATCTTCATCATTGGCAAATTGACAATAGACATAACGAAGATCTAATAAGAAAATGATATAATTCACCTTAGTCATTTCTACTAAAATGATATCCGGATTCTCATATTAATAATTTTTTCTCATGCAACCAGTAATTCAACGGGCATTTCCTTTCAGCATTGAAATTCTATATCAAGCCTACAAAATAACCACCTTCTGGTTGGTTAAATAAGTAAATGAATTAATATTCACTCTTGTGAATTGAATCTATAGATATAGTTTGCTTATTCAAGTCTTAATAAATAAAAAAAATAAATTATGATTAAGGAAACAGATGTATTACGCAAGAGTGCTATATTGAGTTTGATAATTTAATAGATCTAGGCTTATTATAGATTTTTCTAGGAACATGAGTCTTTTCTCTTGAATAGATTTAGAAAAGATTTATATTTTCCTATTAAAAATAATCTATGTTAAAGATCTTAAAATATCGTTAACAGATAAATTTTACACAGACCTTGAATGATAGCTTCGAGATGTGATTCATCATAATCTTGAGACTTTTTGTCTTCTGATTTGAGAGAAGACGAATCAGCATCTGCAATTTGAAAAAAAAACACAAAATCGATATATTTTCTGTAAAAATGAATGTCCCGGTTAAATTTACCTTTAGTAGAATTGACAATATCACTTTCAACATCGTCTAATAGTGTTTTGGATAATGGTTGATCATTGAATTCTTCATTATTTATCGTTGTACCATAATAACCAGGTGAGGAGATAAAATGAATTTTACTATTCTCCTCAATTTTATGTTGGTCAGAAAAACTAGTTGGTTCTTCTGCTTTAGTTTCTTCTAGTGATGTACTAGGAGCATTTAACGATAGTATTTCTTGTTGTTCGACTTCATGGACGTCGTGTTGTTCGATAGTTAATGGTTCCGTGGAACCACTCGATTGATGGTTATCATTAGTTTCATTTAATGATGCATTCGAATTTTCATCCTCTTCTGCTAAATAAAAACAAAATGCTATAGGTTTTAACAGTCGTTCATCTCGGAAATCAATTTACCTATAAGACTTGGCAATTCAGTCGTTACTATTTCATATCCATCGGAGATTACACGAAAAGGTTGTTCGCCGACAGTGCCATCAGTCGTTGAATCTTGCTGAATTTCTGAGGAAATCGGCTGTTCTTCTGTAATTGGAGAAGCTCGTTTCTCATTATTTAATTGATTAGATGCATTCTGTTGAGATGTTTCAATGAGTTCGGGTTGTTCGAAATCGGGTATAATTTCTTGCTTTTCTAAAGATTTCGAAGGTGATTGATCATTTGATAGTGTTGTATTTATCGATGTTGTCGGAGATTTCTGTGTATCTGAGAATTTTTGTTCGCTCATCATTGAAATGTTCGATAGTGCTTCAACTTCTTTGAGCAATGTAGAGCTTGATTCATGATCTTCGAATTGTGCTACAGCCGATGGATTCTTTTCAGAGGGATCTTGTTCATCAACCGAAGTCGGAGAAGACAGTTGGGCACACAATGATATGTCTTGATCGGTCAACACAGATGCTAATGATGATTCGGCAGCCTCTGGAAATTGTTGAGAAGTTTCCAAACGTACAGGAGGAGGTCGATAGACTTCTGTTAAAAATGGCAGTACATTGGCGATTGATGTTGACTCATTTGTTGCCGTTATTAAATAGACTTGAACTCCTGCGGCTGAACTTGGCGATTGCCAAGCATCAGCAGGTGATTGTTGATTGTCGAACTGTGTAGGTGAAAAGCGGGCTTGCGGCGTAGATGGTGACGATCGATCTGATGGAGCGGGTACAATAATAGGAGATTCCAATTTTTCAATGGACGTTCGTAAGGGAAAATTTGTAGGCTCTATTGTTTCTTCTTGTAATGAACTTTCTTGATGATCCGATTCAATTTTTTCCTCCTTGAACTTGCTCATTGTTGATAGAATTTGATCAAGTTCAGCACTCGTCTTTTCGAAATCCATTTCGACTTCATTTCGATTGTTTAAAAGCTTGAAAAGAAAAGGCAATTAAAATTTATATTTATCGCATTTCTTTTTCGCAGGTGACTTACCGAAGAAGTTTTATTACTTTGCGTTACTGTTGTTCTTAACGTTGTTGGTCGTATCGGATATTGCTTGTTCATTAGTTGCTGCTGTTTTCGTCGATATTCACCTTCTAGAACGCCTCGATAAAGCGTTAATTCAAATTTTAAATTTCTATCGTATTCCGCTAAATGATTTAATTTTTCGTTTAAACTTTGTAATTCCATTTTACTGCGTTCTAATTCATTATCTTTAATCATTAATTCTTTCATGCGCTCATCACGTATTGAATATAAATCCGCTTCCTATGAAAAAATCTTCCATCACAATTAAAAAGTTAAATCAGTCTGACACTTACCATAGCAAGAATTTGTTCAGTTAAAACTAAATTATGATCACTAACTACGGTTAATTCTTGTGTCATACATCGATGTTCATCTTGAAGTTTTTCACATTCAATTTGAGCTGCACGTTGATGATTCTCCATTGTTTCATTCTTGTTTGCGTTAGCAAGAAAATTTTCTTCTGCAACTGTCATCATATGTTTGTATTCATTCTCTACTTGTTTAATTTGTGCTTTATTAAGTTCATTGAAGTCTTCACTTATACGCGTTATGGATTCATTTAAGCATGATAACAGATATTCATTAGCTTCGGCTTGTGTAGATAATATCATTTGATGTTCATCGTCTAGGAATTCTTTTGATGTTTGCATTAATTTAAGTTCTTCGCGTAAAGTTTGAATTTCAAACTACAAAATAAAAATTTATGAATTAAAAAATTACAAAAATAACAATCGTTTTTTTATACTTCAGTTTTTGATCGTTGAATACAAATATGTTCGAGCTGAATTTGTAAATCATCGACTTTACTCATGGCCTTTAGATGTTGTTGTTTTTCATTTTCAACAAAAACATATAAATTTTGTAATTGTTCATTTAACGATTTTAATTCTTTTTGAACTAAATTTTGATGTCGCTGTAAATTATTGATACGTTTAGTTTGTTCTTTTTCATTGCTCGAAACAAAATTTATTCTTTTTTTAAGTTCTTCACGTTCATTTATAAAACGTCGAGCCTTTGATTTCGATTTATAACGTTCAATATGAGCTTCGGTCAATTCATGACTATGCTCTCGAAAGTCCTGTGGTAGACGTTTCAAATGATTATCTAATGTTAGAATATAATTTGTGCGTATTTGTTCGATATTATCTTGTAATAGACGATTTTCATCGTCGATTTTTTTAATATCTTTCAAATATGTTTGAAGGCTGCCATTGAGATCACGAAAATCTTCTGCTTGTGAATGATATGCAACACGTGATTGTTCAACTCGTGTAACCAAATCTTCGAATGCTTGATCTCCTAGCAAATTGAACATAGCGATGTAATCTAAAATTAAAATTAAATTCTATATTTTATCAAACCTGTTGATTTTCCTATATTTTCATGAGAAGGAGAGAAAAAAAATGTCTACACTACTTCATATGACATTTTTCTTTTGCTTCTCTGCTAAATGGAGAAAAAATTCCAGTTCAATAGACAACTCTAATTCGTTTCTATGAAGATAATTTATCGTTCTGTTGTAAACAAAGATGAATTTTTGAGAGGCATTTAATTATATTTCTTAGTGGCTCAAACATCAGACTTTAAATTCATTCCTTTTTGCTCCCGACGCTAATCGATCTAACTCACTGGAGAATTTCCTATACCGCAGTCTTGTAACCTAAAGTAAGATAGTTACCATACATTCTCGACATGCAATGGTTGGTATAATCTATAAAAAAATCCTGCTAAAAGGAAATTAATACGCACTTTGAAAAGCAAAATTTCTCTTTAGCTACAAGCGACTTGCATTCTCCGTTACTAAACACTTTTTTCTTATTAAATGAAAAGATGTTTTCTTCTCTTTTCCTTTTCTTGCTCGTTCAGTTTACTACTCCTGAAAAAAAATGAAGTCTACTATACGGCAACCCAAGCGGATTTTTAACTGCATGCACATGCATAAATCATATAAATTATGCGGTCTTTGTGTCATTATATTAGCAGAATGTACCGTATTATTCACGATAATGATGCCAATCACAATATAATAAACTACATTTCTGCCATAGTTTGAGCATAAAAAAGAAAATCGAAAAGGCAAATATTATCAAAGTAAGCAAAATGACATATAAAATAGATGGAATATGATTTCAATGATATCTAATAGAAAAATAATGACAACTTCTTGATAGTCTAAGGCTATTGCTGAAATCAAGTATACAATGTCGATTTATTACAGTTTGATAGAAGACATTTGTTTTATTTCTTCTTAGGCGTGTATTTGTAAAAATTCTGTTACTCATGAAAGTAATGTTTCACATACAATAACAACTATCGATTATTTACATCGATATTCAACATATGGCCAATGCTACAGAAGAAAAAAAGAAAAAAAGAAAAAAAGAATGTTAAACACAAACATTAGTTTATCTAGAGGCATAACATTTTCCATTAAAAACGATGACTACTTTTTTGAAATATACCTTTTTCTTCTTCCGACTAGGAAGATGTTCTTGAAAAAGGATAGTGTAAAAAGGTAATTCATTAAAATTGTACCTCATTTTGTTTTATTCACTTCTAATTGAACCTAATTGTCACCTTTCTTTGTGAGAAAAAAGAAAATTTTTGCAGTCCGATGAGCATTCTATCCGGCTGTAAAAATCAACAAGTTATTTTGGTACTATGAGCTATTTACATATAAATGAATCTGAAGCACACCAGAAAAAAAAATGTCCTGCTATTATCACCGTTAGTTTTTTCAGACATTGAGTACTAATGCTTGAGCGTTGCGTGCGAGAAAACAAGTCACAATAAATGGAACATGCAACGGTTCGTGTTGAAACATTTGTTGATTCACTTGAATAATGATAGTATTTATATAGTTTATTTTTACAAGAAAAAAGTAAATTTTCCAATATTTAGCAGGCAAACATAGTAATTAGAATTTTATTCAAATTCTATTCATTGTTGTTTTCACTATGATTATTTTGCTTCATTTTCCTAATGCTTCATTGAAAGCTTGCTCGAGCTCTATGTATCTGTTATTATTTAGTTGTTAAATTTTAATTATTCATCCGTTCGACGGTTATAACGATGAGAACCTGCATGGTACCATCTGGCAAGATATTCTATGATATGCTTTTTTCCGTAGGGATTCAGATGTCCGCAACAGATAGTTTTAATTTAAAATAGAGAATATTAAAAAAAACAGCAATAAACTATTCGAATTCGCCTAATTGAAGAAGAGATATCAGTATTTTATTTTATCCATCCCACGAGGACTCTTGCTAAACATATACATTGTTCGTCATAGCGAGTTGTTATATGGAAAATTGGCAGCTTCTTTAAGACAACCACGAAACAAATTTTGTTCTCTGTCTATCTTAAGATGTTTTTTAAAGTCTTCATGATGTATCACATATTGTTTATACGATCGTTCGTTTTGAACTCGTTCAACTGTGCTGCCTGTTGATATCTCTTATGTTGGTGGTGGTTGAGGACCAACTATTTTGTGGATATCTGTACAAACTACTTTACAATAGGATTATTGTTATGTTGTCAAATGGATCTAGCTAGAAGCTCTGCTAAATTTTCTTCTACATTTCTGATGAGGAATTGTAACTAAAACGATTTATTTATTTTATAACAAAGAGTTGCGATTCCTTGGTTGTATGTGAGAGCTATTCTTATCGTGATACTCAAAGCTACACCATCCCTCAAGACTCCTGTATTAATGAAGCGAGAACTGATGCCACGATCCATACCCATATTCAAATATTTTAGTGTGATAGATTTACAACTGAGCAACAGCAAATAATAATGAAGAGAGAAAATAAATTTATTCAAACTGAGCCATTGTCTTTTGTTGATTCTCGTACATGGTTTTGGAGTATTGTTATGTTTTGAAAAACTGGTTCGTCGCAATTAATTTTTTTTATTCAATCATTTAAGGCTTGAGTCTTGTCAATTTTCGAGTTTTCCATCCTCGATCGCTTTGAACAACGTGAAATTCAACATCTTCACCATGCTTTAAAAAAGCTCGTCTACGTGTCATACCATCAATGGCTGTCCAATGCACGAACATGCCTACTTGAAAGCCAGTAACATCAATGAATCCGTAACCTTTCTGGACATCAAACCATATTACTTTTCCACGTAGCCGCCTGTCTGGATCCACTTCAGAGATATCGTTTACTCTTCCAGATATTTGTGATTTTTCTTCTGTTAGCCCTAGTTGTTTCAAGGCATGAAAAGGAATACGTTCTTCAGGTGGCATTGCTAGCCATTCATGATTTATATAGAAATAACAACACATCGTTCGGATGATTCTTTCTTCAGAAATACTCAATTTTCTATCGGTATTATGATATGTGTCATCATTATTATTTGGGCTCATAGTGTTTAATGTCCTAGAATTAAATTTCCATGTGCCCTTACAATATGAGAAACCAGCACCAACGAAATTCATCTTCTTCTTTTTCCAGCAGCGAAATATTGAATAAAATAATCGACCATGCACATAAGCTTTGCGTTTTCGTCTCTTCGGTGTATTGTCGAAGATCCAACTCGATCTCCTGATATAAATATCACCAGTTTGACTATGGACATTGTTCAAAATAAAATGATTTTTTTCATCGCATAAATAGACGATTAGACCAACATAATCTTCGTCAGGATCAAAGATATCAGGCGTATGATGGATATGAATGCTTTTGATTTTAATTGATGGTTTCCCTAAAACTCTGCTGCGAAATTCATTAGCCCAGTCACTATCTTTATGAGTGACTCCTCCATCAAGACTGTAGAATCGCACATCGTTCATACTAAAACAAAAATACTTCCTTTTAAATGATAATGATGGTAAGAATTGACTATGGCAGATTCGTGTTCGAATTTACACACAACCAAAATTAACATCGATGACGCTTATCTTGACAGTAATCCTGATCAATATTCAATGGCTAGACTTCTAAAGTTTTGGAAGTGTTTAGCAGTAAAGGTGTATAGTTTAACTGAATTTGTCAATTATGTCAGTGTGTTTTTTAAATTAAAACCAAAATAAAGTTTTCAACTATTTTTCAAAATGTTTACAAGAGATGAATATTCTACTTTTGCAAAATAGCGCTCAGTTGAATTGTTTCACTGAAAGTCACAATTATAATGAGTTACCCTGAAAAAAGCAATCATTCTATTTTCATTTTGACTGTTTAAAGAGTTGTCTAACTTTACAATTAAGTTTAGTTGTCGGATCTTCTTAAACAGATCTTTGAATTGTAATTTCAAGTTTACTTTGGACAATACGAACCTACGGCTGATACACTGTTGCATTTGATTCTTCACTAACCGTTAATGTTCGTCGATGATCGAACTGCAGCAAGAAATTTTGTCGTTTCAAGCTAAAAAGTCATAATAAATACAATTCAATTTCACTTCTCAGCGCAGCCGTACACTGCTGGAAGGGAAGTCGCGTAGAAAAGTAGCATTATTTCATAATGGACGTTTTTGTCGTGGCATTGATTATATTTGATGGAGCACAACAGACAACCATGCTTTTGGTTTCATAAAGGCATGTTTTCGAAGAATGTGTGTGCGGGTGTGAATTGGTTGCTGTGCCTGTGGTTGTGGCTTCCTGGTGCTACTTGCAGTTCTCAGCTATACCCACATCCACACCCCACCGCATACACACCCGACATTTAGCTGTCGTCCAAAGCTTCAAGCTTCGAGATATTTATTCATAATAATATTTTAAAATACAATAATTGTTTACAAAATTCTCAGGTCCATGTAAGAAACATACTCTTCCCACCCTCGGACATTTATGGAATTCTATTTGTATGTAATCAAATACTCGGCCAATGCTTGTGCATCATGATATGTAACGAAAATATGTTTCTCATCTGTAGTTGAATCGAAACCAAGTGGTCGAGTTCTCATCGTACTATTTCCTTTGGTAGTTTTTCCTACGAGAACTCGTGAGAGAAACATACATCGTTCACCACTTGCATTTGGTTTAGTGTATCCATGGCTATAGGTTGCATCAGAAGAAAAATAAACACCAACGCCGTAAACAGTTCCTATATATGAAAAATGGAAAGAGTTAAGCGTCTCAAACAAATAAAGGTTCCGCTCACCATTCACTCCAGCATAACTTCTGTTGAAACAATCTGCAATAATTGCATTCGCAGCTTGTTCAGGACAGCCGTGATATAAACGTTTTTCTGTATTCATTTCAAGTCGTTTTCGGAAATCTTTACTATGTGCTAAGTATTGCATATACCACCGTTCGTTTTGAATTCGTTCGATTTTTATAATATTTGTATACTTTCCTTTCATGGCTTGGTCGAAATTAGAAACGATAGATTTGTATTCGTGTACTTTTGTAGACAATGTAAAGCGGATTTTATCTTCTGCCGATTTCTCCCATGTTGCAGGTAATTGATAAGCTGTTGCTTCATGAAAACCTACACAAATAATTCGTTGAAAGATTTTTGTGTGTTGTAAATTAATTTTAGACTGTTATGTCTTCACATTAGCTCACTAGAAAGTCTTTTCTATTTCTAACTATATCTTTACATTGCAGTAACGAATAAAAACTACAAATACAATTTAGATATTTAATTTTCTCTTATAAACGAGCTTTCGCTTTACACTTTGTATAGCCCGATGGAATCTCAATAGTAAATTCATTTTACCATCTTCTGTTGTGAGTACTTGTTTACAAAATTCATCATAAACATTTTCTTGGTTGGCGTTGACTACAAATTTTACTCTCCAAGATAGTTTTCTTTGAATCAGATGTTTTTTCATTTCGTAAACCATTGTTTGAACTACAATGTCTACTGAGCAGGCATGTTTTCCACATCCAATAGCTGGAAATGCAATCGATGTAAACTTATGTGATATCACATTCTGTACAACAATAGATATGAGATCAATAAGAGATTGTCGGAGTATTTCTTCATTATCGTTAGGCTCCCACTTGACGAAAAATATTTTTTTGCAGGATAAAGATCCTGATGGTATTGCGATTAGAGCAGAATTCGGATGATTTGCTATTTCCATTTCGTATGCCAGTTGACTTTCTTTACCAGCTGCGTTGATTATGGTGTCTGTTAGGATTCCTGATGAAGTGCTACCAACAATAACGTCTACCTATCAGATGAATATAAAAATAGTGAAGTTTGAAAAGAATATTCATCTTCTTTGAAATACCTTCTGTTTTGTTATGTCCCCCATTTCAACTTCAATGTCTCCTTTCCCAAATGTTGCACATATTATTCGCAGTTTACTAGATGCTGATGGTGACTCTAATAAATCAATTTGCTTTTTAAATTCATCATAGATATCTTTTCTATCTGGCTGTATTACGAAGGAAACCATCATTGAATGTGCTTTTACTTTGCTATGAACGTTTTTAACCATAGTACGTGCAATGAACTGAATCGAACATCCGAATCCACCACAACCAATAGCTGGAAATGTAATATTTCTATAATTACATTGTATAGCTTGTTCTAATGCAACTGAAACAAACTTTTCAATTGATTTACGAAGTATAGATTCATCCGGATTTGATTGCCATGGGAGAAAGTAAATCATTTTTGATGCAATTCTTCCAGCTGCTGTGACAGTAATTACGGGGGCATCAGGGTTGTCCTTAATTTGTTTAGTATATGAATTTGATACAGAATCACCACCAGCTTTACAGATACTTTTAAATAAATACTCAGATGAAGAACAAACAACAATAACATCTGCCTATTACATGAAATGAAATGTTATTAGAACACAGGTGTAAATTCGCAAAAACTATAATCACCTCTTGTGTTGTCAGATCACCGTAACACACACCAATGGTTGAAGTTTGAGTGCTAGCATTTGATGTCTATACAAGAACAAATTAGTGTGTAACTTTTATTTAAAATCGTTGGAAAAAATTGAACATAGTAAAAGTGATCGATTGTCAAATTCTTATTTCCGATTATGACAATTTATAATATTCATGGTCTAACGATTCCATAACAGCGTTCACAGCTATGTATTGAAGCAGGTAACTGTTTTAAGTATCGAATACCTCTTTAGAACACTAGAAGCCTGCTTCGAGATAGATATCAAGCCATTCAGAGTGAACAATACGATTGTAGTTTGATCCTAAAAGCCTCTAACTGAACTGACGATGGATACAAGTTGGATTGAAAAGATCGAAATCACATTCTCATCGCAAATGTAACATGATATATTCTTATAAGATACAAGATTTTCTAACATAACTATGAATAAAATTATCAATAGAATTGAAAAGAATAAATAGTCAATAGTAAGTACTCACTAGTCGAGGAATATCATCATCATTTTCAGAGACCAATGCATCATTATCGCTATCGGATTCTGAAATAGATTCAGAAAATATGGCAAATATAGTGTTATATGGTGTAGATCATAAAATAGTTCTAATAAAGACTGCCAAAGACAAAAATGTTGATCTGTTAAGAAAGTCAGAAGATCCAACCATAACTGGATATAATTATATTAAGAATGTTGTCACTTAGTTTAGCTCAAAACAAACCAATTCAGTTTCCAAACAGTTATTTTCTCGCGAAGCGACTATTTATATTATACGATTTTCTGTTTCATTTGAATGTAAATTTAAGGCAACAAAATTTTTGATCAGTAGAATAGATGAAATGATCAGTAAAAAAACATGTAAATTATCAGTTCAAAGGTTGAATGATTAGTCCTCAGATTACCAGTAAATAATATGAAAATGATAAGTTTATTAAATAGAATAACAGTAATAATATCAACTTCTTCATCTGATGAATCACTTATATACTGAGCAACTTTTTGTGTAACTTCCATCTTTTTTGCTATGTGCTGCTAGGATGAAGTTGAAAGAAAAAGTATAAGAAAATTTATGTATATCGTTTTAGTTAGCTGTTTATCGAACTAGAGAAAGAAAGAAAGCAAAGAACAAGTGAATCACACTATAGCCTGTTTTTGTTTATTTTACTTATCGTTTGATATAGCTGACTGTTAAAATATTTTATTTGTTAATCATAAAATTTATTAAAGAATGATTTTATTTAATAACCGATCATTCAAACAGTTTACTGGTAGTTCAATATATTTACTGATCATTCATTCAATCAACTGATTTTATAATTTTCTATTTTACTGATCATGGCATCTATTTTACTGATCAATTAAATCCATGCCTAAATTTAACAGAAAGAAAAGGCGCTGATTTGTGATGGAATGAGGATCTTTCAGATCCATTGGATTGTTTTTTTCGCCGATATTCTATGGACCTTGTACTTTATTTTATAGACAGTAATTCGCATCAATTTATAAACCCCTGTTAAGTGCGTGTTAATGAGAGATGGATAATGACTGTCGTTATCTGCGTTTACGTTCGCAGATTCGGACTGGGGCCTTATTTTGATGAACTCATTCTTAACCACCCAGATAAATACAACAAAATATTACTGTCGTTCGTGAATATGACGGCAAATATTGAAAATACTATGACTGTTATTCTTACAGAAGCAGGTATGATTGCATTTTTTTCAAAAGTCTGTTTGAAACGGAACATTTTAAGCACACACTGCATTGAAAAATATACCTCCATCATCAAAATATTAAGGAAATAAAGGTTTGATACCTCGATTTGGAAAAAACTGTTATGATTAGTGGCTGTCCGAGATTGAGTTCTGAAAAATAATTCCACATGTAAAAACTCGAAACACGAAATAGATGAAAACTGATAATTGTCCATGATTAACTCGCACCCTTGCTAATTCATATTGTATTTGGGATCAGCTGATATTTTTTTCAAGTTAGTCGAATTTATCTACTCTTTCAACACATTTTCAACCGAAAAACTTCTGAACCGATGTAATTGAGCATTAATTTAAGATGGAATAAACTCGTATTACTCGAAACACACGGACATGATACTAAAGTAGGCTCTGACTGGTGCAATCTACTCTCGAATCCACACATTCGTTCTAAATAAAGCATTTAAAAAGTAATTGTTGCAGGTATGAATTGAATGAAAGGCTTGGATAATTCAAGAAAATAAACAACGGCTATTCTGTTGCTAGTGTCCCAGGTCAATGATTCCGGAGGACGGATACTGTAGGAACCGGCCGGAAAGATGCGGAAAAATCACCGTATCTGGCCGGAAAGCATAGGAAAGCACTGGAAACTGGAAGCAGTATTCCAGTTGGAAGTTACCGGATTTTTTTCCTGTGGATTCCGGTCAGTTTCCTGTGTTTTCCGGTCAGTTTTCTGTGTTTTACATCTGGAAGTTGATCGGAATCTACAGGAAGAAAATCCGGTAACTTCCAACTGGAATACTGCTTCCAGTTTCCAGCGCTTTCCTGTGCTTTCCGGCCGTTTCCCGCCGTACGTCCACGACCTGGGGTGACATTAAAATGCTGATAGTTACCCTGATGTTCACTATTATATGAATATGTTGACGCTTTTCTTATAGATGAGCCATGCAGATATTCGTTTGATGATAATGGTATGTTCTCCGATCGGAAAGATTCGTAGGTATCCATATCAATAACATATAATTTTAAAAAGCCTGCTTTTTTTGCTTGAACCAATTTTTTCTTGATAGCCTCACTTTGCTGATCATCAACGAATTCATCATTAATTTCAATGATTCGATCATTTTCACGTAACAATGCATTGCTAGCGACTGAATTCGGACATACCTCGTCAATATAAAGACCAGTCGACGTTGAAGAGCCTACAATTGAAAAACCAAATGATTTCTCTTTTTTGGCCAACCTTAATAAGCAAGTGCGTGGTTGATGTTTTGGGAAGTTTTGATAATTTATTGGCATTATCCGTGGTGCTTCAATGATTTTCGCGCGTTTTGGGTCGAATAATCGATTTACTTTCTTTAGTTCTCTGTAAAAATCTTGATGAAGGACAAGTAATTCAACAGAAGCATCAGTATCTCGTGCATTTTTTACCATAGCTACTAGTTCTGCATGACTAACATCGGCAGTACTTGTATCATTAACAGCAAGTACATAATCTTGTATGTTAAGACCAGCGGCAGCTGCTGGGCTATTAGATTCAACGCATGTAATAATAGGTGGTAGTTGAGATTCAGAAGTAACAGTAAAACCAAATCCGTTATAATTACGCCATATATATAATCGACAGCGACGAAGATTATCATTAATAGAGCGATCAATATCTGCCTGTTTTATAGGCATGTCTTTTACTCAAATTCAATTATATCTGAAATATATTTCGGGAGGTATAAAGAAAAGTAATTATTGATTTCATCGTTGTTCTGAAAATAACTATTCTATAATAAAGTAGAACGAATAGATTTTAAACAAATGTGATTAATTTTCTTCGCGAAAACTATGGATCAGGAGTTTTCTTATTTAAAATTGGTATGATCATGGGCCGTTATATGGTTTAAAATTAACAAGAACAAATTCTACGGAAAACAATCCTGAAAAAGAATGAATAAAAATACTTCGAAACATCTGAATAATTTGAAAATCAAGTCTTTGTTTTTCGTTAAAAAAGTTAAATTGGTGTAATAGACTTTTTTCAAAAGCACTGTATGTTTTAAAGAAGTAATCTCGTGTCATTAATTATGGGAATTATAATTATAGCTGAGTAACTCCATTAAATACAATAAGAATCAAGCGAGATATAAACAGGGAATCATGGACTTTGATAAGATTAATAAATACCTCAAAACATATTTGATTCAATCGAATAGAATTCACTCATTTCTGGCAAGATGAATAAAAGTCTACATATTTTGTTTCAATGCTCGCTTGAGCTTTCTTCACAATTGATGACATCAGAATACTTTTTTGTAAATTTCCAACTGTTTTATTCGTGTCTTTTATATAAAATCACCTTTACGTATTTCGTATTATTCACAAAGCTAAATTTTAGGAAGAAGAGAACTGTTGGTAAATATAAGTTTTCTTGTCGCTTTTGCATGCATCAGAAGAAACGTAAGTACTCTTTTTCTTTTCAACATGGCGAATTTTACTTTTGATACTTGAAATTTCATAGCTTTAAACAACCACGATCAATCCGTCACCATGATCAAGCTGATGCAGAAAGGATGAATTTATGCCGACTTATTTTTTCTAAAGTACGTTGGAATTTATGAAACCAGTAAAGATTGCATTTATAGAGTGAAAATTTTGCAATACTCTCGTTGGTTTTTTTTTTATAAATCTGACAATCATTTTACAGAATTCTATAGTTTATTCAAGAAATATATCTTTTTAACCTTCGATTTTTCATTCAAATATCATTTTTGGTAGTTTCTGCTACAAGAACGTTTGCTTCATCATTGATGTTTGGCACTGCACATTAATGACGCTAAATTGCATCCGAGGAAACATAGACACCAACGCTATGCAGATTTCCAATACGCAAAAAAGCTGCATAACACGAAGGAAACCTACACTGATAAAAAATCCGAGTAATGATCTACCCCTGCACTTAAAAACTTCTTCAATAAACCCTTGAAGGGTTTATTCCACTGTGATGAACCCCTTTAGCGTTTAGTAATCGAATGGTTTATGAAGCTATGTGCTTATGAAAACTCAAAGGGTATATGAAGGGTATATAAGGGTTCATTATTCTACGATTTTACGGTAAGAGTATTTCCATCAACGGATGATGGTAGATTGTTATTCGCTTTCAAGATAGGGGTATTTTATTACTCGTTTTCGGGTTTAGTATTCTACTTTTTCGTTAAGAGGGTATATCACTCTGCCTTTCTGGGTATAGTATGCTNTTTTTCAACTGCAGATAGGTTGATCGAAGGGTAGTCTAAATGGTTGATAAGTAGAAACCACCAGGAAAGATGTCTGAAAGTCGCTGTATTCTGTAGGAGAGCACAGAATATCACAAGAACATGAAAGCAGCATTCCGACCGCAAACTTTCCAAATTTTTTGAATGATTTTCGGCGCATCTAGCCGAAAGGTATTGCAAGTTGGTCCGAACTCACTAGAAAGATCAGGAAACTTTGCGACAGGGATGCTGCTTCTATGCTGCACGGATACCATGTGTTTTCCAACAGAATACAGCGGCTTTCAGGCGCATTTTCTACCAGTTTCTCCAGATTTCGATGGGTGGAGCGATCGGTATGGGATGTTTCATCTAAAACCAAATAAAATAATTTATCAGGTTGTAACTTTCAAAATCGAACTCACCACTACTATTCGTTGATCTGACGATCGATCTAAATAGCAGTGAAATAATTCGGCATCTTTTAACATTCAAAATCGAACTCAGGATTAGTATTCGTTGATCTGAGAATCCATCTAAATCTAAATATAATAATTCACTATCCTTTAACTTTCAAAATCGAACTCACCATTAGCATTCGGTGGTCTGAGGATTGATCTAAATAGAAATGAAATAATTTATCAGCATTTAACTTATAAAGAATCGACTCACCATTAGTATTTGTTGAGCTGAAAATCGATCTAAATATAAATATAATATTTCATCAGGTTGCACTATATCAGAATGGAACTTACCATTACGATCTGTTGATCTCACAATTAAACCAAATACAAATAAAAGAAGCAACGATTCTCGCATCGAATCGCCTGACTCTCGACTGAACATAGCAGAACTATCTTTTTACAGATACTAATATCGATAGTCCGACCGATTAATCTTACGCCTGAATAGCTACTCCAGTTCTTCCCTAATTGTATAGCTAACAAACACTTTTTGATTGTAAAATAATTTTAACTTAAGGCATCTTTCACATCAGAGTTAAAAAGACAGCAAAAGCATCTATATCCACATCGCCCATCATTATTAAACACTTCTGCCTCAACAAAGAGTAGGGTATTAACATTTGTTAATATATGCTCACAAAATGTCAACAACAATCCTTTAAAAGCAAATTTTAGTGCAAGAAAACGTTTGTTTTTCGTCGGCCCAATTTCCGATCAATGGATCATCCGATCAAAAACCAATGATAACCGATTAAGATTTTTGGACATACATAATCTATTACAAACTCGCATCAGAATTGAGCGGCGCATTGAAATAAAAGAGTCTACCTTATAACTTTTGAACTTGTGATCGGTGGAGTTTCTCATTAATGGAGAATCCCAGAGGAAAACTGATAACATATTCGGACTCCTGGGCCTCGATAACCTATTACAAACTTTGATCAGAATTGGGAACGAGGTGGAAATAAGAAATATGATTTTTCAGCTTTTCCATTTTTCATCGGTGCTATCTCATGATTGAGAACGTTCTTCTGAAATATTTTTAACTGAGATCATGATGTCCTTGCGAAGCAGTGAAGAGGTTGTAAAATGTAAGAACCTTTTAGAAATTGGAAAGAAACTGAGAAACTGATTCTCTCGATGAGTGTGAATGGGTTTCTTCTAAAATTCTAGAAGATTGAAAAAATAAATTATAATTTTGAAAGGTAATATGCTGACGAGCGAATTGTAGATAAGGTATATTACCAAACCCTTTTGAATACGAAACCTCAAAAGTTTCGTGTGGTAACTTTTTTTTCAGTGTATCTCTAGTTGCTCTTGTATGTGATAATTGTAACTCTTCTCAGTCGATCTGGTATTCATTTTTTGTACGAATATTATTTTATTGTTTCATGTGGCAATAAACGAAAAGGATTAAAAGTAGAAAAATATCTTTGTGTTCACTGAAGATGTATATTAACTCAATTTAGAAGCTGATTGGGACTAGCACATTCGAAACATGCTCAGACATGTACTGCTCGTATCGTTCCAAAAGCATGTTTTGAACGTGTTCTTTTTGTATTCTCCTGGACTTGGGACGAGATAAAAAAAGAAGTGCTTCACATACTTCGTGTTACGCTTTTATTTAGCGAAGCTCTAATGCATGCCAATAGCCAGTATTACACTTATCATTGTCTGATGTACTTACAAATATTTGTTAATAACTTTTGTAAGGCTAATCGAAACATAATCAACCTTAAATTAAGAACAATGCACCATTTTTTAGGAACAGATAACATAGTCTATTTCTTAACGTAGAATAATAAACTCTTCCACCACTTCGGTGTAAGAATCAACCTCTACACGTAGAATAATAAACCCTTCCGCCGAAGTGGTGGAAGAATCAACCTTTATATGTAGAATAATAAACCATTATTGATGAAGAGGTAGAGTAATCAACGGTTAACGTAGAGTAATAAACCTTCTAATTGAAAGAGGGCTATGATCAACTCATATACGTAGAACAATAAACTCTTCGACCAGAGAGGTTGAAGAATCAACCCCTGTGCGTAGAGTAATAAACTTTTTCAATCAAAAAGTAGAACAATCAATCTCTGTAAGTAGAATGATAAACCCTTTTAACGAAGGAGCGGAAAGATCAACCCATGTACGGTGAATAATGAACTTTTTTCAACAAAAAAGAACTAGAATCCACCCTCAACCGACGATGGAACTATCCCTGGAGATGCTAAGGTATATCAGTCGATGTCAGTCGGTAGAATACAAAACCCTTGTCCCTGAAAAGGTATAGAATAGAGCATTCACGTATAATACTAAACCATTTTTGTTAAGACGTAGATGAATCAACTGTTGAACGTTGAATACTGAACCCTTCGCAGAGCATGGTAATAGAATCTACCTTTAAGAGTAGAATAATGAACCGTTTCTGAGAAGGGTAGCATACTATACCCAGAAAGGCAGAGTGATATACCCTCTTAACGAAAAAGTAGAATACTAAACCCGAAAACGAGTAATAAAATACCCCTATCTTGAAAGCGAATAACAATCTACCATCATCTGTTGATGGAAATACTCTTACCGTAAAATCGTACAATAATGAACCCTTATGTACCCTTCATATACCCTTTGAGTTTTTATAAACCCATAGTTTCATAAACCCTTCGACAACTAAACGCTGAAAGGGTTCATCACAGTGGAATAAACCCTTCAAGGGTTTATTGAAGAAGCTATTAAGTGCAGCGGTAGATCATTACCCGGATTTTTTTATCAGTGTGTATACATATGTAAAATTTTCGATTTTGGGAAGCCTTTAGATTTCATAGTTCGTGACGAAAAACAGTTGCCCGAAGTTTTTATTTTAGATAGACCTCGTAAAGGTCTAGTCTCTAAAAAATAAAGGTATCGCACTGAACCATTCATGGTTCAAGCGAAGGTCTAGAACCTTGTAAGGTTCTAGATTTGGGTACCGTTTTCAGAACCTTCTAAGCTTCCGTATTTCTGTCTAAAACCATTTTAAGCTCAAGACTTTTTGGCTAGAACTTTAAAAAGGTTCTGAAAATGGTACCGAGAAAAGGTTCAGTATGACACCTTTTTGTTTTTACAGAGTATACTAAGCAATACATATGACCTTGATCAAACAGTTTTTTCGTCCTCCAATGTCTCACTAAAACATTTGAATTTTTGACAAAAATCCTGGCTTGTAGCCAAGATTATCTGCCAATTAATGAATGATATTAACAACCAATGTTTGTCACATTTATCTCCCTAGGTGTAGTTGCGGACGTTGCTACTTTTCAAATACACATTCAAACGATGAAACGAAAATAAAATTCCAATAAGCGTTACAATCTTCTTCTTATTATTGCCTTCTCACAAGACAATAACTTCTGTTCTTTAAGCATTAACACTCACTTAAATAGAATAGATACGAGAAGAAGAATGGAATGTTTGTAAACGTGATAGAAAGAAATCGAGAGAAGGAGAGAGAACATACTTATGGTAGGACAGATATCTCCTGACATAATAATAAGGCCAAATAGATAAATTGCAGTGTTCTTTTAGGATGATAAAGACAGAAATGCACATAGAAAAAAATGAATGCCTATTTAGTCAGTTAATTAGAAAGATAACCCTTTAATTACACAGGAAACAATAAAAATGTCGAAGTTCAACGATGGCCGAAGGATATTCTATTGCATGTAACTCATGCGAAGTGTCTATCTTTAAGTAGTTCATGACATATTGACCGTCAAAAATTACCGTACGAGTCGTAATATTTTTGTGATAAATGCATAGAAACGAATTTGTTTTTTATATTAAATAACAAAAATCCTGAAAAGTTGATCTGTATATCCAAGAACACGGATTTCTAATAGTTTCAACTATTGAAATCATTTCAGTATCTCATATCTATTTTCTATCTCTACTTCAATAAATATATATTTTCCTTTACATATTTATTAATTATAAACAATATCACTAAATTTTTGAATATGAAAATCTTGGAATCAATCAAATAGAAAATTATAAATTAATTGAACTAATAACATTTTTTAGAAATTGATTTGCACCATATTCTTCTTCAGGTGTTCTTGTTAAACCAAAACGAACAATGACTAGTTTTTTCGATGGAATAATAAATATATTTTGTCCATTAAAACCACTCGCACAGAACATATCTGCAGGTGCATTTGGAAATTTTCGAGTATGCGAATCATTATTTGCTCCTGTATTTAACCAAAAATGAAGTCCATGTTGACCATATTGGGTAACACCGCCAAGTGTTACGGATTGTTTTATCCATTCTTCTGTTAAGATTTGCTCATTATTATAATATCCATTATTTAAATATAATAAACCAAATCGTGCCCAATCACGAGCAGTACCCCACGAATAAGATGAACCAACAAAAGTCCCTGATGGATCAACTTCCATAACAAAACTATTCATGCCGAGTTTAGAAAATAATCTTCGATAGGGAAATGAATGATATTCATTTTCACCAACTGTATGACGAATAAGACGTGATAATATATTGGTACTTCCACTACTATAATAACATTGAGTACCTGGTTTCGATTTCAATGGATGTGAAGCAGCAAATGCACCCATATCACTACGAAGAAAAAGCATTTCTGTAACATCACTTTTCGCATAATAATCTTCTTTAAAGTCCAGACCGCTTTGCTGTTGTAATAAATGTCTTATAGTAATAGAATGACGTGGATCATTGGAATTATTCCATTCAGGTACGGGAGCAGACTCATCAATATTTAATTTTTTATCTTTTACCAAAATCCCAATAAGTGCATTAATGATACTTTTAGTCATGCTCCAACCTAAAAATTTTGACTTCTTTGAAAAACCTGAAGCATATTTTTCGCTAATCAATCTTCCATCGTATAAAACAACCACAGCACGTGTACGAATAAGATTAGCTGGATCTTTTTCTATAAATAAGTCATTTATCGCATCTTCCAATTGTATCTTATTGATATGCGATGGGAAAACTTCATCGTTCATTTGATCACCCATAGGCCATGGAATCTTATCTTGATTGATATCAGACATTATTTCGACATTGAATTTCTGATTACGGACCTCTTCTTCTGTTAATTCATTAATTAATGTTGCCCCAAGTCCATTTCGATAGATAGCTTTAGTTGGAGCAAATCCAAGCATAGAACTACTTACTGACAAATCAGTGTAATTAATATTAAATGTTGCATATTTCATGGGAAAAGTATCAACATCTTCTCGACGATGTTTTTCGCTGAAATCGGCTATGAACACTGATGAACATATATGTTTTGCTCCATATCCACTAACTATGGGTAATAAGACCCAAAAATAATGAATGCCATAAGCCAATAGCACAACAGTAACAAACAGTACTATCCCTTTCATGAACCTTCTTGCACGATCTTTGGTATACTCTTGTCTAAAATAAAATTAATTCGATACTTGATTTATATAAGACACTGACACATGAAATTTCAATTAATATATTCTTGTTTGGCTGATATTCATCATAGCCTGTGTAGAACTTTGTCGAGAAAGTATAATACCTTTTATTTTGATCGGTCGTGATGATTTGATAAAAATAAGCTATTCTCATTGTAAAGGCTATAACTTCTGAATTAGAACAGATCTAACATCTTTGGTACGCTTTTTATACAACGATAAAATCGAGACAATGAAAAAAAAGAAATAGTAGCTAATGTTTCATCGAATTATATGTAAAAAATAAAGACAAAAGACAAAGATTATTTGAAGTGTGAATTGTTTGCAGCTGACAAGAATTGTTATCAAATGTAAAATGAAGAAGAAGAAGAAGAAGAAGAACAGGCAAAAGTGAAATTCATATTGATAAGCATCATCAACAGATAAGACTTATCATTCAATTAATTACACAGTCAAGTATAGATGCATATTTTACTCGCTCGTCCTAAGTATATCATTTGATATACTACGTGAAAGTGACTCATTATTATTATTATTGATACAATAATGAGTGGCAGGGTTAACAAATCTCATCAAAGTAGTACCACTATTAGTGATCATGAAGAATGTTTTGATTCTAAAATCAATTCATCAGCATCTCAACAACAGCAATTAAAACGGAATACATCAATAAGATCTAAATAAGGTGATGACTCATTCGAACTCGAACATCGTATGGTCAACATGAATAACCAATACTTTAACAACAGCGATTCTCGTCAGGTTGAGATAAGCTACATACAATTCGTAAATACACGAGCGCTATCAACAGCATGAATTACGTTGGCACTGCTGCCAGTGTATGTAGAAATTTTATGTAGCTTATCTCGACCTTCTCGTCAAGAACATAGTGCAACGACATCTCGATTCACAGTCAACGCAACCGATTCAAAATCTCAACGCCCGTCATTTCCACGTTTTCGACTCACCTTTGCTACAAATGAAACACTATCAGAATTATCAATTATTAAATACACCAATAAATATTGTCAGATCGGCCTTTCTTACGGACGAAACTCTGGAATGGGTAGAAATAAAAGTTTTCTTTTGTATGCAAACTCAAGTAAACAATTCGATCGATTAATGGATAAAAATATTTGGCCAACACAAATATGTTCTTTTGATTTTTCCATCGATTTTCCATCTAAAGTACCCTCTTCTTATTCTATTGTAGTAATTGGTATTCCTGTTCAAGGGAATCAGACAGAATTCGAGTCAGACACTAAAAAGTATTATCCAACAGTCATTAAAGTCGAACGAATATACATAAAAGGTGGTGTACCAATTTCAAAAGCACGTATTGACTTTTCATCCTACCAAGAAGTCAGCAAAATCATTAAAAACAAAAAGCTATTATTCGACGACGAAAATACATCGTTTATGATCCAACCCTAATCGCCACCACTTCGAGTACTACAATGTTATAACTATCAGCAATACAATGATCACGTTGCCGCAAATTGTCCATAAAAGGACAAATCTATCTATTTTCGTGCTGGACAAAACCATCCGTATAATCAACAATGCATTAACAAAATTTTTTGCGCTAATTGTCATCAAGATCATATGGCAGGCAACCCAAACTATAAAATAAAATTGAAGAAAGAAGTAAATATCTAAATGGCACTTCCTCCTCCATTATAGGCAAATCGAAACAAAACGTTTTTACTACTACTGCTTGTACAACTAATGAACTTAAATGTATTACGCCAATACATCCACGTAATTCATTTGAAAATGGCCATGAGAATATCGATTCAAATGTGATGTGTAATATATCAAAAAAACTTGATTTACTCATGGTCAAAATTAAGTATCTTTCAATAGAACAAACTAAAATGAATTCAACTATACATAATGCAAATGAACTTATCAACGCATGCCATAGAGAAATCAATTTAATGAAAGAATTTATCTTGAATAAGATATGCCCATTTGTTTGTGAATTGAGTGATGCATTACTTGGTAAAAACAAACAAATAGCTTAGGAGAGACTACGGCCATTACTCGTACAATTCAAACAAGATATAAAAGAAGCAACATCATCAACAACAATCAGCTTGACTTCAAGATCGAATGTTACACTACTAAAATTTTCATCCAATGAATCCATTAGCTACGATATTTAAAACAAATCAAAATAAACCTTATCTTTTTCAAACTGATCATTTAACTAAAACTTAAAATAACATCTTTCAAGACTTATTACGTGAATGGTGTGAAACTCCTACACTTGATCTTCTACTTGAAAATTGGACAAATCATCGTGATAAAACATGCCAAGTGATGAACTTAAAACAAAATATTTCTCTTCTTCTTTTGAAAGTTTCTAGTCTGAACTGGTACGTGATCGATGTATTTAATCTAATTGATGTAACTGCGTCACCCATTATTATTTTAAATAGCGCGTACCACGATGTAGATACAATTAAAACATTTTCATCTCACTTCTTCAATTACAACGTCTACTCTATGAAAGGATCAAATCAATTTGGTGGAGTGTTGATCGCAGTTCATAAATCAATTCGTTCTAAACTCTCATCCACAATCGATAATGTTCTTAATTTAATCGTACTTGAAGTTGCCTCCGACTCGGATATGTTTCAATTAGCTACATGCCATTCTTCTCCTGGTGAACCAATTCCTCTTGATATATTCGACACATCACTGCAGCAAAATCCAAATTCTATCTCCACTGATGATCTTAATGCCAAGCATAATTCGTGGTCAAGATCAATGGAGAGTCAAAAAGAACAAACCTTATTCAATTGGTTATCTACTTCACAAACGACTACACCACTAGAAATCATCAATAAATTCATATCAACATCAACTCGTTCAAATGGAACAATTGATCTCATTATTGCACATGCACACATGTCATCTGCTTCTTTCTCTGTTTTCCCAACCATGGGGAATGATCATCATCCGGTTTTATGGCATCCATCATTTAAAATCTCGTCTAAACCATCAACGTCATCCCATCAAGCGTACTCGGTGAAACCTACTCAAAATTTTTCTTACATTAACAGCAGCTTATTGGCAATCTTTAGCTGATTCAATGTCATATTTAGCATATTTCTTCTCTATTTATGAGCGCTTTCTCTCATTAAGCATGACGCGCGTTACATTCGCCAACTTTTGCAACACAATCAAACCATCCTTACCTCAACCTATATTCGTTATAGTCAATCAAAAAACGAGAATATCTTAAATTATTTCGCCAAACGCGTCATCCTTACTATGTTGTGACAGTACGTGATATGACAAAAATGATAAACAAGCAGTTATTTCTTCACAAAAGGAAGCCGTGCCTGAACTATTGCAATTCGTTAAATGATTGCGATATAGCAGCTTTCTGGAAGAAGGCAAAACGATATTTCAACACTAAAACGACGCCAATCGAATGCTTTCTCGCTAACAATAACATCGTCTCTACACCAGTAGATATGTGCAAAATTTCAAGAACGTACTACGAAGAACAATTTTGTAGCCATCAACAAACACAGTCGAAAATCGAAACTAAAGCTAATCTTACGGATTTTTGAATTGGAAGAAACTCTGAAAAATAAACCACCTATTCCTATTATCATTACTTACCATCAACTTTGTCGTTCAATTGCCTCTTTAAAGAACAAAAACTCAACCGGTTAGGATGATGCGTCAAATCGTTTAATAAAATTGCTTCCGTCTAATCATATTTCGATAATTTTCACATGTTTAAATAACTTCGCCGCTACTCTACAAACATCATCGCATTGGCACATTGCTAAAATGATTTTTTTATCGAAAACAAAATCAAAAGTTATATCTATGGAGGACACAAAACCGATTTCCTTACTACCATGTGTCCAAATTATTTGAAAAATGTTTTTTGATACATTTTCGCAAATAGATAAATGAACAAGGTATTATTCCTGCAGGACAAAGTGGTTTTCGCCGCGGTTATAATATGGCTGTTCGTTTAGTTGTGATTATAGATCAAATAGGACAAAGTTTAACAAAAAAAAAATACAGCAATCGCTGCGCTTTTCGTTGATTTTCGTACAGCCTTCAGCCAACTATGGTTCAAGGGCTTGTGGTTAAAACTAATCAACTTATAATGTCCATTATATTTAATATTATGGCTTCGTCATTATCTAAGAGGGAGGAAAGCGTACATTGACATAAAAACGCTTCCTCGTCAATGTTCAATCTCTCACAGGGCGTGTCGCAAGGCAGTTGTATCGACCCAGTTCTATTTATAATGTACAATTACGATGTCCTGAAAGCACTATCAAGTATCCGCTGGAAACACCTCTTTGCTGATGGCCTCGCTGTACTATTATCACCATCACCATCATTGTCTTCATCGAATACGATAAATAGTTTAACCGATTAAATCAAGCAGGTACTCTCTCATCTGATCAATTATTCAATCAAGTGGAAATGGAAACAACCTATCAACTTCAATAAAACGCATTGGACACTTTTCCATTGCCAAGTTGTTCCACTAATTCCAAATATTATATGCGAAGGACACAAAATTCAATATGTTAAGAAATTCAAATATTTTGGTACAATATTAGACGCTAAACTTCGACAACATAAACTGTCGATCATATAACTACACGAATATTTATCAAATCCAACATTAGCAAATGAGAGAAGAAAAAATTTTTGGGAAGGGAAGAATTCGCAAAAATATTCGTAACCTGTTGGCCGAAGGCCACCTATCGTTGATATAAATATGCTAGTCTTTCTTTTTCTCTCATTCACTGTCCACATTATATGTTTTTTCATTTTCATGATTGATGTCACTTCTAGTGGTGTTCTTTTTGCGCGTTTCGTGTCACCTATCTTTATTAGTTAGTCCTCATCAAACGCTCTTTCAAGCTGTTTTTCTTTCGCGCTACAGGAGCAATGTTCGCTCATAGCATAAATAAAAGCATTATACCACTACTAAAAGACTGCTCTCTCTCTCTCTCTTTCGTTTCAAACTTCTTACATTTAAATGGAATAGAACTATTTTTATGTCTTCATCTTGAATGTTCACTTAATTCAAAGCAAGTAAAATAATCAGTTCAACTTGATACTTTAAACATATATCTGATGCAACAGTATTTTAATAAAAAGAAATTATCGTGGTTTTAACATCATATTTTGTGTACTTTCTTGAACGAGCATATTAGGGCAACCACGTACGGCAATAAACGTCAAACTTACGAAAGAATTTTCTAGGAAGGATCGTACTTAATTTGATATTGAACATGTTTATAAATCAATATTACAATTATTTATTAATTTACTGATGAAAGAATATTTTAAATAAGGAAAAGATTCGCTTCTTTTTGTTTAATTTACAATGAAAGATAATCAAATTCAAGTTAATGAAGATCGAATTATCCTTAAACCACAAGTAAAAAAACGTTATTCGCCATCTTTGTTCCTTATTTAATTATAATCAAATGAATCGAATATGATTTTTATTTGCCAACCACATCGTTCATCTAATTTTTAAAAATACATAATTTTGAATATAAAACCGGTTGACAGGAATTAAATTTGTTTTTGTTATAAAATTAAGACAAATCGATCTTTTTATCCCTGGTTTCAGCTTTCGCTTCCTTAGTTTAGCTATTTTTTTTATAGAAAAATAGCTTCAAAACTAATTATCATATCTGAACCATTCATATAGATAGTTCAAATTTCCGAATTCTGCATTTTGCTTCATTAAAAACAGCAAGAATAACATATTAAACATTTTTTTCTATATTAAAATCGTATCAATTTCATATATAAAGAGATGCAATGAGTTACCAATGGCTTGTAAATTATCATTGACTCATGTTGTATATTAGATCTATCGTCATAACATAATTTGTAGTCAATACGAAATGATTTAACATTTTGCATAGCAGGCAGTAGCTTAATTAAATCATCGAAAGTCAATGTATCTAGTGATAAATTTTGAATATTTGTTGTTTTAGTTGTTGCCATTGATGATGGTATAGTATACCCACCTTGGTCGGAACCAGTAGTACTAATTATAAAAAATTTCAACAATGGATAACAATCGTTATTAAATATCGCGCGAATAATAAATTTCTTTTCGTTAACGCAATTACTAGGTCCCATATTGCCCCAATAAATAATTTCTAATGATTGTAAATACTTCAAAAACGAAATTTGATTCCAGAATGTAAAAAAATGATTATTGAAACAATACATCTGACCAAATGATAATAAACGAAGTTGAGCCAATGAATTTAGAGAAATGCTCGAGAAAAAAAATGTTTTACTTCATTATTCTCTCTAAATTTTAATGATCGAGCATTATCAACATTCATTGATGGTAAAATATTTTTCATAAAGTAATTATGAGTACCTTGTTTTCTAAAATTTAAATATAACACTGTTCGATCAACGATCAGATCAAGTTCTCTATTTATGCCACGAAATGAATATCACAAATCCATTGGACTAAAATATTCAAAAATTTCTTCCCAAAGTTCGACGGATAACAATTCAATCGTACTAACGAATGTAATGTCTGACATGTTGGATCTGAAAAAAAACGAGATTGTATTGATAATAATAACATATTATGTGCAATGATTTCCGACTCAATAGCATGTATATGTCGTAGGATAGATTAAAATCCAGTACAGTTTTAAATCGAACTAGGACAGATTAAAATTTTAAAGTGAACTAGTTGACTTCGAAATGCATTTTAATCTCAACTAGTTGACTTTAAAATTTTGATCTGAACTAGGACACATTAAAATGTTTAGTCAAATTATCCGTGGCTGGCTGGTTGAAGATACGCGTTGGGGTGACGACAAGGGTCTATGGTGAATGATGATGAGTGAAGATGGAACTATTACCCGCGTCCTCGCGCTCGCCTTCACTTTCACCTATTATCCATCCAAATGTGTATATTTCAATCTGAACTAGTTCAAATCAAAATATTTTAATCTGTCCTGGTTCAGATTAAAATATTTGAAACTGTTCTAGTTCAGTTTAAAATATTTTGATTTTTCCTAGTTCAGATCAAAATTTTAAGTCAACTAGCTGAGATTAAAATGCATTTCGAAGTCAACTAGTTCACTTTAAGATTTTAATCTGAACTAGGAAAAATTAAAATTTTAATCTGTCCTAGTTCGATTTAAAACTGTACTGGATTTTAATCTATCCTACGACATATACATTCAAAGTCAAAATTTCCTCAATTACATTAGATATGTTAATATGATGCGAACAAACATTCCACATTCACGTATACTGATAATGTATTGTAGGATTATTTGACCCCTATATATGAGAAAGAGATAGATCGAGAAAGAAGATCAAGAAAGAATGCACGGCCATGAATGAGAGGAATAAAGGAAACGATCATGGCAAGTAAAACAAGAGTAGATAATTTTGATCTGCATATTGAATCATTATCAAGAAGTAAATAATGGTACATGCTATTTCTTACGATCGATTTGGTAAAGAGGAAAAAGCAATGTTTTTCGAATAATTTGTCGACTGATTTTTTAACAGAAAAATCAACCAAAATTGCAATAATAGATGATTTCTTTTCAACTTAAATTAATAGTGTAATTTCAACAGTAATTTATCCCTGTGCGATCAAAAACATCACTTATTCATTTATTCTTTTTCAATTGTAAACATTCAATTAATTTGTTTTTTCGAACATTTTTTGCTTTGATATATATGATTCAATAATGCAACCTATTTTCACTGACACAAATTTTCTATCAGATTCGACACAAGAAACTATTGAAAATTATTTTCATTCAAAATATTCAGCTGCTGATGAAAGTTTATTAAATGATACTAAAAATAAATGAACATATGTTAATTGTGATTATTGTACACTGAGGGACTAGCGAAGCATGTACATGTTTGTATCTTTGCACGATGAAAAGCAATAAAAACGACAGTTACTTTATGAATAGTTATACCACCATTACTGTTTGCAATATTAATGTATTTATCTGAAGTCCATATTTGTGAAATTATTTTTCTCGTACATGCATGTATCGTATAGTTAATTTTTTATCGTTATTTGCATTCGTATGATAGACTTTAGATTTGTGTAATTCGACATTTTGCTGAGTTAAAATAATACATAGGAATTGATAGTGACTTTAGAGTTTAGAATCAGAATGAAAATTTTAAAAACTTTTACACAAAATAAAAATGTGAATGCTTTTTTTTATCTTTCATTGTAAAGATGTTTATCTTACGTATTGCAATGACATCAGTGTACATGTATAGATGGACAGTCTCTGTGAAACTCCTTGAAATTAATCTTACGTTTATGAATTAAAACCATTCTTGATATTTCAAATGTTGATTCATATAATGCCCGAGAAGAAAAAAGAAATAGATGAAACACTCAAAACGTAGAGATATGTAAAATAAATGGAAGATAGAAGTTTGTTATCTAGTAGAATGATAAAGTCAACATAGTGTGAGATACTTTTTGAAGAAATTTTGTCATGCTCAATGATTTCGACGGCCAAGTAGATAAATGGCATTTAGGTGGAGAGTATAGGTTAGATGATTATTTTTCCAATGTAGGTCAAGCTGTAGAATTGTTACCACGCGTCAATTCAATATTTGTTAATGCTCGTTCATATAGTACAACAGTTATTGGTGCCTATAGTGATGATGGTTGAATAACATTTAAAAAAGTTGTTTTATTGAATACATTGATACAACCGTTGCATGGGTGTGAAGGTTCAACAATCTATGGTCCAAAATCAAATCAGATGTTTTATTCTGGTATAGCTGCAACATCCATAATTCGTACAAATCTCGTTACATATCAGCACGGATAATGGTGAAAGATGGTCCTATATTAAATCGATTTGTTCAGGTTCATCCGGCTATTCATTTTTGACGTTGATGCATAATAAACTCATTGGTGTTTTATACGAACAAGGAAGTATAATTGGTGTACCTCCTGATTTGTTAACATTCAGTATAGTTCACAGTCAAACTGAAAAACCATTGATGTATCATCATTGATGAATTATGATTTCAATTTTAAAACTTTCAAATAATATTCATTCCAACGTACAAAGAATCCTTCAGAAAATGCTGCATGCTATATCTACTTGAAACCTAATGTGACAATCCGATATTGCACCACTTTAAGAGATAATCATAGAGATGTCAGTGGTGTCAAAGTTGAAACTTGAATTCAGCTTAGGCATGCAACGAATACAAACACTGGGGTGGGTTAGGTTTAAGAATAGTATTTTTAAAAGTAGAGTCATCATTGCTACATCGTAGAAATAACTACCGTAGAAAACAAGATTTATCAGTAGCTGAATCTGAAAAAGTATGTTCTTTTTACATAATATTGTTTGTTTGTTTTAGGAATTTAGAAAGATTTTACATTAAAAGCATTTCAGCATAAAAAAACATAGGGTTACATGCAATAGGCGAAATTTACGGCTTAGTTTATTCTCCAAATACAGTCTTTTTGAAGACAGCTTACTATAAAAATTCTTTCAAATCTTCAAGTTTCGATAAGCTATTCGTATATCCAACGTATATCGTTATGAAGCTCATAATTCCTTTTGGTTATTTGGTTATATTTAGTCTTCTCCAGTAACTAATAGAAAATAAATCCAGTGACGAACGAATTCGAACCGAATAGTTAAATAATTTGGCTCGATTAAGTCAAAGTCAATCATATCTGAATTTTAAACAGGAGGCAGATTGGCTTGATTTAGGATTTTCAGAAAGTGTACTGAGTCGGTACAAAGCGAATTCCAATTTCAATTTCAATTTTCTATCAATTTTGGTCACTCCTAGCAAAGTAGGTTTTATATATTTATGATCAGCTACACTTAGCGCAAATGCGTTAGCACAGGGAAGTAGTTAATTTAAATTTAAAATAAATTAACACATAAATATCGTTCCTAGTCATAATCCTGGGTGGGTGTGTTGGCGGGTATTAGTACAAATGGTAGATCGGTGAGATGATTGTTACGTTGAGGGAATTGAAACGATTTTTTGACGAATCTGATAAGAAACAAAGAAATTTTCAAAACCTAGACTGTTCGAGTCCTTGCTTCAAACCTCTTATTCTGTTGCCTATGTTGCGATTTATCAAAAGTCTTCTGTTTATAGCTATGTTAGAAATTATGTAGTTTATGTCTTCATCATCGTAACGTCATGGATTCTGAAATCTCACTTCTATTTAAAATTGATGAAGCAAAAAAAACAAAGACTACTACGAGTCTTGTAATCATGACTTCGATATCACTAATCTCAAGTATTGTTTGACTTTTATTTTACTCATTCTGCCTCATCATTTTCTCACTGAAAGCGTGATAACAACTAATTGCGATAACAACACCGACTTTTTCCATTAAGACATGTATCCACTAAACGACAACTATTACCTTCAATTGGTACGCGATTCGAATGAATGTCTCAATATCGAACTTCATCATCATGGCATATTGATACGAATCGTTTCATTGAATAACGATCACTGCTCAACATTGACGCATCGTCTCTGTGAGACAGTCGATGAATTCAATGTATTGATCATTGATTTACTCGAAACATCAATATCGAATATTCGTGTTACAGTCGATGAAAATCTTGAAATATCGTTTCCAGTACGTTTCGGTAGTCGAAACTATGAGAAATTGTGGTCGTTTATAATTGAATTAAGGCTCGAAACGAATACAGCAGACGAAATCTCACTCGATCCATCCGATTGGAATGATCTACGATTACTAGGGCATAAAATTATGGACAATATGATCGACTACATGCGGGATGTTCGACTCCGACCAACGTGGCGCCCATTACCATTAACAATCAAAGAAACTATTCTTAATGGTGATCTTCCACTTCAAGGTCAATCACCGTGGCAAGTCTATGATGAAGTTTTCACGATGATTCTTCCTTATGTGATTGGTAATATTCATCCTCTTTTTTGGGGTCATGTCTACGGTACCGGTTCAACGATTGGAGCTCTAGCAGAATTTATAACTGGAACAATGAATACTATGTCTTGGGGTGGTCAACAAGCAAGTATCTATTTAGAACGCAAAGTGTTGTCGTGGCTGAAACAACTGATTGGTTTTCCAAATGATGAAACAAGTTCGGGCATTCTCGTCAGTGGTACATCAGTGGCTACAATTATTGCTTTGGCAGTGGCCAGAAAAAAATTTCACGAGCGAACTATGATCATCTACTGTACGAAAGATGCTCACAGTTGTATTATTCGAGCTGCCAATCTACTCGGTATCAATAAAGAAAATATTGTTTATGTTTCGACAAATGAACAACGACAAATTGATCTACAGGTATTTACAATCAGCCATGTTTTCCGTTCTAATTAGATGATTTTTCTTCAGGCATTAGAGGCGTGTATTGATCCGAACACGTGTGGTTTTATTGTCGGTTCAGCCGGTACGGTCGGCACTGGAGCCATTGATGATCTACAAGGTTTAGCTGATATTTGTGCTCGTCGTCCGAATGATCTCTGGTTTCATGTTGATGGTGCTATTGGTGCAGTTGCATGTTGTTCACGACGTCTTCGGCCATTGTTCACCGGCTTGGAACGAGCCGATTCGATCGCTTTCGATCTGCATAAATGGCTTTCTGTTCCATACGAATGCGGTTGTATTCTTGTGCGCGATGGTGAATTACATCGTTCGACATTTGTTCAACCAACAGTATCCTATTTGACATTGATGGACGGTGGTATAACACCGAGTGAAGGCGAACATTTTTTCAGTGATTATGGTCTTGAACTTTCACGCAATACGAAAGCCGTAAAAGTCTGGATGACATTGAAAACATATGGAATCGAACGATTTGGTCGTATTATGGAGCAAAATGTTGATCAAGCGTTGTATTTTGCTCATTTAATTGAACAGCATTCAAATCAATTCGAATTGTTGGCCAAAGTAACATTAAATATTGTTTGCTTTCGTTATATTGTACGTCAGTCAAATACAATCGATGAAAATGACATGTTAAATAAATTTAATAAACGTTTATTGACAATGATACAAGAACGAGGCATTGCCATTGTTTCACCGTTTGTCATTGGTACGAATACATTTGCTTTGAGAATGTGCATCACGAATCATCGAACGAGACTCACGGACATGGATAAATTCATCGAACAAATGATTCAAGTCGCTCGTGAGCTACTCAGTACGGATGAATTTGCCATTCTGAAGACGATTGGATCGGTGTGAATGATTTGATGTGTTTTATTATAATTAAAATCTTGCTCCGAATCGAAGAAAACTAATCACATACCATGCCTGTTGAGACACTATCATCATCCGATTGAAATTGATGCGACTTGAAAATTTCGATTCTGAATAAAATTGGATTACTCTAGTTTTGTCTCAAAGAATTCAAAGATTTTCGTTGATCGGAATTATACGGTAGTAGTTTAGCAGGCTAGTTACGATGAAGATAAAACTGATGTGATGTTTATGTAGCTATCCAGATCAATCCTTCCAGAAGCCTGAAAACAATGAAATCGGTTGGTTCCATTCAGTTCCAACGATTTCATAAGCTGAGTATCTGCATATAAAAACAAACATACTCACGAACTAAGAGATTACCTGATATTGGAAGTCTATATCGTATTGTAGAGTGTAATAGACAAGAATTGAATCGGTGCTCAGAGTGTTTGGTGCTATTTGTGAAACACGATCGAAAGCGAGTGTTAAAGTTTAGAGCGAAAAAATGAAATCTCTTCGTCCACCAGGCTACCTAACAGACATGATAGATAAAATCCAAATGAAACAATTTATCCAAGTGTCGCTAAAGCAAAAAAACTTGACTGTGGGTGTGGATGTGAAGTAAGAGTACGGAAAAGAATTGCATACACTCACATTCACACGATATCTTTAAAAAATATTGCCAATACCACTTTCGTTTCCTATGAATAAAAATAAATCAATAAATGTGTTATATTATATTTTGATGAATGTTTTGAAAAATGATCTCAAAAACAGCTACAGACAGTATCAAAATACAATTTCATATTATGCGTGATTGAATTTTTGTGAATAGAATAAGACAAACATAGCATAAGAAATCGCGAAAACAAAGTAGTGTAAAATAGAAAACTGTTATTGAACAAACTAAACATCTGTGCTTTGATTTACTATGTTGTCGACATCATCATAGGAATCGTCCCCATAGTAATCAAATTATAGTTATTCAAATCGTCGTCATTGTCACCGTTGTCGTTTCTGCTGTAACCTCCACTATCATTGTCTCTGTTTGACGATCTTTGTGTATTATTTTGAACTTGTGAATAAAAATATTCAATAAAAATAATTTATTCATTACAATACGGCTAACTATTACCAACTGGTGCAGATGAATCTGTTGAATTGGCACAACCCATAGTGTTGCGTTACTTCCGACAAATAAAGAGTATGCTTATAACGGATAGAAATTATTGAGTAATGCGTAATATAAGACAAACAAAAGAGAAAAAAAGAGTTGCATGATTTAAAAGATCGACGACATCACTTGGCAGAACATGGACGTTGCTTACTCTCAATTGTATTGGCAGCTCTCTTAGCCAACCATGTCGTATTATTTTCCTGCCGTCAAGCACATTGTACTTTAATGCATCTAGAAAACAAACACAATATAGAAAAATTATCCTTTTAACGTCTTGAAAATTTAACTTTTTTCATTTCCCCTGATGCTTCGATACTTAGTTTAGGAATCATCTTTTCTATGCAAGCTGCATTTTTTCTCAGTACACTATCTATAGATGGTCACAAAACAATTTATATTGCTATTGAGACACTTGAACTTCGTGATCAGAGATTGTGTGTTTACATTATTCAGAAGAAAATGTGTGCGCGCGTAGATGAATGGATGATACTTATCTAATACTCTTGAAAACTGTTAGCTGCGTTTTATTAGGGTTTAGCATGCAATTGTGTTTAGTAACTAGTGAGTGTAAACGCGGCTTGCGTAAATTACTGATTAAGGATGTGACGTGTGAATGTGAATTTCGGTTTGTGTGCTATCTTGGTTTGATAACATTCACATCTACAACTGCACTCGGCCCAAACACACACACACACACAATATTACCTCGTGACTAAATAAATCCTATCAATACGATAGAATGCAGTTTTAAGTAAGTGATTTGAACGAAGCGCTTGAAACAAGGGGAAACATGATACTTCATACCTTTTGAATTGATGTATTTTTACTTCGAATGTAGATAAAAAATCGAAAACTAGTGTTGATCCGCATATCAGTTCCTTGAACTTCTCGTGAACTCTGTCNTCCAGAATCGACTTCCCACTTTTGAGCATAGGTTTGAGCTGAAACTTTCAGGGATACATGATGGTAGTGAGAAACGCTTGTGGTAAAAATTTCAGCCATGTATACCTTACTAAACTGAACTTACGACTTGTTTTGTGGCTTCCAGGAGAATTGTTATAACTTCATGACTATGAGAGCTATCCGAGGTCGGGTTGGTTTTAAATTAAAGCTAGTCTGCATACGCAACTTTTTATCAGACAGAATTTTGAAATTCCCTTCTGTTCATTTTTTATAAGCATTTTACTCGGTATGACTGCCAAAGTAGGTATAAAAAAAGCACTAAATCGGACTTTTCTCAGTCCAGGAATCCAATATCGAAAATCCGTCTGATAAAAAGTTAGCTATAATTGAGAGCTTTAAAATAAAATAAAATAACTGGGAAAGCTAAAACCAAACGAAAGTTATAGCAATTTTTCTGCTTGAGACCCATGTTTTAACACCAACATTTAGGAATTTTTAGAAAGGTGTGTGGGAGTAAGGGAAATGAAAGAGTATTTCTTCAATAAGTCTGTCAAAACTTAACCTTTTTTTCAAATAATTATATATACTCTGAAAGAGGAGATCACGGGGAATCTTCCTATGATAAAAACTCGATTTCGGTTTTTTTCGAAAAATCAGCTTTTCTGAGGGGGGCCCTAAGATACTCCACGGTACTTCAAGGTACTTTACCGTACTTCACCGTACTTTAAGGTACTTTACCGTACTTCACCATACTTCAAGGTACTTTAACATACATTAATGTAATTAGAGTTAGTTACTGGGCACTTTTTCTTTTAGCTTTGTAATGCTTTCCATTAATCTTTTTACTTATATCGAAATGTTACTAACCGAATAGAAGCTTTATCAGGAGGTAAATATTCAGTACACTAATGAAGCTACTTATAGAACTCTTGAACAATAGGAAAATTCTGTACCCTAGTTTCCAACGACATATTTTTTATCATTGACAAGGATTAATCGAAAATTTTTTTTTGCAACAACCCTCTATTCCTGTTAAAGAACAGGTAGAATTGGACAGCTATCCTTAAGATACCATTTAACAACTAATGGATAACTCAAAAATGTGGCATTGCAATTTCCTAATACGAAAAGGGTACTTCAGTGAAATAACGATTTTTTTTATAGAAGCTGATCAGAAGTAATTGAGGTCAACGAATCAGAATCTGTAATCAGTTTCTCCAAATTTCTAAACCCAATATCTCTTCAAGGAAGGGCTACTTTGAGGAAATATCAAATTTTTGTGAAGTTTTACGAAAAATAAGTAGGGTCGAGCCGTCAGTATGTCTAATGAGTTCCTTAAGACAGAGTTCACGAGAAGTTCAAGGAACTGATATGCGGATCAACACTAGTTTTCGATTTTTTATCTACATTCGAAGTAAAAATACATCAATTCAAAAGGTATGATATTAAACATGGGGTTTTTTCCTTATTAAGAATCTAATTTTTTTCGGATTTCTTATCTCAATCACGATCAGTTTTATTCACTCGATCCGCAGTTAAAGTCGAAGTTTATAAAATATATAACGAAGATTTAGGGATTGATCTGAAATTCACTGAAAATTCCCATTCTTAATATTTTTTGATTGATTCCTGTAAATCTCAACTAAATTTCAGATCAATGTTTTGCATTATATCGACGTTCATAATATATTTGGAAAGAATATTCCATATTGAGCACAATTGGTATGAAGAATCGCTTGGAGTCCGAAACATCTCAACACTAGAAATATGTAAACCTCTGATTAGAAACTCAAGGAATTGCTTTTCCCTACTTACAAAAATACATATCCAGTGTTGTGAACCCTCTGATTTCCAAGGATTCTTCGTGCCAGTTGTGTTTAATTTCGATTGCTCTTTCCAAATATATTTTGAAATTTTCTCTAATAGAGAACACAGAAGAGCTCGGACAAGTACAAGTACAACAAGTAAAAGTATTTCACTTGTACTTTTCTTTTTACTTGGACAAGTACACGTACAAATACTTTCCCCCTTATCTGGAACAAAAGTCTAAAAATTAGTTGGAGTCGATAGATATTGGTCGAAAAATATAAAGAATGTGAATTTTCAGTGAATTTCATATCAACTCCAAAACCTTCGCTTTATGTTTCATGAATTCTGACTTAAGCTGCGGATAAAATGAAAAAAACACTGATCATGATTGCGATAAGACATCCGCAAAAAATTATTCCTAATAAGAGAAAAATGTCATCTTTCATATAATACCTTAGGAATCAGTGCATTCCAACTTCGAAGTACCTTCATCGAAAACCACCAAACTCAAATCTTCAACTCATTTGGATGCTCTATAGCAAAGTGGATTAGGCAGAACTTTTAGCGCAACCCACCTAATAATATCCATAAATAGTGATAAATTGAGCCGTAAATGCTTACGACGATTATACTTCAAGCAGTTAGACACTTCTTCCATGAAATATAGCAAGCAATATAGGATGAAATTTGAAAAAGATTATCTATATCAAATACTTTGTAGCATCTATTCACGGCTACTATATATTCCAACGTAAGTGCAGCACATCTGAGTCTATGAACGCATAGTGATTAAGTTTCACAGTACATCTACTGCGATTTTTGAAATCTAAACTGCTTCGGTGAATTTTAACATATGCTCTGTAGCCTTTGTTTGTTTACAAAATGGTAAAAATATGTTGAAAACAAATTTAACTTTTGGACTAAAACGATCGTTCGCATCTCTCTTATAAATAATGAGTTTTGGCAATGTTGAAAAAGCTGATTGCAACCAAAGTAATGATTGGAAATCGGACAATCAACTTACTGATAAAAAATTATTTTCATTCTGCTCAATGATGGAAACTAAAAGCATTTTCAGAAAAAGTTTGCACTGGTTATTGGATAGTGAAAAGTGGATAGTAGTCGACGGCAATCATCGATAATCTTAGCGGTATGATGGGAAAAGATACAAAAGGAAAATGTAGAAAAGAAAATCGAGAGGTGAAAATGTGGATGTAAGAGTAAGAGTGATGTTTTAGATATTCTTATTTTCGACATTTTTCCTTTCTATCCTTTTCCATCCATTCGTTTAAAGTTATTTTTTATTATTAAAAATCACTTGAGGCCCTGCACTGTTTTGCCCTGAAGATCAACTTTTTTTCAGTATGTTCTTACCATTATATAAGAAATCAGAAGTTATGTTGTAAATATCAAATGAACCGTATCTTTTCTTTATTTCAAAAAATGGCAGTAGATACACTCAAAAATATGTTGTTAAGCACTCATAAATTATAACCAACTCGACTCGCGTTAGATTGATATAATTCCGACTAAATGAATGAAATTCTGCTTTTAAAATAGCTGGTTTCATTCAGTTTTTGATACTGTAACTTTTGCTATCTTACTTGAAAAAAATCTTTAATTTATTGAAGTACAATCTCAGTGAATATTGACGAATCAATTTATCGCTATTCTTCGGATAGTTCGTAAGTAGTATTAAAAGTTAATCTGTACTAACTCCGCTACAGAGCATCCAAAGGAGCTACAAATTTGTGTGCAGTGAATCTAGATGATGGCCTTTCGAATGTGCATAAAAAATACGAATCTTAACAATTGATTTGTGCCTAGGTTGCTGGGTCCTCTCATGAACTCTCTAGTAAGAAACTGATTGCAAGCAAGAATTCCTCGACCTCGATTTCCATTGGTAGAGCTTTACTGAAAATCATCATTTCCTCGAGATTCCATTTTGTAATTGAGCAATCGGATGGAACAATATGGTGAAACCGATTACAGAATTTGATTCTTCGATCCCGATAGCCGTCGATCAAATTTTATCAAAAATCATTATCTTCTCGAAATACCCTTCCTTGTCTAGAATGTGTGGTGTGAAACTTTGAGAAATATATTACAAATTCGGATTCACCGATCCTGATTACCTCCGGTCAAAGTTTATGAAGAATCACTGTCTGATCGAAGCACCCTTCTCTTACTGGAGACATGGGATGTTCAGTCCTTAGTTTCCAAACAAGACAACGCTAACTTCCCTGACCTAGATGAAAGTACTGTAGTTAACAAAGTTAACTTGAGGTTCCAATCTCGTTAAAATGCTAAGAAATTTTTATGGTAACAGTATATTGGGGTGTAAGCTTTAATGAGAAAACTATAGTGCCATATCGGGCAGTTCGATGCATATAATATTTCCATTTAAAAGAAAAGTGGTCAAAAATCGACTTAATAGTACTTTTAGAAATTTTTTTACCCAGCCAAAGTTACTTATAAGTGAAATTAAGTACTTTTCATGCTTTTTCACTAAAAATTACTATATTAAGTACTAGCGAACGTATGAAAAAATAATAAAATTCATTAGGAAACGTGAAAAATAGCAATAAAGTATAATTTATTTTGCTGTATTAACATTAAAAGTACTTAAAATTTTTTTAAACATTAGTTTTAAAAAAAATATATCAAGTTCTTTTAGTATTAATACACCAAAATAAATGTTATTTTATTCCTATTTTTACTTTTCCTAGCGAATTCTACTATTTTTTCAGATTTTCACTAGTACTTAATACGATTTGTAGTCGAAAAGTAGGAAAAGTACCTAAAAAAGTTGGTTTTTGACCACTTTTGTCTTACACCAGTCCAATAAATACTTTACCCTGCTTCACCATACTTCACTGTACTTTACCGTACTTTAAAGTACAAAATTATCATGTTTTCCCCTTGGTTTGAAATCAGCTTTACGAACGAACGAACGAACGAACGACCGTTGTAAAATTATATTTTGTCAAAGCAAAAATTGGTTGAGATCAGCGTATTTGCTTCAAGTTTCACTTGAGAAGCGTCTGTAATCAATCCCATCCCGATAACGCCGTTCCACCAATCATCAAATGTCGAGTGTTATTGACGTTTTCTGAATGTCAATATTTGAATTCAGTTGTTTACTGGGTTCATTTTTCACAAGGATTAATTAGACAGGTTGGTGTAATCTGTTAAATGTTTTCATTACAAAAATTAATGGATATCGAATTACACTTTCTCAGTCCCTTATATATATATATATATATATATATATATATATATTGGGTTAGTCGATCACATTAAACTGCATTTTTATTGGTTATCAGGTTTGTGATGGTAATGAATCTACTGAGTTCTCTAGTTCTTATAATAGTACTGTGCAAAACAGTCTCTATCGATGTGCTAGTACCGTTGTCAACAAATGTACCCGATAGCACGCTTTATCCCCATGTTATTCATCCTCGTCAACCCAAGCGATTGAATTTATCTATACATGCACCTTTGCATACAAATAAATTCTATAGTAATGCAATATTAGGCGATTATGGAAACAATCCACTTCTAACACATCCTTATGTTATATCGATGAGCAAAGATTCACCGTATGGTGTTTCAATTTCTCTTACTGAGGAATGGTCATATGGTCCTCAAATTGACAGTACTCGAGTGAAATATTTTATCAATCGAATTGTGAAAAATATTCAAATGAGTGCGTTGGAATTTCTTTCTCAACAATTTGAAGTGAATAATGTTGATGAACCAGGTTTTGCTTGTACAATCAAGATGTTTCAATCGAACTCATCGGCAACCATTACTTTGCCGCTAGTGCGTGGTATGGCCTATGTGACTTTTGAATTTGTATTTGCAACACCGCGCATCTCTACAATTCATTCTATACTCTCTGTCAATGGACGAACTTCTGGTAATATAACTGGAAAGCGTTTCGAAATAGTCCTTAACAACAATCAAGCATGGCTACTATATGCTCTTGATGGTGAGATCACGTTAGAGTTCAGTGGAAATCAATTGATAGGCACTAATCCTGTAACTAATGTCTTGCGTCTGGCTAAAAAACAGGCTGAGCCATCTGCAAATGCTGTGCTCGATGCGCAAGTTGGAGTATATCCAATTGCATGTCAATTAGAAGCTCGTGTCACTGGGTTCCAAGGCTCATACATGTTCAAGTGGCAACGAAAAGGTAATCTCAGTAAGACTTTACTTCACTTCACTTTTCCTCATCATCGGTCAATTATTTCATTGGTCGATGGTCAATTCACGAATGTTGAAGTCATGTCGGCTAGTAAGGGTCGCATGATTGGCTATCTGGGCAACATATGGACGCTGACAGAAAACGCTCTATCCACAATGCAATTTCTTGCGCCACATTCACCAGCAATTCAATATAGAAATTTGATTGTGACACAATTGAAGAAAGACCTTGCGGTTGGAGCTAATTTGACAGTGTCAGATTATTACTTTACTGGCAAAGAGTTCCACAAATATGCTTTACTCTGCTTGTTGGCTGACTATTATCGAGAAATAGCCGAATTCAATCGATGTATTAAGACACTTAAAGACGGTTTTGAAGGGCTCATAACGAGGAAAAACGCCAATGCTCTACGCTATGATACAACATGGTCCGGTCTAGTCTCTTCGGCTGGTTTAGGGTAAGTGTTTTTTCTATAATAAATAATTCTTATTGTAAATTGATACCGATAGACAGAACCAAGAGCTGAACGATTTTGGCAATTCATACTATAACGATCATCACTACCATTGGGGTTATTTCATTCAAGCCGGTGCCATTATTGCTCATCTCGATCCAAACTATGTGTCGAAAATACGCGATTGGGTGGAAGGATTAATACGTGATGCCAGCAACCCGTCGTCCTTAGACACTAGTTTTCCTCAATTTCGTTACTTTGATTGGTTTTCTGGTCATAGCTGGAGTCAGGTACATAGTCAAACATCTTTCTTTTCTACTATTGTTCTTGAATCGATAGGGTTTATTTGAATCGGCTGATGGCAAGGATCAAGAATCAACATCAGAAGAAATCAACTTCCATTACGGTATTGCTCTGTGGGGATTAGCGACGAAATCATCGACTATTGAAGGCCTCGGTCGATTGATGCTTGGCACTGCGAAAAGAGCCATTCAGACCTATTTTCTTATGAATAATGATAACACCGTGATGCCACAACAGTTCATTGCTAACAAAGTTACTGGTATTTTCTTTGAGAATAAGGCTGACTATACTACTTGGTTTGGAACGAATCCGGAATTCATTCATGGCATTCAGTGAGTTTATTCTATCTATAGCTTCTTAGACATCTATAACAAAATATAAATGATTTAGAATGATTCCTTGTACACCAATTACGGAAGAAATTCGCCTGGTGAAGTTTGTCGAAGAAGAATGGGTGACTATTTTGAGCAAGATCGTTCACAATGCTGTTCCGGAATGGAAAAGTCTTTTATATATGAATTATGCTATTATCAATCGACACGAAGCCTTCATTCAGCTTACTAATGTGTCACTCGACAATGGTGTGTCTCGCACATGGGCGCTAGTAAGTTGTCCTATCTCGGAAGTGCTTTTACTAGTTGAGATAGTATCATTGATCGAATAAAACTAAGAAAAACATTTTTTGCTCTTGAACGACCCTTGCTAATGGAATATTTCTTATTGACAGAGTATGAGAACTACACTTATTTTCTGTAATAGTACTGGGCAGCCACTCGACCAAGTACAAATGACAGCAATGGAACTGTGTCAACCAGGAAACCTGATCTATCCACCGTTTCAACCACTAATACAGCTTCAAGTTACACAAGTACTATGGTAGCAAGTGCATTAATCCAACTGCTACTAACCATTATTGCTTCAAAAACACCAGCTATGTTGATATAAATTATATTATTACGATGAAACATTTATTTCTGAACTATCATGCTTGTGTCTGACATTTATGTTTAAGACTAAAAAAAACATGCGAGTCTACGATGACCCAACTTTGATACGTGAGAGTGTGAGTGTTGTAAAAACTCAAAGAAGTGCTTCTTATGTCCTTAAAATCTGTTCTTAATCATGCCATTCACTTTATTTTTCCTCCGTATTTTGTGCTTGAAGTGTAGTGCTGCATTTGCCTTACTCATGGCTTTCCTGTTATTTCTCTGCTGTCTGATTGTATAAGCATATGCTTTGAATACAAACGGTGTGATTGCATGATATGAAGGGGATTTCAATAAAGTGCAATACCATCAGCACTATCACTTATTCTAATTATAAGACATCGCCACAGGTATGGATTAAATGCAGCATAAACCCTCAGAAAGACAACAAAATAGCGTTCTTGCAGGAATAGTATTTGAAAATATACGACTTTTCCACAGTAGATTTTTAGTTTAATTTTTTCGATAATTGTATATGTTTCACAATCAATTCTATTCACTCTAACACTGAACCAAACTCCTATCTATTCACAAAAAAAAGTTCAAGTCGACAAGCTTAACTTGTACATTCATAATATGCATACTCAGCAATGTTTTTGTTGAAGAGACTGGCCCATAGATGACGCTAACCATCGTCTCAATAACCTCTATATTGTTTTTCTTCTTTCTTTTTCTGTGCTCTCATTCGTCATCCATGCATTATGCAGACAATGGCAATGTTTTAAAGAGTTGGTTATTTAGATAATTCTGGAGATATCATCGTGCTCTGCAAAGATATTGTCAGCATAGTCATCATTTTCTAATTCTTATTCAGTAGTTAGTGAGTCGAAAAAATGACATTATGTCAAACGATAACATTGTGAATTACTTTCAACTCTAAAACAGCTTTAGAAAAATAAATTATAATATCCTTTTCCGTTTTCCTAGTGGTGATAAAAACACTTTTTGATAAATGAAATTATCTTCAAGCTATCATATCCTAATTCTGAAATGTTTTTATTGTTTGGAGAGTCCTTGTTGTTGTTTTTCTTCTATAAGCACACAGTGTTAATCCCTTTGTATATTTTGTACTTTGTCGCCGACATTTTGATAAATATCACCGCATATTTTTTAAAGCATGTAGGAATTCTAACTTCTTTCCAATCAACTATAGATCTGTACGAGATCGAATGATGCGACAAACTTACTGGTTAGATTATGATCAACAGCTAATGTAGGTTCACTTGCTGTTCTAGCATCGGTATAGTACGTATACATGTGTTTATATCACTATGCGTGTCATAGCTATTATTTATATGTTATTTGTCGTTCGTGCTGTTTTCTTATCACTTTATTTTTTTTCTTGACCTAGTCTTTATTTAAAGTCGTCAGGTCGATAAATAAAAGGAGAGCGCGTTAAAAAAAATCATGCCGTATTGTATGCCATGTAACGATATGAGTTACAAATATATTTTCAGCAAATCTTAGTGCACTTCATTAGTAATAATTTGTAACAAATTTGAAACTTCAAAATAGGGCAATCATATGATATTCCAGTGCTTCATTTTAAAGTTAGTCATCACTCTAGTCAGTAGGTAGATTCAACGAAACTAAGGCTTGACATGGGTAGTACAAGTTTATTATATCTTTCATCGTCATCAACAACATTTCGCAATTAAATACAAATATACTTTCAGTTAAAATATCTTGTTTTTTTTTCTTTCTAGATAAAAACAAATGCCACTTTTCGAAACTATTCCTGTCGATGTTGAACAAGTCCGTCAGCTTGCACGTGACCATTGGGGCGTCGAAGTGGGAGAGTGCATTAAAGCTTCACAAAATCACACTTTTCTTGCCAACAAAGGCTCGACAGAACGTTTCGTTGTACGTGTTACACCTGATCCAGAAAACAAGCGATTTGATTGCACTGAGCTTGAAGTGGCTCTGCTAAACTATCTACACGACAACAAGCTCCCGGTGTGTGCAGCCGTTAAAAGCTCAGTCACTACTTCTGCTGTCGTCCGCGACGGCTCCTTAATTATCTGCCTATTCACATTTGCAACTGGAGAGCCTGTAGTCTTCACGGATTGGACATGGATGACGAATCGAGAGATAGTTGTTGGACTTGGGCGGTGGTTAGCTCGTCTACATAAACTCACCCGTCGCTTCGCCCAAGAGCAGCCAGTGCTAGCTGCTCGTGCTCGCCACTGGACCACACTTCACGAAGGAGTTTTGGCCGGCGTAGAAGTCGACGAACGCGATAGTAAAACAGCAGCGGACCCGTTTTATTTTGGGGTGATTCACGGCGACGTAAACCCAAGCAACTACTATTGGGATTCTACTGTCGGAATGCCGTGCATGTTTGACTGGGATCAACTACAGCAATCGTGGTTTCTCTACGATTTGTCGGCGCCAATTTTTGGTGTTATTTCGCTCGAACGACACGGTTCTCCTATTGATCGGTCAATTGTACCGCAAGCAAACTCGAAGCTGTACACGACATGGCTTCTCGAGGGTTATGAATCAGAAGAAGGAGTTGTTGCTGTCGATCGAGACGCTCTTCAACGGATGGTATTGATTCGTCGAGAGCTCTATAAGCGATTCTGCCGAAAAGCATTGCTGGAACTACCCGCTGAGCACCCCATGGCACAATTTTGCCAGTTTGTGACCGACTCTTTTGACAAAGAAGAAAAAGAGACATTGTTACGGCCCACACCATCGAACTCTGACATCTAATACTTTGTTCTGAATTTGTGTTTGTTCGTGCTTTTTTTCTTGATTAAACAAAATATAATGAGAAATTTTCATGGGCTAACAAAATTCTCATACTCATAACATGAGAACACATCATCTTGATCACTGTATCGAATGCGCAATGCTATTGTTGATAAAATAGACTAATAATTCAGAATAAATTCGAGTTATCACTTGAGAATAATTGAATAATTGTAATCATAGTATATTTGAGTAGAACATAACTTAGAAGACTTTTTCCTATTTCAAGTAGAAATGAAGCTATGGTTGTGGGTGTATGTCTTGTTTTCATCCATATCCCAAAAATCTGTGAGATCACGCGAGCGATAGTACGCGTGGCTTAGATTCAATGCCTCATACGTATCATTCAAAACGGTGGTTTGTGCAATTACGAGAGAGTCGAATGCAAATTTTCTCCTTTTGCGTGAAATATATGTAGTACTGGCTTACAACGTCATATTTCTAACAGAAGAATTTCGTCGAAACAAAATTTGGATTAATGCATTTTAAGCGCTGAGTGAGCTTCAAATAGTGCAGAATTATATCGTGCAATCACTTTTGTAGGATCGCCTCAGACACGTTGGAAATAATTTTGGTGCAACCTATTGTAGTTCATTTTTCAATGCTGACCACGAATATAATATTAGATGTTCCTTTTGATAACGACATTGTTAGTAGCAGGCACTACGATTTTCATATGATTTTCTTCTCAATTTCTCTTCTGTATATCTCGATAGTACCCTACGGCAGTGCGATAAAACTGGTTGAAGTCGATTATTTGCCTTCTTGCTCTGTGCCATTGTCAATATTCGGAAGCGAAAGAGAGAACGAAAGAAATGAAAAAGAAATTTGAGTAAAAAATGCTAGGTTTCTTTTATTCTTGCTCAGTGTCTGATGAATGCAACACCAATATCGAGACGTTACGATGAAAAATAGAAACAAAATCAAATGATCTTCCGGCCAAGTGGGAAAAAATATGAATATTAACTTTTTGCAATGAAATGCATCCATAAAAAGCGTTCTCACATAATCTAGAATAAGAATGACGTCGAATAGCATCAGTGTTTGAATATTTGTATGAAAAATCGACGAAAAAAACTGTTGGAGTACTCCTCATATTTTGATGTTAAGATGAATTTCTATATGCTTTGTACCTAGACTTCAAAATTAAATATATAATAGAGACAAAAATCATCTATTAAACTTATTGAATAGAAGCACCACAACATGATAATCTCTAATGACGTCATATATGATGTTTTATTGTATCACATGCCATAAATGGTATGTTACACAATTCTCCGCCACAGCATTCGAAACATAAGACAAGTTAACGACAACACAACTTTTTCAAATACAACCAGTATTATTGCTGACTGTTATTTGGATGTTGTTTTTCTTTTTTATGACGTCGGTAGTCGAGAAATGTTTCTTTTCCTTCTTTTCCTTCTTTTCCGATCCGACAAGAAACCTTCATTAAAAATACTCCGTGTGCAACTGGAAGCGACGCATGCATGCTCGATTTTTTCCCCACTCCTCAGAAGTAGTCCATGTAATATATCCTATTGATTTTTCAAAGACGCAACTCGAAATGGTTGCTTATTGAAAATATTTTATTTCTTCTAATAATTGTGAATTTAGATTTAACTGAAGTGTACCACGGCACGATTCAACGATGGCTCTTTCTGAAGACGACATAAAGCTGCAAGGATGCTTGAAAGCAGTTGTAGATGTTGTACATACTACGATAAAAGAAGTTCAGGATCAAATCCAGCGAGACACACCTTCTGGCACACAATTAACAGATTATCCACTAGATATCAATATACATGCATTTTCATTAAACCCTGAAGAGGAAAGTATAATGGAAAAGTTTCAGATGAGACTGGAAAATGAATTAAACGATAAGCTTTCATCGTTATCCCAACTTCATCGCAAGTATTTGCTTGAGTTGTTGCATGAATACAAGTATGATTACAGCAGTCGAAAATTTATGATTCCATTCAATAGAGATATACTCGAACCGTTTATGCAAGAATTAGAAGGAACACTCGCTTCGATTGAAGCTTTTCAAGCTGCGTTTAATGGAAAACAGGCAAAAGTAGAAGAGTTTATTGAAAAATATCCAATATTCAAAAACAGATCAGGTCTTTGGGGTACAACTCTTTTGTATTCAGCGGCCAGGAACAATCATTTACAAGTCGTCGAATATCTCATTCGACAAGGTGGCTGTTCCATCGATGCTCCAAATCAGCATCATATTCTACAAATATTACCAGGCTATGAAGCAGCAGACGACGAATTCGGCGCTTCTCCAACAGCTGCTTCAACAGCTTTACATGGAGCTTGTTATAATGGACATATGGAGATGGTTAAGTTTTTGGTTCAACATGGAGCTAATTATTTTGCAAAAAATCAAGCCTTAGAAACGCCTATTATGAATGCTGAATTAAAACCAGATATTCTGAATTTTTTTCGAGAGTATCTTATCCTAGGTTATTCATTGAGTACAAATGTTCTCCCGAATCAGCCGATCTCTGAAGAAAAGAGAAAAGTAATAGTCGACTGTATCTGGGAGTATAAATCGTTCGACCAACAAAATTGGTATCCTTTTTCGTCTGGGGAATCTGGTGAACTGCACACCAATCTTCTCATGAAGCCGGATCAATCTTTCAAATACGAAGTTCATCTGAAAGTACGCTCTGGTGTTTACAGTGTTTCCATGGCCAAATTTCTACGATCTGGGAAGGATCTTGATTACACTCAGAGATTAGCTTGGGTAAGATGTCGCGGTTCATCGGTTTTGAATTACGATTGTTATGCACTGTGGCAAATTATGTTCGTCAAAAATCCCAATGCAATAACCCAGCCATCTGTGGAAACGCTACGTATACCCGTTAGCTACGATAGTACATTTCAGGTACGACTCGATACGTGGTACCATTGTAATGCTAAAACCAATGATCAAATAGAAAAGGCTATGGATTATCGACGTACATTTATCAATCTAGATGTTGATTATGTCTGTAGCGATGAGTTGATATTCAATCTACAAAATTTTTCCTTTCAAAATCGTCAAAACACAATTTCGGGTTACATCCGATGGATACCAAAAATGATATCAAATAATGAACGAAATAAGAACAAAATATTAAGTGATAATGAATATGAGCTAGTAAATCCTGAAGATATGATCCCTCTGACAAGAACTCGACTACAACAAATTATGAATGGAAGCCATCCTGATTCAGCCATAGGTGAAGACGAGCTAGATAGCAATGTGGATGAAGATGTTTCAGTTGAAAATGATGGCGATGAGATTGATGATGATGTTGATGACTTTCAAGGCTGGAAGAAGAAGGTAGGTAGATATTTTCTATCGATCTAGTGCACATTATTCGAGATTTTGATAGAAATTTGATAAGCATTGCTATTTTTCAATTCTATAGAAATCAAGCGAGAAATATTTACAAGAGTATGTTGACTAAAATTAGACTTTTGGCCAACAATATTTTCTCTTCGATAGATTTGTAGATATGAAGATGTTTGTCAATGACGTAGCGTTGTACAATCTCTTCGGACAGCACAACATTCACAATAGACGAGAAGAAAGATTAATATTGATCTTGCTAAGTTAACCATTTCACATTGAATGTTTCTGCTTTAAAATATGCACAGAAAGCAAACAGGCGCATATGGATATGATCGACTAGTTTTATCAATACATGAGTCAGTGGTACGAATCAGGGTAGTATCACATGATATGAACAAAGAAAGGAGTAAAATAGCTGTCAATATGGCGACCATTATTCATCAAAATCAATCATCAATAATAATGAATGGCAAATATTTACATATAAAAAAACATATGAGAAGATCCTACTAGATGTTGCTTTCTAGTTTTTCTACAAAGCCAAACTAAGCTTATGAAACCCTGACATATTTTTCACGATTTTGAACTCGATACATACCTGATTGCACTATTCTCTATGGTTCTGAAGATGGGTGATAATATTTTTCACGTACGAATGCTATCACAAACGCAACAATAGTTTGGTCTACCAGAGTCTACATATTTTACCCAGTCCATTTCGGTGTATGACAGTTCAAAAGCACACTATCAGCTTAGAGGGAAAACTCGAGGTCTTCCTGGTTGTAAGGGTGGGGGTTGACAATTTAGATGATCAGTTAAAATAATTCCTGATAAATATCTGTGGACTGATTGTACAAGTCATTTGTCAACAATTTTACAGAAAGAAACATTATATGCGTAAAGATTTTATGGAGAAAAATGAGCCATTCTCAATACCAGAAAATGACTTCTCTCTGCGTGGGATATATCTGGTGATTTTATGCTGTATTTACCTACTTAGTCATAAATAGAAAAAAGACTAGACTGATAGGTCGTGCTCACTTTTACCAAAGATGGGATACGAAACATATACGCCACACTACTTCGTATTACATTGTCCATAAGATGAAAAAAAGAACAGAGTAGTATCAAGAAATGTTTTTGTGTTGAAAAACAAGAGACAAAGTCTTGAATCACAATATTGGCTGGGTAGCTAGATAGTTTCTAAATTTTGCATAGTATAAAAACTAATTATGATGAACACAATATTGAATTATTGAAATATTCAGTACCTAGAGGCATTCACCTTATCAAGACGCTTTACAACGAAAAACAACTCAGAGTAACTTTTATGCATATTTTTGATGGAGATTTCGGATATCGAGTTGTTTCCTAAACATTTCTTGTATATTTAGAAGCCATGTTCCAATATAGCAGACGTATTTTCTCTTCATGATATAACAAATAATAAGCCAGGCTGTGCTGAGAGTTCAATCAATAACGAAGGTGCTTTACAATCTGAACCAAGGTCATTTACATCTACAACATTGACATCAGTCACTGACAAAGATGATGAGACAACAGAGAAAACAATTGATGAATGTATTAATGAAATAGTAGCCAAAACTCGTCTTCCGCAACAAGTTTGCCCAATTGAAGAATCAAAGACTCATGAAGATCCTGCAGTCTTAGCTGCTGAGAAGAAAGAATTGGAAGAATTACGACAGAGGAACCAAGCGCTTGAAACTGATCTTGAAGCTACACGAATGAAAGTTGAACGACAAATGCAACATGGTAATGAAGAGTCAGCTGAATATCGACGAACTGTGCAAGAAATGTTTGTCCTCATAGACAACATGGAGGAGCAACAACGTAAGAATCGTGAGAAAGAAGAAAAGCTTCAGCAAAAATCCTCCAACATCAAAGAGCAATCATACCCTGATATTCAAGTAGAAGTTGTAAATAATTTTTTGACTCCCAAATATAAGTTCATTATTGATCATTTACGCAGTAAAACACCAACCTTAGATGAATATTTTGTCGGTAGAGTACCGAAAATGGAATTTCAAAATCAAAATGGTCATGATTCTTATGCAGTCAATATCACGGGCTTTCAAGAGCACCACGGGGAATTCAAAAATATTCTAAAACGAATATGGTCTCTTTTGAATGTGATTCAATCAGCGAAAGACTTCTATAAGCGATATTTGAATCGTATCATGAAAAAATTTACCAACCATATTCTACCTGATGTGAAACTGAAAACGCGCTATTGGAAAGAATATTTAAAGTTGTTCATTCAAGTACTTGAGAAAAGAATTGTTGAGTACGCGATAAGCTTTAACGAACATATTACTGAACAAATCCACGTTGAGGCTGATAACACGATAAATGGTACACAAGAGTCGTCGTGGGTAGTGATACGTAAGCAAACAAATGATTTTATGCAGAAAAATGACTTTATGAATGAAATCGAAGACATGAAACGTAAAGCATTAGAGGACTTCATCGAACAGAATATTATGATACAAAAAGCAAAATTAGTCAAGTCTCCATCGACAAAGTCCATTACTGTAATGCAACATTTTCTTGAAAAAGTTCGAAAAGAATTCAAAACAAATAAGAGATATTTTGGTCACGAATCACAACATTTTAATTTGATACCGAATATTTTGGAGAGATTGATGGTCTACTATAACTGTTTCAAAATACAACTACCGCTGTTCGAGTCATCACAGGATTTATTGGACAAGATTGAAGAAAACTCCGTAACCACTATAGCCACATCAACTGGATCAGGTAATTGGATTTTATTATGTGGGGAAAATGTTGAAGAGTAGCTTAGCATTTTTCCCACTCGCTCCATTGATTGTTCTTATTTTCGTTTCAGGAAAGTCAACCCTACTACCGGCGTTGCTAATCGCAGAAGGATATGACAAAGTAATTGTTACGCAACCTCGTCGTTTACCATGCCAGCTAATAGCCAAACGAGTCAATGAAACTATGGAAACAGAGAACGGTGCGAATTCTGAAAAAATAGCCGGATGGGCTGTAAGTGGCCGAGAAAAAAATTCACAAGCAAAAGTACTCTACGTAACGGACGGTCTTCTTAAGGAACGCTTGCTTTATGATAAAAGTTTCATTACTCCTCATACAAAGTTAAATAAGTCTGTTGTCTTCTTTATTGACGAAGTTCATGAGCGCTCAGTAAATATTGATCTTTGCTTAGCGCTCTTAGCTCAACTATTCAGAAACAAACCAGAACTCAAATCCAAAATGAAAATAATCATTTCTTCTGCAACATTAGATTCATCGGTGCCAAATCTTTTTCGTAAAATTCCTCAAGTTAGCTTAGCTGAGTTTATTATGCCACAGATGGGTACTCTATTTCGAGTTCAAAAGATTGACCGTCCAAACGAAAACATTCTGGATATTGTGCAAGAATTATGCCAAAAACGGCAACGACATGATCAAATTCTATGTTTCGTTAGTTCGGTGACTGAAGTCAATCAATGCTGTCGTATACTTAAAGAGATTAGTCGAGGAATGCTCATAGCGGAACCACTCGTTCAATCACAACATCCTGATGTTCAACAAAAGAATATTGAACATGGAACCATCTTCTTCTCTACGACGGTCGCTGAAACATCTTTGACTTTTCCTTCTCTAAAATATGTCGTAGACAGTGGCATGATTAATATGCCTGCCTATGATATCGATTTGAAGCGAACCGTATTGAAGGAAGTTCGAGCAGCGGAGTCCACGTTAAAACAACGACTGGGGCGTTTAGGCAGAACACAACCTGGAGAATACTATTCGGTGTACAGTTTCAAAGTCGATGATCTCAAATATCCGAAACCTCAAATATGCCAAACGGATTTAATGAATCTTGAATTTTCATTGAGGAAATCACCATTAAAGGGGGGACTCAATTACATTCGAGAGTTTTTACCTAATGAACCATCGCAGCAAGCAATTACTTCGGGAATTCAGGAACTGAAACGATTGGGTGCGTATAATGTCTATTACTTCTCTTGAATCATATTCCCTACAATTTCATTGAATTCATATTTCTGTAGTGGCTATCGAGCACGGTATCACATTCAAATATGGATTGCGTTTGCCCTGTTGATAATATTTGTTTGAGTAACTAGTTGCAAGACTATCTAGCGAAAGTTCATTATTGCAAATACTCATGTTAGCACTCTTCTGTTACTAGAAACAACTCAGCATTTGTGTATCTCTACGTGTTTACACTGATTAGTAGCGATGCTGACTCACGGATTGTTTATATTTTCAATGTTGTTTTTGATGGTTCTTAAAATAATCTTTGTCAAAAATATAATGATGCCAGTCAATGCATATTGTAAAAAGATTCAACTATTTTAAACAGATAAGAGAGACACAGAGAATAAATATAGTATTAGTATTTGGGAGATTGAAGATTTTTCATAGATCAACTGACTGAAAATTTTAAGATTATCTTGAGGTTGTGGGTTCCTTAAGAAATTGTTATGCGAAAAGTTGACTTCATACTATTAAGTAGAAATAAAATCTACATTGAATGGGCTCAAATCCAGTTTGTAAAACAATTTTTAGTGTCCGAAAAAGAGTCTCAAATCTAGTTATTTATTATATCTCACATGTAAGTTGCGCCTAGAAACACATATATGACTGATATTAATGCAAGTTTTCTGTAAATAATGTTTTGCTTTGTTTCAGGTATTATGGAAGGAAACGGAGCAAATGAAAGGCTCACGAAATCTGGTGAAGTGCTCAGTGGATTGCCTGATTTTGGTTCTTTGTCGATGTCAAAAGCTGTCTTGGCCGCTCTCCGTGAATATCACTGTGGACGTGATCTGATTGCTTTGTCATCTATTCTCGGTGTATTAAATACGACTACTTTTTTTAAAGCGTTGCCACAACAGTTCAAGAGTGTCGATGGTGACTTTATGACGCTGTTAAATGTAATGAACAATATACTTCTATTGAAAGGATCTGTTCCAGCAAATCAATTCAATTTAGATGAAGTTTGTCAAAAGAGAGGTCTTTCTGGTGTCAAACATATTATTGCACAAGCAATGAGACGTTACACAACTTTAGAAGAGTCATTTAAAAGGTCGCCCGAGTTCAGCAAACAAGCACAATGGACATCTGGAGATTGGACACGAATTGCTCGAGCTCTGCTTACTGGTTATGGAGATAATGTTTTTGTTTCAATGAAAGAATTGAAAGATCGTGTTCATCGGTTTGTACGCTATAGTAATCCTGATGAAATTGCAGTACTAGACTTACAGTCAACGTTGACTCGTTCGATCAGTGCTACACCTGTCTCTATTGTTTTGGCGAGGGATATTCGTCACTCAACAGCTATTCGAGCAACAGCTATTCTTTCATTCATCGGTGCGATAAAGACCGATTGGCTTGAATTTTCAACGAAGCGTCAGATCGTTCTTTCAAACGAAGAAGAAGCTTATTTGAACGCAAACAACAGATTTAGTACCACTCAATCTACATTCTCAAATAAAATTAATATGCAAATGAGCGGCGGAACGTTGCTGCTTACCGGTCCAACAGGAACTGTTCTCAATGCTGAATTGCATCTGCGACAGCAACTGGTAGACGAAATGCAATTTTCTTTGACAACTGGAACTACAGTGACAACGGAACCCAATAGCAATATGGCTATAAATCTACAAAGTGTCACAAAAATGACACAAATTTTTAATCCTCTAAAATGGCGATGGGAGACTCAGAAACAAGTAGAAATCACTATCAATGGCAATACGGCAACGAAAATTTGTGATATTACAGTGAAAGGAAGAGATTCAGACAATAAGAAAGTGAAAAAGGAATTTGACTCTTTCATGAGATGGCTAAAAAATTGTGTAGTAATCAGACATCCAAGTGCAGGTAACAATTGTCTCATGTGTGACTGGTTGCGTGAACTCTCTGAATACAGTGCGATAGTAGCTTTGTAATATATTAACGCTTGATCGGATCTCTTTTTCATCACCATCATCACAAAGAATGTAGTGATAGATAGCTTTCAAATGTTGAGTAAACAGGACAGTGTATAGCAACTACTGGAAAGCTCGTCTATCAATTTTAATAGCTTAACTTTTTAGGAAGTCTCGTAGAAGAGCATACGATAGAGGACACGTCATTAGGACGACGTGATATTGCAGTCTTTCCTAAGTTTATGTTCTCCTATGCACCCTAGTTTTCTTTATTTCTGTGTAGGTGTTCCTCCACGAATACTTCGTCCACAAATGCGTAAAAACTGTCGGGATATTGAAGAACGGATAGCTCGCGTTACTGACAGCAATCGAACATTAATAGATTTATACAACAGTGTCAAGAGTTCAAAAGCAACACGTGAAACGCGCATGGAGGCTGTCGGCTGGATTGCTGTGTGTAAATTTAATTGCAAAGTAGAAGGTGGCTTTGTTCGTGATTGGATTGTTGGCCATTACTCAGCGAAACCTGCTGGAAAAACAAATCCTAAAGACTGGATTGAAGATGCAAATGAACATCCATATAGTAACAGACAGCTTATTCCATATATGAACAAAGAGCTTGTGCCGGCTGACTTAGATTGTCACTTACCTTCTCATGCATATTTCGATATTGATAAATTTGAGGATGAACTTTATAAGTTAGGTATATCGTGTCATATCGTGCGAGAAGATTGGCGATATGTATTACTGCTTGATGAGAATGCCAAAACTGGCCCATTTACTATGGATCTAATTGAGCCACACGTAGCATTAACTCATGATCGTATTGATTTTGATGTCAGCAATCTTTCACTGGAAAAAGATTACACTCATGAGTTAGGCATGCGTATTGATATTGAACAAAAGCCTTACTGTATCGATCTGGAATCGATTGTTGATAACATTAAAAACAAACGCTTTCGAATTCTTCGTCCGATTGATGATTTTTTGCGACGTCGCATTGATAAGATGCAAAGATTGCGTGGTTGGACTCAAACAGGAGAACCGCTTTCGGTAATTCCATCACCAGCCGCAAAACACTATGTGGTATTGGTTTCACTACCATCAACGTCGACCCTATACACTGCAGTTGCCACCGAAATCAGAAAGATCTCTGGAGCACAAATTGTGTCCATAGAAGAAATTAAAAATCCATTTTTGGAAGAGACATACGAAGGAATGAAAAAACTTATTGGTAAACAATGCAAAAATGGTGATCCAAATGAACAATTGCTGTTTCATGGAACGAAAGCAGCCGGAATCGAGGGAATCCCAGAAAATGGTTACGATGATCGACACTTTGTTGCTACTGGAGCATGGGGTAAGCAGCGGATACCATTATGATTCCATAATCTTTCTAATATAGTGTTTATTCGATTCCTATTGAGATTTTACTTGATCAGAAGCATTCAGATATTTTATTTTAATTTCGTGAATATTTCCCTTAAAATTATTCGATAAAAAGAAAAAATTCACCAAAACCGCTAAGAAATTTCTCAAACATGATACCAGTATTGTCTTCACTCTGAAATTACTTTAACTATATCTAAATATTAATACTCACACCACTTTTAGGCCATGGTGCATATTTTGCTGATGATCCTCAGAAATCGAACAATTACACAGAAGCAAACCCAACAAATCAAAGGCGTGTAATCTTCTATAGCAAAGTTCTGTTAGGTAATATATCAGTTCAGAACGTAGCCAATCAAACTATAGTAGCGGCTCCTCTTGGCTTTCATTCGGTTCAAGGAACAGCATTTACATACAAAGAATACATCATTTATCGCTATGGCCAAGCACTACCATACTTGAAAATTATCTATAAAGTCTAATAGATTTTGAACTATCATAAAGATCAGACCAGAAAGAATATTTCAACACAGACATTATTTAATAAACAAGACACACCCATCGAAAGTATATTCTTCTTGGCCCTAGGTTGAGGGCGCGGGTTTTCATGTTCTATTCGACGAAATACACCATTTTCCACAGAAAATAATTCTTAATAGCTGAAAAGTTGACATTATGATCTAACACTCCTTGATATTTTCGGGAAAAAAAGTATATGTATTGCATTTTATTCAAACAACATCAACATATAATCATCTATCAATAATTGATATAGTTTTCCAATAAAAAGACAAGCAAATAAAATTTTCATCAATCATCTGTTTTCTCTTCATTTAAATCGTTTAATGCCTCATCGCCTTCAGCGACATCCATTAAACTTAATAATTCCAATTGTCCTTGTCCGCGTGTTTCACTCCTTAATAAATCATCTAATTCCCGAAATACTCCTGGATCAATTGAACAGATTAGTTGCATTGATGAACCAAGAAATTCTTCATTTTCAATATTTGGCATTGTTGATAATTTATTCATTTTTTCTTTGAATTTTTTTGCATCTTTAGCTAGAATAACAATTTTTTTATATGAAAAATTACTGGAAAATGGATTTTTCTTGTTACCTGATATTGTTAATTGTACGCGCATTTGTGCTTGTTGAATTGGAATATTATTAGATTGTTTTAATTGACGTATGACATCAAGTGCCTTAATTATATCAGAGAATAAATTTACAATAAATCAAAGCATAATTTCAACCTGTTGTTTAGCATTTCGATTAGGATTAATACTAAAATGAATATCTCTCATTGCTTGTTCAATTATTGATATAGTATAAGGACGTTTTGTCTCTGGATTAATACATTTTCCACTGACAACCGATGCAATTTCTTTGAAAGTGTTTTCTAGATGTTGAGTACGCTCTTTATCAGAAACTTGCAATTCGCCTTTTTCTAAAATCTATTTAAAAAACGGAAGAACCTAAATGTTGGATCGAAAGTTAAATCTTACTTCAAGACAAATTTTTGTTTGATCATCAGTATTGAATGAATTAATCAAATCTTCTTTTTTTGCTGCTTGACCTTTCGATACGTTAGAAAAAACAGTATGAGTTTGAAGAACTTCATCAAGATCTTTTTCTCTGAAAAGACAAATAAAGCTTTCGTAACAGAAGATGTATGAATAAGAAATTACTTACTCTTTATTTCTCCATGAAATAACTTTATTTCGATAGCAAGCAATTTCAAAACGTTTACCACCTTTTTTTAATCGTACAGTAGCTATATTTGTTAGACGAATTTGATTTGTGGGTGTAAAAATTTTCGAAGCCATTTAATTATCTAAATTTAAGAATTTCAATGTTATTCTCTAGATGAAGTCAAGATCTGCATTCAAATTTACTAAAAGAGATTGTATGAAAGCAATCGGAATATGTTCTGCTTTTTTAGTTATCAAAACCATTAAATGATCTTAGAAATTTTGCAATTACGATTGATTATATTTCATGGGAGTATTATAGCAATGATTCAACAGAACTTGTTGTATGCAAAATGAACCAGTGGAATAGGGGATTAAAAGATGTCGTGATAAAAAAGAGAACAGAGCAAACATTTTATAAGACGATTTTATTTATAAGGCATTCGTTACAAATTAGTTAGGAGTAAAGAATTTAGGATCCAAAAATGATGAATTTTCTCGAACTAAAATTCTGGAAAAAATATCTGAGTTGTCGCAATCCATATTAATTATCAACTTTTCATTCTTTTTATTCATCGATCAATAGTTAATTTATGATATTTTTTTCTAAAAGTAGAATTGTTGAGACTGGACTCTATGTTAATACAGAAGTATGTTATAGAGACGTAAGAAAATAACAAGTACCAGGAAAAATATCAATTGATAATTGTCTTTCTGGAATTGTAATACAATAAGAAGAAGCAGGCTGCATTTGTTTGCTTACTCGAATTGTTAATGTGGCTCCAATGTAGTTCACTTGAGCTTGAACAAAATCAAGTGACGATGGCAATTGAGGACAAATCTTTAATCCATCAATTTGAGCTGTAACACCTACAAAACCATGTAGAAATGAGATGGCAGCTATACCTGATTCAGGAAATGGAAAATTACTTCCAATTTGTACAAAATCTTCTCCGAAATCATCTCTTATTCGTCCTTTTTCATAATTAAAAGTCAAACAGTTAGAATCATTGTCAACACGTTCCAACATGTTATTTAATATGTTGAAAGCTTCGTCAGTATAATTAAAACGAAGACGAGCCATCACATCATAGTATGTTAACCACATCATTGTTCCACCACTTTCAACGAGACCACCATAGGGTCGTCGTCCTTCATCGGGATCTGACCAGCCATCCCAATCCGATTGTAGAACATTTTCTGTTGTGGTTCTAGGAGCTACAATATTATGATAAACATCTGTACTGCCATTGTGTGGACCAATAAGAATTGGATCAGCCGGGTGCGACAACCAATCAAAAATACGATCAGCTTTCGAACGATTACCTAAACCACGAGCAATTGCTTCCAGATTGATAAAAACATAGCCACTATCATGCTGGTTACCATTCCTATCAACCCAACCAGCATATCTTCCTGTGGTTTCATTCCAAAAAATGTCATCAAATGCAAAATTGAGTTTATCAGCCAACGATTGATAAAATTTTCGTTTCGTTTCATTTCCAAAAACGCTTTCGAGTGCAGCTATATTATTAAGAGCTGTATAAAATGTCAACGCTATCCATGCATCTTTCCAGCCTGATTTCACTTGATCCATATATGTACTTGGACGACTATTCTCTGAGATACCATCATTAATCATATTGATCGGTATTCCCGATGATCCATTCATATTAGAAATTAAAAAATTCATCACTAATTCAGCTCGTGGTAAAATCGATTGAAGAAATATTCGATCGCCTGTCCAAACATAATATTGATAAATGGCAGCAGTAAATCGAGGCAATTGATCGAAATGATAGGAAGCTACATGACCATGTGATCCACGTGCATCAGGCCATCGTTCTGAATCTATCCAAGACCACACAAATCCATCAGACATTTCACCTTCAGTTCCATTTATTCCATTGATTGGAAATCGAAAAAGTGTTGTTTTACCATGATCTCGATACGTATTTCGATCATTCCAACTAAACTTCAACGAGTCCCATTCTGCCCAAGTCGGGTTATCGCCAAAACAATTATCATTTGTATCTAATTTTTCTTCACAATTTCCATAAATAGACCAAAATGCATTGAGTTGTTTTGTTAAAATTGAAGACGAAGAATTAAACGGCGTTGAGTACTCTTGACTTGGACATTTTCCTGCAAAATTTTCATGAAAAAATATTGTCAATAGAATAATAGACAGCATGTCATCCAACTAGTCTAAACTATGTATATCACCTTTACCATTCTTATCTTGAATATTTACTAAACTCCGGACAGCGACGTGCGTGAAAGACATGCACGGCATTTAGGCCACATTCATAGTTATTATCTGGATAATTATTAAAAAAAAACAATTCTCTGTGTATTGTTATTGTTGACAAAAACATTTCTTCATATATTTTTTCATTAACATTAGTGAAAGAAATCAAAAAACATAGAATATCATGTTTAGTTATTGATTCTATGAAAGGATGTAAAATACTTACATTGCGGTGTCTCTCAAGCAGACAACATTTTTTTAAACGCATTTAAGCGCACAAGAAGAATGCCAAATGGGCGTTTCTTGCCCACAGTCGGAAATCCAATTTATCATTCAAACACACCCGATTTTTCGCTTTGTTTTGTCCGTATATTCTGAAATTTGCTATAAAAATACACTACAATAAATACACTTCGCGCAACTGAAGTCCTTGGCTTCTTAGCAGTGAAGTTTTTGTTCTTCATTAACGAATCCACAAACGAATATGTCTTGATTGTGAAAGAGTATCTCTAGTTATCGTACATGTCGATGGCAGGCATTTTTTTAGCCAAAGCAGTAATTCATCGTCGTCTGATGTCACATTTTCCTTCCACGTATCATCACGAGATCGAACATTGAGTGAACGTAAATTTGTCATCGTATCAACGATATCAAATATGCATGCTCGATTTTCTACACGAATGCAAAGCGTTTCACATTGCATTCCAAGTGGTGAACGTTTCAATATTTCACATTCTTGTTTATCATACCAATCGCCTAATGGCTGAAGATCCAATTGACGTATTGAGCTGCTTTTATATCGAAATGAGATCATTTGTGATATAGCCGATGGTGACTTTAGTAAACGAAGAGACTTTAATTTTGGTGCTCGATCAATAATCGATTGTAATAGAGAACAAACCGATTTTCCACCGTCATACCAATAGAGACTTAATGTATGTAGATAGTTTAGATTGGAAATAAACGACCAACCGGATTGGTATATAGGACATTTAATAGAAAGTTGATGGAGATTATGAAAATGAAATTGACTTTTGTTTCCGTGCGATAATAATGGACTCGACAAATTAGTTACACGATCGTATGCATGAAAATATTTATAATCATCCGGACAAGTTGATTTCGATAATATTGGTAATCGAGAAAAATCTTCGAACGCATAGGGTAATGTATACAAAGAATACTCATCTGTTTCGAATAGATCAAATTGAACAAACCATTGATGCGTATCAATCCAGAATTGAGATCGAAAAGTTTCAAGAAGCTGAGCCATCTCAGTATTTATAATGCTACCAGCCGAAAAATCATCTTCTATTTTAAATGCAAATTGTTTTAGTTTCAATAAACGTTTGGTGATGATTGTTTCCCAATCGTTGCCATTCAAACAAAAATTGAACATTTCAATTTTTAATGTATTTAAATTAGGCAAATTTCCTAGGAGTTTTTTTATTGCGTTTTTTTCGCCTGAATGAATGGTGATATGTAAATGATTTAATGATGGAAGAACAACCGAATAGGGTTTTATCGAGTTTTCACATGTCATTTCGACTAATAATGATCGAAGTCGAGGAGTACTTCGAAAGAGATCGTCCATTTGCGTACTTGCGAAATAAACGCCAGTAACAAAAAGATGTTCGACATTCGGCGAAATGGCGGTTGGCGCAGGAAAACAACATTTATATTCTGGTATAATATTTAGAGTTATGTGAGCAAGTTTCGGTAAGTTCCAAATGCGATTGACGAATTTCATTTGATGCTGTGGATGATTGGGAATGTGAAATTGACATAGCTTTAGTTTCGTGAGTAATGGTAAGTGACTGAATTCGGAAATGATTCGTGTCAATGTATTATCATTATGAATGTGTTTTAATGTGAGAGATCGAAGCTGAGTAAAGTCTCGAAGATGAAAATTGCTATCCAAGAAACAAACATTCGATGTGTTGTGGTGAATTATTATTGTCGGAGAGATAAAGTGAACGAATGCGGTGTTGATTTTTCGGAAGATATTCAATACAAATTTTGTCGAACAATGGTTTCGATATGCATTGAAAAAGACCATCATGATTTTCAATATGATCACAGATGAGCACATTCAAACGAGTCTTCAGACCATAGAATGCACGGAGAACATCATCAGTACTAAGATATTCAAATATCTCACGTATTGATTTATTCATTAACGATTCTAGAGTCATTTTGTTTTCTTGTGATCGATGAAAGACAACTTCAAATGTGATATAGCTAACTCACTCTTCTATTAAATAGTGATGAAACTGGATGATTCAATTTTTTGCTTTTTCATTTCATGTTACTAATGATTGGCTGATAATTTAATCTCGATGTCTATTCGTAATTACATATAAAATCAAAAATTGATAACAATCTTCGATACATTCTTATCTATCGATCGTGTGTCCTCTTTTAAGCATGATGCGTGCTTTCAACCGTGACCGTTTCTTTTACTTTCATTGCACAAAATAATAGTGAGTATTGTATGATAATCATTACCTGTGGTCTACGACCGCAAACAAACTTGAAAATATTATTCTATTGACGAGTAATAGGCATGACTCATTTCAATGAAATTTCCTAACGAGATTGAGAATTCAATTTTTATAAAAGAAAAAAAATCTCTCCAGAGTCAAGATGGAAGGAAAAACACTCGGTCAAAAATTTGATTGTAGTATCGAAATAAATGACGAAGAAAATTCCAGTTTCAATTTCCTAACGATTACCAAAAATAAGCCGTTTCTCCTCGAAAGCACTTAATATATGTATTTATGACAGCTCTCCTATAATTTCATCAATCATTTGCAAACACTGACGTATAACAAAAACACTTTGAGACAAATACTCATTCGTCAGCACACTCTTTCAAACGAATGTAAAAAATAGTCATAAGCTTCATGATTAGTGATTACACGTTTCTTTCGCTATGTAAATAAGAAGCAAAAGGATACTGATAAGAAATATGCGAGCACATAGGTTTCTGTTTTGCGATGAAAAGCATCTAACAGATACATCAATGTAAGCATATCGAGCAGAAGTAACAACTCGGATGCTATATCAAATGATGATTTATCATTTTTTTCTCTTGTACAGGCAGTAAGCAAAACTTTACGTTTCAAATATCACATGTAGTTTGTGTCGATGCCGTCCTGACAGTACTAATTAGGTTGATTATCAAAAATAAGAAACTTAAAACGCATTATACTACATTTCTTAATAGTTTCTCTATTGTAGATCCATCGGAAATCATTATGTTTTGCATAGCAAAAATTTATTGACGATTTCAATAAAGGAAATTCTGCATAGAAATATTCAATATTTTGGATCAGAGTCAAAACAGCAACCAACATTACTATGAGTAATACATCTCGATCAGCTGTACAAACACTGGAACCAGTACCGCCAACGTCGGCATGTTATGAAAACACTCCGAACCGAGGATTAGTTGAAACTGAATTGGTCCGTGAAAAATTATATGAACAAGTGCTCAATTCGATTAAGTCCTGGCTTTCAAGTCAGCAAGCATATCCTCCGTGGTCAAAGAAGAATATATGGCATATCCTTCTTCGCTATATATTTATTAAAAAAGCAGCTCTCTCGCGACCGATGCCTGATCCGGTATTTGCTATTGGTACGTGTTCAGTGGCGAGACAGCAACTTCGCCGTGATCTTGAAAAACGAAAAGTGAACAATTTCACTGAACTAGCTAAGCTAATCGATCATCAACTTGAAATTGCAGCGCTTGAAATATGCGTAGCAAACATCGGAATGGATGCACCTGTAACTGTATCAAATATCGACGGTGACCTCATTTATCGTGGCCGAGTACAAAAAGACTTTTCACGGTTAGCTCAACGCTTTGGACCCGATTACTATCATGCAGCATATGCCTTGGGATTGCGCTACAAGTACATCCATCTATGTGGTCATGGACTAGCACGGGAATACGAAAAGGAAACTAAATTGAGTGCAAACTATCCGTTCATCCGTGAATGCTTTGCTTCTACTTTCAATCATTATTTTGATCAATACCACTCTGCATTTCCAGACCTCGAGGCTTTTTTCGGATCGCGAGGTTGCTTCTTTAAAGCGGCGTGGGAAAAAGACCCCGCTGGAATGATTTACTACGTGTGTCCACCGTTTGATGATACTCTCATGCAATTGTGCGTAGAACGTGTTTTGTACGTATTGAAACATCAATTGGTTTCTTGTGCTCGCTTTATATTTACTATACCGGGAAGTTGGACAAATTTCAAAGCTTTACAACAACTGAAAACAAGCCCATGGACAGTACAAATCACTGATTATCCAATAGGTAAATTACGATTCATTGATTACATGGCCGAAAACACACCCCGTATTTTGTATCCAACTGATATCTGTGAAGTTACTCTAACAAATTGTAATTGTTAATTTTTTCTTTGATATTTAAATGGTTGTAATTATGCTAAAAAGTGTGTCGTCAACGATCGTCGGCACAAAAAAACAAGCTGTCTTACAATAATGTATCAAGATCAAATAGGCAGTGAAATAATTTTTCATATCTTCGCTAGATGAGAATACGGAAAACATTAGATTAATTTTACTAGGAGTGTTTGACATATGTAGAACCATTCGCTTTAATATACACATTGAGTTCTTTTTCTTTTAATATCAAATTTGAAGAATATTAAAATCGAAGGAAAATAAACACCAATAAAAGTATTCTACTGAAAAAGACATACTGAAATCGTTTTAAAAAAACGGTTCATGTGTTGAAACTATTTAAGAAAAATCAGATGTTAGTTAGAATTTACAAAAACCCAATAAAAGCTTGCTAGCGTAGTCCCTTTGGGGCTAAAATGTGGAACTCACATATATCCCTTTGGCTTATTAAAATAATTTAAAAGAGCTCATGTAAAAATTCTACGTTAATTTCCAAAATCTATAATTAGGCCATTGCTTATTTGTTCATGCCTGTAATGGAGTATTAATTGTTAGTTGGTATCTTTAGCAATGGTAGATACTCGTTGCTATGGTATGTAATGGGCGAACATGACTTTTTCGTGTAGCCTGTAATCAAATAAAGAAGAAATAGCAGCCGAATTAGTCAAGTTCCTAATTAGCACAATTTTAAACTCATTAATGTCTGTCATGGGGAGGGGTGGGGAGCCGCAAAAATCTCGCTTTTAAACTTACACTCACCATTTTCTTCGAAAATATATGTGACTTCCACAAAAGTAAAAGTAATGATATTTTATCATAGGATCTAATTTAAAATCTATCCGCAAAGATTACCTTTCATATACTGATCGCTCCTATTTTTAAGACGAGAAATGAAACTTATTATTCACTACATACTTATAATAATTGGTTATGCTTCAACGTGGCCATTATGAGACATATATTAAGTGCTATATACATCATTCCGTTTCTTTTCAATAATTCAAACCGAACGCTTTCTCGTGCGATAGAAGATTTAGAAATAAGCAAATCATTTTTTTTCAAAACATTTTACCCGTCTTTCAACATTCTAATGATCTTAATGCTGCTACAAAAGTAAATTCACTATATCAAGTCCATACGAGAAACAGGAACCAATCAAATTTGCATTGCATTTTCAAACAGTATCTTATACGGTGCTGCGAGGTCTCTCGTTTGGAGAATGTATAATAGTAGAGCTAATATCTAGTGTGCTAAAGAATTAGAGAGTTTGCGTAGACTGCCTGGCGTATTTGGTTGTTGTAGCATGTGCATACATGTAATAGAATAATATATCTAATTTTCTAATGAAGAAAATATAACAATAATCATCAGTGAAGAATATAATAATAACACTGATAATAACCAGAGAAAAGAAAAACTAACAAGTGCGTAAAAGCGAACGAAAATCAATCACGAGGATTAGTCATGATATAAAGATTACGTAAGAAATCAAAACAGAGATTATATCAACAAATAACGTGAAAAACGTTTAGCGTCCGTGAGTGTCATCTACTGACGCCAACAGGTGTTGTTGGAGGATTCAATTCATTCTGTGACAATCCACCCACCGCACATTCACATGTATTACTTGGAAGAAAGAAACCATGCATCAGCCGCAATCGGCTTTTTCCAACATTCATTGGCCTCAATTATGAAGGAGAAAAAGAAAACAATACTTTCATGTTTGAGTATTATGACAAAAAATAAAAACAAAACAATAGAGAGCACTTATTAAGACTCAACTCATTCACACAGTTTGCGTCCTGTCACCAGTATTTCTTTAATAAATTAAAACTGGTCTATTATGCCTAGCGAAAAACGAGAACCAAGCGGAACAAGACCACAGACTGCCAAAACGGAGCCACCTAAACCAGTAAGATCAGCATCAACATCTGCAAGACGTTCATCAAGACTACATGCATCCACGGAAACAGAGACGAAGGAAATAATACCAGGAGCAACTGTTATAAAGCCAGGTCCAGCAGCTACACCGGAATCTAAACCCGCTGTTCCTCTGGTACATCCACCGACAGTCACTGCCTCCACTAGGAATGTATTAACAACAAATCCAAATGTCAATCCTTCAACTTCATCTTTCACTGTTTCTCTCTATGCGTTGAGATACTTCATTAATTCCGATAAAGTAAAACTACAAGCTGTTTTTGCTTCGAAATTTGTACAAGATTTTAAAAAAATAGCTCGACTATCCAAAGAAAAGAAGCAGGATTATATTCCATCTGTGTTTCAACTCTCTGCAAATATTCAAATAGATAACGACGGCATTTCATATCTTGTGACGGAAAACGCTCGTCATCGTTTTACCAACTACTCTTTGCGTGTGGAAAAGCTAAATCGACTTTTCGCAAATCTCCAATGTGATGAAATAATAAACAGATCAATGAACAGCGAAACTTCACGCACTCAGTTCATTTTTGATTTACGATTTCCACGTGGTACCAATACAGCTGATCTCGGTAAGTTTGTCGAATAGTTTATTGATAAGGAAGACATTCGTAAAAGTGTTGCTTTGAAAAAGTAAAGTGCCTGTAACAGAGATGTTCCCGGTAGCATTGCCATTGATCCTACCGCGCCGTCACGGTACAGTTTTTCAAAAACGACCGCGATGGGCATCTCTTATCTGCGAATGTAGGTAGGGATCTCAATATGAATGTGCTGATACATAATCATTATGAACCATAAATTCCATAAAAAAGCTGAACCCTGAAAGCCTAGCAGACATGCACACAAAAGCGCCGATTCTGTATCAAAATAATTTAGAACTATTTCTTCTTTTTTCAGGCGCAAATGTTGCAGTTTGGGATCAACTATGTTTTTTCACTTACTTCATAATTCACAGTGAACAACTTGATTTATTTCCCGCATTAATAAACCAATTCGCAATCTTGATACACAGTGATGAACTTGATATGACTTCGGACAATTTTATTACTTTCGCTGACACAGCATACACATACCTCAGCTATATCGATCATAATCTAGAGAACCCTGCATATCTTCGAGTCATTATACAGATCTGGGGAATTTTACCACTTAAAACAACAAATCTTTCTTTTGCTGAGCCTACCGTTCGCTTGTCCGCAGTAACTATACTCAAGGTTGCATTAAAGAATCTATCTAATTTAATTGTTAACATGGACCCGACTGAATGGCCTTTAATCAAAGATGGTTTGGTACTTTTGATGTATATTGAACTATTAAGTTCGAATAGAGATTTCGAATTTGATTCGATTAGTGCATTCGTCGATGATAAAATTAAAACCAAGCCGAAACAGGAAATAGTACATTCACTACTAGAAAAACTTCTTGAATCTCAAAAGTGTATTCAACGAGCTAATTGGACCGAATTATTAAAATTCATATCTAAAAATAAGTCTATGTGCGATTATCTCAAATTGTCATCGTCATTTGATGCATTTTTTCTTTGTACAAAATACATTCTACAAGTCTCTCTGAATGACGATGTTGCTCAAACTCGTATGAAACAGATTTTTAATGAAATGATTAGTAAGCAGAAGCTCGATCGTAAGTAGATTGTTCATAATTATTTACTCTGTCTCTCGTATTTTTTCTCTAGTTCGATTAAGTGAGATCGTCTTGATTTTAAAATTTTTGCAGGATCCATTACCAGAAAATGAGAATGAAAAAAAATCGACAGAATTTATACATTCCATGGTTGAAACCAGTGTAGCCCTACAGGATAGGATAAAAAGCTATCTCACAAAATTAATAATTAAGGAGACTGATTTGACACTATTGTATGATTTGTTTCAATATTATAATCCAATCTTACTATTCAATATTGATAAACAAACGTATTTGCTGAAAATTTTCAATCAATATGAACCGCGCTCGTTTGGATTTTATACGAAATGGTTTCGATATTTTTTATGTGATAAGAATTATGTTGAAACAACTCAAGAATGGTATTATTTTGAATTTTTGATAAATAAATGGTTGGATAAAGTTGTAGAAGATCGTGGCCTTTTCCGTCAAATTATGATTGAAATCGATAATCTAATTGATCAACTTAGTCGTGTTGAAAATAATAAAGCAAACAATCGACGCTTGACCTATTTCGTCAAGAATATAATTGATAGAAATTTCAAACGAAGTATGAGATTGGGCGATTTCTAATAACATTTCTCTAGAGTATTTTTTTAAATTTCTTCAATTAGGTTCTTTATCCGATGCTATTATTAATGTTGGAACAAATGTGAGCAATAAAATCTTTCTTGAAGAATTCGAAAGAAAATTCAAAGAAGAACATTTTCTTCCAAATATAAATAAGATAAAAGAGATGCAATCGTTTAATAATCCTTTGCTAATTTTGGCCGAGCTGTACAAGGGAAAGGAAGCTGTGGATCTGGTTCAACATCTTATTGAGATATGTTGTGATGCAATCGAAATCGGACATGATGAACTACTTGAACATACATTGGACAGACCATCAAAAGATACGTTAACATATTTTATGTTATTCGAAAAATGTTTTATCAAAATATCCCTTCGTCAAAATATTCTTAATCGACTTCAGAATCTTTGGAATTTATGGGAAGAAAAAGGACTGCAAGCTCGCCAAATAATACATTGGCAAACGTTTACTTCCAACCAGGAATTCTATTTCGATGAAATATGGAACATAGTTGGAATATATGCAAAAAAAACTTACAAAGTTAATAAACTATTCGATAAACAGTATCAAGAAATGCTCAAAATGATAAAATTGAAAGAAAACATTGCTAATTGTCTCAATGCATATTGTGTCGAAAGTATCGATAAAGAAAAATATTTAGCAGCTCTTGACTCTTTGCAACGGAAAATCGATGAAGGTCGAATACAAGGAATTACTGTTGAACCTGAACTTAAACGACTGGAACAATTAGCCGCTCGTCTTAGCCAAGTTTCAAAATCACATGCTTGGATACATTACTATATCAAACAAATACACAGTATATCACTCATTAGAAATATTTTCATTGGATTTTTTATTTGATTTTATAGATCAAGAAACTTCAACAAATGCGGCAAGCAAACGTTCCGCCGAGGCTGCCGAAACTGTTGATATTGATTTACTATTCGATAAGGGAGAAGGTAAAAACGAATATCAGTTCAGCATATCCTAACAGTTTTTCACAAAAAAGAAAACATCTTCTCATAATCCCTTACAACAAATGAGAGATGTAATGCATGAAAAAACGAACTAAGCTTTTATATTTTATACATACGAGCAACTCACTTTTAGTTATAATTATACACAAAACTGTTTACATATTTTTCAGACGAAATCCGAAAATTAATTTTCCCTTGTCTTCCTATTGAAAACCACTAAATTAGTTTACAAACTTATCAAATTTGCATCGCGACAAGTTCTACAGATAAAATAAGAATAAATATCCAAAAGCAAATTGGGGTTAGGAACACTACTATCATTCAACAATATTTGTTTTAGAGCGACCAGCTGCTAGTGAAAAAAAACGTAGAAGTATTTCGAAAGTAAGATCTAGCACACCCGATGATCACCGCACAACTATAACGACTGAGAATGTACGAAGTAGAAGAGAAATTAATACAAAAACTACATGTGAAGAAACACTAGCAAACGCAAATAGTTTGTTTGACCAATTTGTTGTTGAATTGGATCGACTATGCACCAAATGGAAAGAATTACCAATGGAACAGTTGCTCAATATTTTTCCTGGTGCTGGCTTCATTGAATCTGATACGACAATTCTCAAAGAATTTCTTCAAGCTGATGTGATACCTGATTTACGTTTGATATTTACATTTTGGACAAATCGAAAGCATCTACATGATCTAGCATTTGGTTTTGAAGATTTACTCGAGCGATTTCAAATTTCTACTAAGACCGGTTACAAGAAAACTTTCAATGATTTAATCAAAATCAATGAAAAATCGATCGCTGGTGATTGTTACGATAATTATCGGCATTATTTAGAAACTATCGAGAATGTTTATTCAACAGATATACTGAGTTTGTGTGCGGCATTGCATGTGTCAAAGGAATTGATGCAGTTTTTAGGGGATCTTACTGTCAATGATGCTGATAATCTTCTTGAGGCAGTAAACGATTGGGACGAAACACTTATTAGTACCAAGTCTGTCATTGATTTTGTTAAACTCAAAACATTTTTTATAAATACCGACGTATCCATAGAAGAACTTCGCTCACACCAGACAGAGCTTGTCTTTGAAGATGTCGCTAAATGTTTCGATGTGATCTTTAAAGATGATGAATTTAAGAATGTGATTGAACTATTTGAAACGTGCTCACAATCTGTTGCAGGCATCAAACATCTCTATCTTGAACTTACGAATAAGGAACAATCTAAACGACGATGTATTATGGACATTTTGTCACATTCATCATTGTTGTTTGTGAAAAATCTTAGTACCGAACGTTTATTTGATGTGAAAATAAAATCAAAAAATCTTACATTCGACGATTTAAGTGAATTACGAGATCGAGCTCGATTAATTGGATATTCAAATTTGCACAACAAAAATGAAGATCATAATCGAGAAATTGAAAAACTAGAATCATTCGTCGAACTAGTTGGTGTTATTGAAGACGTAATAAAAAATCTTTCGGCTCTCTACATAGCTGGCTTTCCAACAGTCACAGATATTATTGATTATCAAGTTGTTACATGTAGCGCAGGCGACTATCAAGATCTTCATTGCCTATACAAAAATCTGGAAGAAAAACTAAAATCATGGGAACAGCTCTTGTGCCAAATGTATGAAATATATCCCGAATTGACTTATTTCTCTTATGAACAATTTCAAACAGTGGAAAGTTTTCTCTACAACGCCAAAATTGAAGAAAACCATCCAGGATATCATCTACTCAAGTATATCGGGTTTGAACCGGTTTTACTTCAACAATTCACACTGCCAGAAAAACCCGACGGTGAAAACGAACGTTTGGAAAATCTGGGTAAAATCTTGACAACACAACGCTCTCGTTCTGATGACCATGCAGACTTTGAACAAGGTTATACAGGTCACACGGCAAGTATTTTGTTTTTCGTTTATTACATGGTTCCATATGATTGATAAATATCACCAGAAATTATTTATTTCAAAAGCAGCAGAATAGACAGTTATTTTCTATCGATAAATACACATATTGTTGCTTTGTAAAGGTTTTGAATTTCTCGATGACACTATTATAGAAAATAGAGCTCGTAAAAACAATAGTCGAATATGAAAAAGTACAACTTAATCGATATGCATGTAAAATATTGTGGCACATTTTATATATCAGACAGAAATATATAATCCTTCAAACGGTTCGCATATAAAAATAGTTATGACTGAAAGAAATAATATCCGCTAAACCAATGGAATTCACACAAAAAATGGTCATCCGACGATGTTGAGCTAATTTTAGTTGACATGTATTGATAGGTTTTTTTGTGTGTGAATACAGAGGCATTCAATTGGTCATCAGATAAATAATTTTCAAAAGTGAAACTTTGTAAGTCAGTTGTAGGATTCACTGAAGTAATAAATAACATAGGCTTGGAAGCACACAGATTTTTAGATCAGAAATATCGCTAATATTCAAATACCTGTCATTTGTTTTTCTTCACATAAACTTTAAAACATGAGAAGCTTTATTGTGGCTAGTGGACATGCAATAGTATATTTTGTTTTATTAAACGTACCACTAACAAGACCCGTATTCGAACTGTTTGATAGAGAACTGTGACGAATGTGCTATGTATGCTTTATTCTAATTGATAATTCTTGACGCAACTAATGCGTCATTATACGATTCTAAATAGATAATAGCATAACAAAAACTGAGTACTTTTGTTGTGTGGGCACTGTCGACCAAGATCGTGAGAGTTAGTGTGAACAGCTTATGCATCGTATCAATAATCACACTCGTGATTAAGTAAATTCATTCGTTTCAGTGACAGTATTTGTCGTCGTTCAATAATAATTATAATACTGCAGTTCATTGATAATTTTCAGAATGACGATGCAGTTACCTTGAAGAAACCTAATTCTTGATTTTCCATTAAGAACGGTTCTCAACTAATATCCGTAGAAAATGAATTCATCTTTTTTATCGATAATTAATTCGAAAACATTTATATGCTTACTCTTTAGGTACGACTTGTTGAGACTACCGAAGACGGAATATTACGAGCAGCGTTCTCATTATTTAACATGGTCAAGAGACCGATTCGTGTTCATCAATTATTCTATTGTACGAAGCGAACTAGTTGGGTGGAAATTCGTGCATTCGTCTATCGGTGTTTCTTTTCCAAGAAATATCAAGTGCTGATTCGACCCGATCTACTTTCATTAGTAATTCAAGATAAATTTCTTCCATTGCTTAATAGTTTAATCGAAAATCATCCGATGTATCATTTTCAATTGGGTATAATTACAACAAGAACTGCGTCTCATATACAATTAATTAATGCAATCAAAACTCGAATCAATATCAGCATATTACAAGATCAAAAACTTTTAAGCAAAGATGATCTGGCTGCTCAAGTACAAAATATGCTTCATCAATGTACAATAGTCACATCTCGTCTGTCTGGCTTAGGTAAATCACAATTCATCACGAAAGAAAGTCATCGTCTAGGTAAACAACTTATTAAATTTCCAATCGGCGGCGATATTAAATCCGACGAAATTGCCAGTCGACTTCGAATTTTACATGAAAAATCCTTGCAAACATCAATTCTACACATCGACATCGGCCACGTTGAAGATGTCTATGCTCTCGATGAACTGTTATACTGTCTCATACTTTTTCGTAGCTTCTGTTTCGGTCAGTCAGCTGCATATATTCCAGAGGAAGCATTGATATATATTGAACTTGCTTCATCGCCGTACATTAAAATAAATCAACGTCTGATGATATGCCAATATCTTACGCCTACCCATTTCGATAAAGTAAACTGGGATGAACTCGATTGCGACAGTCCGATGATTCAGTTTGTCACCAAATATTTGAATGCAATTGACACAGGTACCATCGCACGCAAAGGTATTCAAGTAAATGATGCAAAGGTAATCGACCGTGCAACATGTATGACTTCCATTCAAAAGCATTTTCTTCAAAGAAAAAATCTCGAGTTCGTCACATGGACACAATTGTCTGTTTTTATTGCAGTATATCATTCTCTTTTTAATGGATTTTCTATTTGTGGTTTCTTTTTTGTTGAACTTCTGGACCAACCTCAATTACGACTCGACATGCTTCAAGCACTTCTTCGTTCGTCAGATCAATTCACATCCGTATCTGTAGAAAAGGTACGAACGCAGCAACGCGAAAGTCTGAGAGATGGTACAGAAATTCAACAGCCAGAATTAACTGATGCAATCGTTCGCTGGGAAAATACACAACCGTTTACGCTTGTTTTTACGGCAACTCATGAGCCTTTATTTGTTTACAAAACAACTGTCGATATACCAGAATCACTCAGAAACTATTTTACTCATTTTCAACAGGCTATTTCTCAGCAATCAACTCGAAAAACTTCTGAAAAACATGAACTAGTAAATCACAATCGTGAGAACATGCTTACTGATTACAATAGACTTTCGCATGTGGACTTCTTTCATAAGCTCGCTTTATTATCACACAAATATTTCAATAAAGCTGTATGTACGAAATGTTTCAAACAATATCCGTACGAAACACAGCAATGTACACGCTGCCATACTAGCGAGAGCATGGCTCGGCCAGAAACCCTCGACGCTAGCGATGTCTTAGTGTTTCAAATAAATATCGCTACTTTAATTGAAGCCGAATATGTTCTCACGCCAGATAATTATGTCAAAATGTTACTTATCTACATGCGTATACAAAGCAATCTTCCAGTATTAATTATGGGAGAAACAGGTAAACCTCTTATGAGTAATGCTGCTGACAGATCTATTGAATCGTGTGTACAAAGACAAATTTAATCAAAACTCTGTTTCTCATTCTGAAATCCTTCGCGTTTATTTGGTTAATAAACAATAGGGAAACAACTATCTCTTTGAACGAAATAAAACAGTCAGGGTTGCTCAAAAAATGCTCAGTGATTCTTGAATTTATTCTAACTCGATGACCTTGTTCTGTCATGATCGCTTGTACGCAAATGTTCTGGAAAGGTCCCTTAAGTTTGAATAGGATTATTCATACATTGTTATACTAAGATTTTCTTACGTTTCGTTTTAGGTTGTGGTAAAACAGCATTGATCAATTTTTTATGCCAAAAAATTCTCGATGATGAACTAGAAATATTCAGAATTCATGCTGGAGTCACAAGTGAAAAGATTATTGAGACGATGAGAAGATTTATTGTTAAAGCGCTGGAGTGTGCACCAGAAAAAAAACGTCTTTGGATATTCTTCGATGAATTCAATACGACATCTAGTATTGAATTGCTCAAAGAGATAACTTGTGAACGTACACTTCTAGGCGGTTCATTGCCAGATAATATGGTGTTTCTTGGTGCATGCAATCCGCGTCGACATAAGAGCAATGAGAAATGGCTGTCATTTGAAAATAATATTGGCATAAAAAAAGATCGATATGAAATGATGAAAAAATTGTCCGATGGCCCATCTCTACTGTATACAGTGGTGCCTATTCCAGAGACGATGCTGGAATATATATGGGATTATGGATATCTCGGTCAAGATACAGAACGAGCATACATCAAAACAATGCTTAAAACATGCCCTACATTAGAAATACACGAGCAATTATTTAATGCATTTATTCAACTCGTGTCTCGATCTCAACAATTCATTCGAAAAATTGAAGATGTTAGCAGTGTTAGTTTAAGAGATGTCGCTCGATTCTGTCGTTTATACAATTGGTTTCATGAGTCGATAACTGTGCGTTCTATTAAACAGTCTCTTCTACCCCACATAATTGCTCGACGGGCTGCTTTCTCAGCTCTCTTCTTATGCTATTATTTTCGACTACCGGCCGTTAAACTTAAATATGAATATGTTGATATGCTTGAGCAAGGTTTATCAGAGTTTTTTTCTATGATACTGGTAGAAAAACACTTTCTTATCAAACAGCTTGAAACGGAAGAAAATGCGTTGATAGACGAGATGGAACTACCGAAAGGTACAGCCAAAAATCGAGCTCTACGCGAAAATATTTTCGTTCTTCTTGTTTCGATTGTTAATCGAATTCCTGTGGTATTATGTGGAAAACCAGGTTGTAGTAAAACATCGGCCGTACAAATCGTTATTAGTAATCTTAACGGGAAAAAATCAAAGAGTTCTTACTTTCAAACACTGCCAGAACTGATTACAGTTTCTTATCAAGGTTCACAAAATTGTACATCTAGTAGTATTGAAAAAGTATTTGAACGAGCTGGAAAATACCGTAAAGCTCAATCAGAAACTCAACTTTTACCAGTAATAGTATTCGATGAGATTGGCCTAGCTGAATTGTCACCACACAATCCATTGAAAGTGCTGCATGCTGAACTCGAAGTTGAATCGTGCCAATATGGTTTTGTTGGCATATCGAATTGGCGTTTGGATGCTTCAAAAATGAATCGGGTACTTTACATAAGTTGTCCCGACCCAGATATTGATGATCTGAAAATAACTGCCAAGTCAATTGCAGATGGCATGCGATGTGAACAATTAGCAGCACCTAACTTAGACTCAATTCTCGACGGTCTAGCGAAAGCCTATCATGAACTATTCGTCCGTCTTAAACATCAACAACAAAATGAGTATTACTTTGGACTACGCGACTTTTATTCTTTAGTTAAAGGTGTTCTTAGTGAAGCAAATGATTGCATGAATGGTACTCGTGAAGATCTTTTCGCTATCGTGCATCGACAGATGAAAATCAACTTTGATGGCATTATTGATGGGTCAAACTTCATGTGGAAAGTCTTTTGTGACAGTCTCAATCATGCAGAACTTATGAAACAATATCCGCTGCCAACTTTTAGAGATCTGCTCCATCGTCGTATTAAAACGCATTCGGGTCGTTTTCTTATGTTAATTGGTAAAAGTGAAAGCTCATATGATTATGTTGAGCGATATCTTCGTTCGATAACAAGATGGTTACCGGCTCACGAACAACCTCTACGAACATTAATCGGTAGTCAAATGCCAGGGGATCTGATCTTCAATAAAACTTATACCGAAACCTATAGTTACCGAGTACTTATGGATATTATTCTTCATGTAGAGACAAATGTAACATTGCTTATGCGACAGTTGGGTCATCTGCATGATAATCTATACGATTTATTTAACCAAAATTTTGCAGTTTCTGCAAAAAAACAATATTGTCGAATTGCACTTGGTGCTCTCTATCATCCAAGATGTCTTGTGAATGATAACTTTTTCTGTATTGTATTTATTAATGAAGACGAAGTTGAAAAATGTGATCCACCATTTTTAAATCGATTCGAAAAACATATGATCGACATCCAAGATCTCGTGCGACCTATTCATTGGCAAATGACTGAAACTCTCCTCGATTGGCTCACTAGCATTTTGCCATCTGGAGATAACATACGTTTTCCATGTCTTCAACATCTGTTTATCGGCTACAATCATGATTATATATGTAACTTAGTTATTGAAACAAGCGAAGAGCAAAGTCGAGACGAAAATATAAATAAAAAAAAAGTGATCAAATCGTGCAAAAAAAAGATACTGCGGTGTTCTTCGTTTGATCTACCACTTGTACTCACCGTGCAAAAGGCCGAGGACAAGAAAATGCAAATACTTATTCGACAATATTATGAATTTCATGAACGAAATTCATTCGCCGCCATGCTTTCCAATGATGCTCAAAAACAGATCATTTATACTTATACTCAAAATTATGACAAGATCGTCTACAATACAAAATTTGTTGAAGAAATCAAATTGAACAATCTGCAAACCGAACTCGAACTATTGAATAAAATAAAGGCGCATTTTTTAAAAAGAGATGGTCCCAGCATTTTAATTATACGCGTTGATTATCTCACAGAACATGGGCAATTGCTTTCTCTTAAACATATTTTGCTCAATGCTATCGATGATGAATCTAAAGAGCGGTCTGATAAGCGCATTTGGCTTGTTATTCATTTGCAGCGCAATATGCTTGGGGAAGCAAAGAACAACGTACTATTTCATGGTTGGCAAGTCGACATGATCGGTGATCTCAACAATTGCAATCCGATATCAATCGAAACTCTCATGAATCCGTCTTATTACAATTTAATTAATCAAGAACCGTTTCAATTGTCTGAAGATCTATTTCGCGAGCTCGCCAATCGAACTTTATCGAAGTTTCGATATCAAGTAGCTAACAATCAGCTTGAATCAAAAATTAATCACCGACGAAATATGATTACTGATTGTCTCGTAGAAGATAATCGGTCTGAACTTCCACGGTTGATTCGAGACAAATTATTTATGCTGATAGAAAATATTCATCATGATCGAGCCGACAAACGCTTTTCAGATTGGCGAAAAGATCTCCTAACTAATGGGCTCGTTATTGCAACGTGTCGCACATTAACCGAAGCTTTCAATGCTACAATAGTTCAATTTTATGAAACCTATTTCTTACTTTTATTTGCACATTTAGAACGGTATAATTTCTTTGATTCTTATCAATTCATCCAAAAACAAGACGAGAACGAGCGAACATTGCTCACGCAAATATGGGATGCTTGTTTAACGTCGAGTCTAAACAGCATCGACAATAATGTAATTAATTTAGACAGTGTTGAAATACCGTTAGTTTTCGATTTACGACTTCCGTGTGCCATGATCGAATACAAGGTCATACAAGGAATATGCAAAATATTATCGAAACAGCAATCAGAAAACGATGTAACTGCAGGAGATTCTAAACAACTAATATGGCACAAATTGAATGAGAAAACAATCTATGGGAAACAGTTGATCGGTAAAATTTTCAAGAAAGAAGAACTGTTTAGGCATTACTATCATGACTTATTATGTTCGTTTCTCAACGAGAATAATATTCAACTATCGACTGACTTTGTCTTTCATATGATTTGTGTCAATCCAACTTTTTCGAATAGAACACGTTTTCAATCATTATTAGCGAATTGGGAAGAGACGATTCAAATATTTCGAATTTTCGAACTTGGCGCTTCTTTAATTGGCGAAGATTCTTTGTTAAACACTTGCTTAAGACAGTTTATTAAAAGCGATGATCCATCTCATGTTGACACAAACAAAAAGAATGGTCTATATAAATTAATACTTTCTACAGAAGGTTTTTCTCTAGTCGATCCTGGCCACGATGAACGGCAATATAAAGAGAACTCAAATGATAATCGTGATCTATTTATTGAAATCAGTCTTATGAATCTTCTCAAGAAACTTCAGAAACCAAAATATGTACGAAAAACTGAATCGCCTCAACAATTGATAACTACCTATGATCTTATATATCATGGTATTTTTACATTGACAAACTACACGGTTGATAATCTCGACAGATTTAGCTCACATATATGTCTAATTCGATCGATTACTGCTCTCTTCGACAATCAATCGGCTGCTAGAATTATCAAACATATCTATGCCGATGATAGTGGCGTTAATTTTGATACGTGTGATTTAATTCATGAATTCATTGAACAGCTAGGAAATTTTATTCAAACAGAAACAGCTTCTTTACAAGCAGATCAAGCTACTGTTCAGCGTACACTTCTCAAACTTGAAATTGATCTATTAAAAAATTGGCTGATCGATCACAGCGATCAATATTGCGATGTTCTCGCCGTGATTAATCGCAATGATACTGATCTATGGCGATATTCCACAAAGATCTTCTTATATATTAATCTACATCTGGATTTAATGGAAAAAATAGAGCATTATAGCGGTCGAATACCATTAGAAAATGATAATTTAAAAAAGCTCGAGAAACTTCTAAAACAATTAGCCAATCAGCAATCATCTAAAATTCAACTGCTTTTAGTCAATCATCTTCATACAAAGCTAATTCTCTCGATGGACGAAAATAACTTTGAAAATATTCTCGCAAAAGATTATGCATCCTTCGAAAGAAATATGAACGAGGTGAATGATAATCTTAGCAACAAACGTCATCATGTTCGATTGATAGGTCTGATTACATGGCTTAAATACTATACACAAATATATGCATTTGTTCTTCATAACGACTCACATCAAGATGTCATGTCGCACATCGATCGATTTTTAGCTCGAGATGAGAGCGCATTTGGTGCTACAATAAAATTATTCATTCTCAAACAACTCGTACATATGTCAAAGAGTGTAACATTAACAGATGTACGCGAATTGTTTGCTCATCGTAACGTTGTCTGGCTACGACCATTAATAACACGTGTTGAACCGTTGGCCATAAATCGGGATCTTGTTCTACCTTTGCCTTTATTTGAAGGACACGATGAATATGTAATTGTTAATGAAACGCTAAATAATTTTGGTAATATCGAAGAAGTTCGTAATCTGATTAAAAAATGTCGCAATAACCAACAATTGACCTATGGATTTTACTCGTGGTTTATTCAATACTATTGTCGTTATCTTACACCAAATATACAGATAGATGAACGGTTTGTACACGTTTTTGGTGTTGATCTGAAACAATTGTTGATAGAATCTTTTGATCAGATTGGATTCAATCTACTTGTTGCTCTGTGCAGCAATTTTTCCGACCGTTCCTATTTCTATATACGTCCGAATATGCCGAAAAAAGAATTCTATTGTCGTTTAATTGCTCTCAATATTGTTGCTTTATGCCTATCAACGAAAACAACAAATCTCGGTTCATTGTTATTCGGTCAAAACCAGCGTATGCCTCAAAATTACGTCAATCACATTCAATCGATATGTTTGATGGGAATGATGAGTAGCGATTCAGTAATAACACAAATGATCGATGTGAGGACACAAATACAAGATCGTCTTAACAAGCGTATGATTAATGCTAGTGCCATGTTCGTTTTTCAATGTTCTCGTGACTGTCGCTGGATGTTTTATTTCGAGGATTGTGGTATTCCAAATGATCGCCGGCAATGTCCACTCTGTAAAAAAGAGATCGGTGCGTCTGGATACAACAAGTTGATTCAGCGCGATCCGCCACAAATTCAGATGAATCTGCAAGATGGCTTCAGAGAAATAGAAGAATACATAAGAAATTTTAATAGTGTAGTAAGATTAGGCTATCACAATGTTACATCTGCTACGGAATTGACGCCAGACGAAAAACCTGATCATCTAAATCGAATTGTCTCTTTTCGGTTTCTTCACATGTGGACTCATGCACAATTACTTGTTCTACATGAATTGAAGCATTTAACTGACGAGGATCTCCTTCAAAGATTGAAAGTACCTAATATTTTGCATTTTCGTCAACATTTTGATAGCGATTGCGCATTCATGGAAGGAGTATCGACTGAACCCGAACAGTATCACATATGGATATTTAAACTCATCAATCACATGCTTGCCAACACGATTGATACCGTTGGCATTTTGAATACGAATGAAAATGTAGTCAAAATCGAGCAGTCAATTGAACAACACATCATCTTTCCACATGTAGAATCTATTATTAATGAAATAGGAAACTATCGCATGGCATATGTTAATTTTGTTCAAAAATTTGATGCAGAAATTTCCCTAAGTAACTATATCGATGAATTACGACAAAACGATGAACGCTACCCGTTGCTTCCATATTTCAACGTAAGCCGAATTTTAACGACAAATCCACTCGAAGAATTTCGTGTGAAAATGCAAAACTTACCTTTTGCTGATGTCATCTATCCGTTGACGACGTTCCTATTAAAGCGTCTCGACGACTACGCCAATATTCGATATTTGTATTCAATTATGGAATTTTCAAAATATCTTATCAACAAATACAATCATCGAATTCAAAGAAACGACACAGCCATTTTGACGATTGAAGGCGCACTTCAAAAAGAAGGCGTTGATAGTCAAACTATGCGTGTTCTTTGTAATCAATTTATTGACGCTTGGTACAAGATCAATCTAAGTAGTGTGCGCCTCGGATGTCAAGCACCGAAGTTCGTTCGACCATATCATCGAGAGGAATTCATCAATAAAACAAGTTTAGCTTGTGTTTTACTAAACAAATCGAAAGATGATAGTAGCTTTCTATTAATTGCATGCATACATACATTAGCTGAGCTACAAAACGAAATCGTGGCGTACTTTCGAAAGGTAGTTGTCAATGAAACAACATCAAATACACGTGTATTTCTAAATGCAATTAGACCCGAACACCTACTTCAACTCGGCGAACTTGAGCTTACCAAAAAATTACTGAAAGATAGTTTTGTTATCAATTACGAATACGGCCAAGGCCGCGATCTAATCTATGATTATGAAGAAATTGAAAGTGAAATGCGTAATCTTGTTAGCAGTCTTTGTTTATTTAATACAGAGAACATACCCATGCTAAATTACCAATTTGAATTGTACAACGAGAATAGCTCTCTTATTACCAATATTCGCCGGCGAATCCCGCAAACATTATTGTCTACAGTTGATCGAGCGAAATTCAAAAGTTTACTTGTCCGAATGGATCATTATGATATTGTTCATTGTCTAGGCTTTTTAGATAATGTTTTTACATATCTATGCAATATTGACGATGATCTATCAGAAATGAATATACAAAACTTTGTTGCAGAACATATGAACACAAGTGCATGTCTCAACGAGGAGATTTTTCGGCGTCCACCATTTTCTACGGTTCTTCTCATTTACATAATTGATTTGTATGAATTAATTGAAGAGGTTGCATTTGATGTTGTACTTCGTAAACATGTTAAAACAGAACTACGCGAAGCATTACTCGATGATAAAGGTAAAGCAAAATTTGCTGCTCAAACTTTTAGTAAAGATAGTATCTCGCCAGCGTTGAAATCGCCCATCGTATGGATCGGGCTACTTAAAAGACTGCTGATTCGAGTACTTAATGCTTATATCGATCTAAAAATGCCTTTACAATTATATATTGAACGTATCGATCTCTGGTCTGGAGACATTTCTGAAATTGATTTGCAAACTTTTGAAGTCGATGGTGACATTCTACTTGAACATACATACTGTATTCTTAATCATGTAGAAAAATATCAACCGGCAACACTAATCAATGATTCAATTACAACTGATAATCAAGCAATGCTCGATTGGCCTATTACCACCAATAATAATAATAATAAAGAAGTGCTCAATGCAAGAACTTGGTATGCTGATATGAACCAGCCTGCGAAGAAAATAATACTTGACAAGTCGACTGGTCGTTCGCAAAAAAAGCTGCGCGTTTAATCTAATTCTGTTTTCATTCTTAAATTAAAATAAATGCATAGCTAAATAAGATTGTGAGTTTTATTTCAAGAAAAACAGTAATATATGTACATTGATTATGGAGCAAGGCTGCGGGTGGGTAACAGCTATCATGAAAATATGAATGTATACAATCGAATAATACACTTTAGCATTACCGGAATGTTGGGTATTTATTTAAGGAACATTTTATAACTCCACACTGAAGATTTCATTCAAATTCATATGCAGTACTAGAAGATAGTGTTTATCAGTACATGAGTTCGAACATGTTTTACTGCAGGAAGATTACAGCGTGCATCGTTTTCTTTAGTCTTTTTTTCTGAAGACAATAACAAATGTTTAGTCGAGATTTAGATTCCGATCTATGCCAGTTCTAAGTTTTGAAAGGCATCTTAGATATTCAGTCAAGTAGTTGAATGATAATTAGGATAAGTGAATTTGAATGAAAGTACAGCAGATGAGCTCATACTGATTAGTTCTTGTGGTCGTTCTTTAACTGTTTGTTGTTGACATCTCATATTCTATTTCTTATTCATCAATTGATCACTATTTGACAACGTGTTACTTTGTATGCTGGCTTCTATGTGATTCTGGATTCATAATTGCGAGATATTGCCTCAATTTCCGCCATTGTTTTTTGCAAAATAGTACGCTTGATCGAGCTGATTTGTTTTAAAACAATACAAGATACTATTTGGGGCAGGTATTATTTTCGTTTCTCCTTCCATTAGAAAGTCACGTTTTTCTGCACGTTGCTTTTATTTTGTAAGAGCAGTCAAAAATTAACACAACGATATTTTTCGAACAAAAAAGCTTCCTTTCCAGGACATTTTCACACTAGAAATTATTCCAAACAAAATAAGTAAGAATTCATAGTTTTTGTTATCTGTTTTTATCTAAAGTTTGTTTCTTCTCGAATTGCAACATATAATCACTAAATGCACTTCTTTTTATATTTCTCTCTCATATTGTAGGGCATGCTGATATGCGTCTCTCTTCTATCTCTGAATAAAAGAACGTGTAAAGTCGGTCGTAACCACGACATAACATCTGATTATTTAAATATTCGATGGGAGAACTTTTAATCAAATGGAAAGTCCTTTCTTTCATGGAGATTTTTTTCAGACAAATCTATGTTTCATCGGTTATCAACACAAAAAAGGAGATGTTATATCTTGTTTTATTATTTATTTTTGGTATCATATCGTATGTAGCTTACAAGAAACACAGTAGACCAGTGAAAGTCTCTTCTGATGTCCCTCAGTATGATCATGCCATTGTTATGGGAGGTAGTATAGGAGGTATAGTAACGGCGGCTTATCTACCAAAATATTTCAAACGAATAACAATTATTGAATCTGATGATGTCATCAGTGATACGCTCTTGAAATCGGCTTCTCAAGAGGTATTGGATTATCGTTGTCGTCTTGAAAGTTCAACATTGTTAGAACGTTCAGGCGTAAGTCAAATCTATCAATTACGTGTGCTTGAAGGTGAAGGATACAACGTATTAATCGAATTATTTCCTCATCTTAAAGATAAACTCCTTAATACATATGGTGTTCGCACTTATTCATTCAAAACAGAATGGAGATTCGAGGCCAATTGTTAAATAAAAATTTAGCAGCAGATTTATTCTAACTGTGTATTGATCGATTGACATTATAAATGTTTTTAAGACAAGAATACTGTTTAAAATTTCCCGATACAATTGAATGGAAATCGAATTGTTGATCGACTCATGAGTATTGTTAAAGGTGTAACATATCGACGTAAGCATAATGTTGGTTCACCGTCATGTGATCTATGCGGTGATTTTATTGTTGATTGTACTGGTCGCAATTCATCATCAACGGAATGGCTGCAAGAGGGATCCGATTTAATTGTACCTACTTAACAAATGTATTATGGTTGTGGCTATAGATTCAATAGCTATTAGTGGTTGTACAGTAAATGCTCCTACTAGAAATACAGGGATGTATGCATCTGTGATACGTACAATTAAAACGACAGATGAAAATTCCTCGGGTATATTTATCGACATCGGGATGTCATTGTGTTGATTCAGAATTTCCGCCAAATAATTCCTATTAAAATTTATTAGAATGGGCAAAAGACCATTTGCCTTCGGAATACTATGCGATGATAAAATCAACAGAAGTACTTGACCCTTTAGTTCCTTATCGTCGTGCTATTGATGAACGAAAATTTGTCGAGTCATTAGGAAACGAATGGCCTCAAAATTATATATTATTAGGCGATACACTGTGTACATTTAATCCTCAATACAGGCGAGGTATGGCACATGCATGTCGACTGGCTCGAGAATAAAATAAAATATTTTTGATGAGAATTATCACCAATTGAAAGATATTTCTTACATTTTCAATCGTCGTGCCTCACCGATCAGTGAAGGATGTTGGCTTGTTTCGACTGCCAATCATTGGAAAACATCGACATTAAAAATGATTAAAACTGATCAGAACGGAAAAGTTCAAATTTATGAACGAGACAACGATTCTACTACTACTACGAATAGTACTGATTCTAAACTACAAGCATCTTTAATGATTCGATTTTTTAGAGTAGTACAATTTTTAGTTTCATCAATGTGCATCGAAATCAGGACGAATGTCAACAGATTTTTACGCGTTATCAATCAACACAGCAGTCCCCATTTGGCCTATTGAAACCAAACAATTTGTTAGCAGTCTGTCATGCTGCGTCCATGAGCTATTTTCATTCATCGAAAATATCATCACCTTAAAAGAAAAAGTCTCCATTTTTTTCTTGTGTTAAAATTACCTTATTGCCTAATGCCGTATTCAAAATATTAAAATATATTTATTTGATAAAATTGAAAGTAATGTCCATAATTAAATTTTCAATGGGTCGACTTCCTATTTATATATAATACGAAGATGTCCACAAGAAATTTCGACATAAAAATTATTGACCTGCCTCAAACTATATGCACAGAGCGGATAGCTCTGATATGATTCGTTGACTAATTTCTTCGGGAGATTCATCGTTACAATCAATTTTGATGAGTTGATTTCTTGATTTAAGCGCATCAATTAGAGGTACGGTTTCGTCTTGAAAGACAGCATAACGATGTTCAAAAGTATCACCATCGTCATCGGTTCGGCCACGATGCGCACGACGTTCGTTAAGTTTTGTCTTGGGCACATCCAAATAAATTGCCGTAAAGATGCGTTCATTCAAATTTGCCAAAATGTTGTCAATGAGAGGAAGATGAGATAAATTACGAGGATAACCATCCAAGATCATACCTTTGTGGTAGACCTTGTCACTTAATTTTGTAGTCAGAAATTCTGTTGTTAGATCGTTTGGAATCAACTCACCAGATTCCATGTAAGCATGTATTTGCTGACCGAGTGCACTTCCACTTGCTACTTCAGCACGAAAAAGATCTCCAGATGAAACGTATGGTCGATCGAGTACTTTGCCGAGAAGTTTACCCTGCGTACCCTTACCACACAACGGTGCTCCAACAAGTACAAGTACATCGGAGCCAAGTAACGCTTGAATATCGGCGATAGACATGTCGTTTCTATATACTAATGCGATAAAAGAAAGTAGTTGGCGTATTTAAATATTTATCTAAAAAATGAAGCATCTAGGTTTGAGAGAAATACATATTTTGAAACAACAAATTTACTTACTGCAATCCAAAAGTAGTGAGGGATGTACCTTATTTCCTCAAGCAGAGGTCGAAATTTTTTTCTTTTTCTTGCCAATAGATAGAGCGTGTCTCGCTCTACTTTTCTATGCTATTTGATCACTATTCAACTAATATCATAATAGTAAACTTTCGATAGGATCTGTTTCTTTCACATATGTGCTGGTAGCATGAA